TCGATTTTGATGGTCTGGAATCAATGAATGAATGGTAGGGGAGAAAGAGAGAAGTAACAATAGCAGCAACAACATCCACAGCAACAACAATAGTTGTTGGAGTTGTAGTAAGCAATGGACCAAACTATCTACCAAATGATATAATCAATAATCAGAACCTACAATACGAAATCATTTCAAATCAATCCGATTGATGTTTCGTGACAACAATCAATCTTTCCATGGAGACCGACAATCAAATGATCTTCTCTTCATTTATATTTAAATCTGAATCGATTCACATAGATTCATTCAATTATGTGGATTGTTTAACAAACAAACAAACAAACAAACAAACAAACAAATTAATGACCTGCAGGAGATCTTGAGCGTGTTGTTCACCGCCTGTTACGTCCGTACCTTCCGGCCTTGGACTTCTTCCCAGTAGCCGACCTCTTGGGTCTGCTTGCTATCCCTCTGCTCCAAATACCAAAAAGAGTAAGCCGATCATAGTGAGTGCTTTGCAAAAACTTTGCTAGTTCCTCACAACCAACCAACTCGCTCCTCTCCCCAAAGAACTTCTCACGACTAATACCTGGTGTCTGAATTTCCTCACAGTCCTTCCTTCCTGTGTTCGGGACCCAATTATCCCTCCCATGGCTATCCGAACCATGATTCTCCCCAGACGAGGTACACACAGAGCCAAAATCATTTCTCATCGAACCCTTGACAATATCTCTCCAGTCTGAACAATAAATTCTTTGAATGACCCTCCGTCCCAAGGATCCTCTCGGAATAACACTGCAATCACCAAAGCCACGTAGCGAGCCTCTCACATCCACCGGGTCCTTACACAATAGATATGGGCGAAATCGGCTGTCCACAGCGATATGAGTAGAAACTTGACACGCGTCACCAGAATCCGCAGTCGAAAACGTCGAATTAGCAGTCGTCGAAGCAGTCGTAGAAACAGCGCGAGAACCTTCGTCGTTCTTGTCCGGAGTAATTCCAGTTATCGGTAAGCTCTTCCCAGTCGTCCGTAGGGTCTGATATTCCGTATCCTTCCTATCGATTAAAGGTATAATCTCGGGGGTCTGAGAATCCTCGTCATCCGTGGGTGACTGTCGGTGTGTCACCCCTTTCGATCCTTGTGCAACACGATCGTTGCGTAACTTGAAAGCCAGCAGAGACTCTATTGGCTCATTGTCTGAAGTAGATCTGTCGTTTGTCGACAATCCGTGGGTGTCTCTCCATGTCCTCTCTTGTACCAGTCGTAGACGTTTTCGGTTCGACGGGTCCAAGACAGTCCTCCTACTGTCAGTCCATCTTGATCTTGTCCTCGTTCCAGTCTTGTCCAAAGTCTTGTCCTTGTCCGAAGTCTTGTCTAAAGTCTTGTCCGAAGATAAATCCTTGTCCTTGTCTGACCACTTCGCCACCATCTTGAAAAACTCGTCGATTCCAGACTGTCTATTCTTCTTCCTACCCGGTACCTGGTGGCAAAGAGGTCACCTTAACCGGCGCCGAAAAGCTAGTTGGTGGGTGTGATAGCGACACAACTAACTTCTCCCTCTTAGGCACGCCCCCAGGCGTCGAAACTCTCCCGCTCTCTACTTGATCTCCCCTTGCAGGTCCATCACTATGATCCGACTTTGTCCCTCCGCGTCTCGGACTTGTGTCCTTCTCTAGCGCTCGTGTCAACCTACTAGCTGCCTCTGAGTCGTTCGGACTATCGGGCAGAGGTAGGGCATCCCTCTTCACAGACTTCCTTTTCACTCCCTGTACTTCTGCTTTGTGGGTCGACACATCATCCAATCCGAGAACCATCCGGATCAGAGAAAGGATCCACGTCACACTCCTCCCCCAACGTGAGCCTCTCTCTGATCCTCCGGACCAAAGCCAATCTTTCTTTCATATATCTCCGGCATTTGAAGAGGAAGTGCTCTAGGGTCTCTTTCTCGCACTCTCCACAGCAAGGACACTTACACCCTTCTGGCCCCTCTAGCTTAGGGTAGCGCGTCTCCACACAACACCAGCTCCCACAGCGCATTTCCAGGATTACCTGACACTCTCTAGCCAACTCCGAATGCCTGAACCACAGATCCAGGTAGCGCCGGTTGATGGCTCGTCCTCTTGTCAAGTACGTCCTCAGAAACTGCGCATCGCTCTCCTGCAGCTGGCGTATCCAAAGGCGTGGAATCATCCTCCGTACATATGAGATCTCGAAGAAGTCCAAGTCTAATATAGGTACGGATGTAATAGGCGGTGAACAGCCCGCTCAAGATCTCCTGCAGGTCAATAATTGGTTTGTTTGTTTGTTAGTACCCGTACTCCAAGCATTATTCCTTGAAAACACAGAATCCGATTTAAAACGTAAAGTGGATTGCTAGTACGAAAAACCATATTCAATTTTATCAATATACAATGCCAAATTATTTTCGACCCAGGGGACTAATGCCTGTGTTGAAGCGTGTTTATGACTCGTTTGGTGACAAGATGAACTACGACTTTTTCTATGTGATGGTTCTTCTTGTTTCGGAGCAACCATGGAGTAAAATTTTTAACGTAGATAGTTCATTCTCAAAAGGAAAGCCGATTCCTTCTACTGTATCGATTCGAAAGTTACTTTCGATGTCTTCCTATGCATTGGGATCCTATCATACTAATAAGGATAGTCTTGCGCATTTTCTTAGTCTTCCTAAGAATGACATACTTTTCTTCAATTCTGTCGCTAGTCTCGGCAAACCTGCTTGCTTCTTGGCATTGAATCATCGTTCCAAAGAGTAAAGATTTATCGAAAGTATTATAGCTAGGATTGTAGCCAGCATTCGTGGTACGCAATCTGAATTGGATGTTTTGAGAGACCTTATCATCCAGCCAAGTCATTTAGAAGGAGGTCTTGTTCATTCTGGGATGCGTGATGAAGCGAATGATGTTATCACCACCTTAAAGCCTCTTATAGACCAACAACTAATTCATTATCCAGATTATCGTGTTGTATTTACTGGGCATAGTCTAGGCGCTGGTGCAGCAGCCATCGCCACCCTAATTTTGCAGTCTGTGTACTCTAATGTGTTTGCGTATTGTTTCGCTTGTCCCTCTTGTGTTTCCCTCAACTTGCTTCCTCGGCTGCAGGACTGTGTAATCACTGTGAACAACATGCACGACTTCGTTCCACGCATGAACTCCATGGCGATGCACAAAGTCCGGGATGTTTTTGCGTCTATGAGTCAGAACCAGCTAATGATCGTAGATTGTTTTTTTACCTTTTCAGTAGAACATGATTAATTACATGCGGGAGCAGCAGCCTAGTTGGAATGATCTTCTTACTTCGATTGAGAACTACCGATTGAGTCCTTTTTCGGAAAAGCAAATTGGCAAGAATGAATCCGCGGAATCCTCGGAATCCTCGGAATCCTCGGAATCCTCTCAATTGGACCCTATTTCCGTGCCTGAACAGGGGAAATTACCTGTGAAAGAATCGTTTGTAGATGGCTACAATCGATTGAACGAGTCCTTTTCTTATCTTTTCAATCTTGCATGGATCAACCGCTCCTTCAAAGAATCCCAGCAAAAGATTCTAGATGAGTACCGAGATACATTGATCACTCTCGTGAATTCCTATATGGGAAACGTCCGATCCCAAATCCAACGAGACGTTTGGAAGAAAGAGGAATTAGTGAAAAATGTAGGAGATAGTCTGATCCAAAAGAAGGGTGAAAACTTGAAGGAACAAGTGGAAATGAAAGTCCAAAGCCAGAACGAATCGACGATAACTACGGATTTGATCAACAAAAACATCGATACACTGAACACAAAGCTGAATCATTGTGTAGACATATATAGAATCTACTCCTTATCGATAGCTCGCTGACCTAAAACGCATTTTCAGGGACAATATGAAAAGCTACGAACAGCAAATCGCCACAGCAGATAAATTACTCCTTCCCGTCTTGTCGAAAGAGCCCAAGAAGATCACCGATTTCTCCCTCTTTTTAAAGAAGCTCAACACAGAAGGTTCTTCTAACGGAACCAAAGATTGGTTCCCGTATCCTCAACTTTATCCTCCAGGCGTTTTGCTTCATCTGCGATCCAATCCGTATATAGGAAAGATTGAAACAGAAGAAATGATGGAGCAAGTGCGGTATCGATTTGAAGGAAATGCCGCTGACCCTATCATTTTCAATCAAGCAAAAGTGGAACTAGTTGGTGTCGAAAAGGAAGAGTTTGATCATTTCAGTTTGGAAGCATCGCTTATGGAAGATCATAGGATGGGAAACTATGTATGGGGTCTTTGTAGACTTTTTGATGAACATTAGTTTTTTCGTAATTGTTTGTCATAATTAATATTTTGAATGGAGAATAGGTACTATGAATGTTTGGAATAGATAATCACCAGATTCGCCGGTTTTTGTTGTTTTCTGCTTATAGCTCTTTTCACCTATCTTTTATACTTTCAATCAAATATTATAAAGACGTAAGACAATATTCTATCATATAAGTCTTATAGTATCAACAAACAGCGGATTTTGGATTCTGCCTATCATTCTTCCGTTTTTGAGTATTCCTCTCATTCGAGTGGTAAAAATGTGCATTCATTTTTTGAAAATGTCCCCTTTTTTACTCGCATTCCGAATCAAGCTGTTTCTGGAGTTTCTACTACACAGCCCAGTTTGTCTCCGTCAAAGCAATTCAATCTAACAACGGCTCCTATTATCACTTCTACCAATTCAGCCTCGGTCTCCGAACGACCTACTTCTAAAGCAAGTCCTAGACCTCTTTCCTCTTCTACTCCTTTAAATTCGGAAAATCAGCCTCGTTACTCCATCCCTAAATCCTCCTATATGCTTATGAAGCTCAAATTCCCTAATTTTACAAAAGCAGCATCCTGGGACTCGATTTCTGATTCCTACAATAATCAAACGTCCCAGCTAGCTATAAGCTCAGAATCTCATGGGAGGCGTGCAGTATTTCCCTATTTAATTCATCTGGGTTTGGGTGTGAAATACGCCGAATGGTTTGAAATGCAAAAACCGTCGCATAGTATGATTTTGCATAGAGAGCAGACCATTAGCAAAAGTACATTCTGGCCTTGTGTTTCATCTAGAGCATCGCGAGTTTGACAGTACCTTTTCCGTAGCTCCACTTACGAGCGACATGCCTTCTCCCGATTCGATCGCTTTGCTTCCCTCCAATCGTTCCTATTCCACTGATGTGTGGTACGATAGAGTAGCTATTATTTCGACTCGCGGCTATACGAACATTTATCACAATGCAGAATGGATCGCAAACTTTTATCACATTGTCACAAACATCGAAAAGTTTCCTCTGGTATTTTAAGAATCCTTCATTTGAACTAGTTTTCTGCCTTCACTGTCGTCAATCCTTCCTTCGGAGCCGACGACTATCGCACTGATTGGACGATTTCGTTCTTAACGGGAACGTTAAGCATGTTTCCGCCTGACATTCGGCCATTCTATGTTCCTTATTCCACTTTCTTTTATAAGCACGATCATGTCTGGATTCGGCGTGCTGTACTTGATTTTGTCTGGTTTGATATAGATTTTCTTCTTTATTAACACACCGATGACCGATCTGTTTATATCGAAAGTTGAACCGCTTCTCGTGAAGAAAGCAATGTATCGTTACTATAACATTTCTGAACTCATCACAAAGCCAGACAAGCTAAAATTGCTTTATATTGGACGTAAAGGAGAATGGCGGCAGATTCTAAACGAGAAAGAAATGATAGGAAATATCACAACGAAGTGCAAAGATGTTGTGGAATTTGAGAAAACATATTTCGATCGAAAATCTCATCGTAGTCAGGTCGTTTCTATGCAAAGCACGGATATTTTGCTTGGATATCATGGAGCTGCGTTTGTGAATATTATGTTTATGATGCCGCATTCTGGGTTTATTGAATTCTTTTCTCCCATAGCGAGGCCTCGGTATTATGACATGATGGCAATAAAAACACAATTGGCATATCGATGTTTGACGAGGAATACATTTGATCGATCCAAGAAACGACCTCGTGATGGGAGAAACATAAACATATTTGTAGATGTGAATAAGGTAGTTGAATATGTGAATGAGTTGGCAGAAATAGTGAATAATCAGAAGTATAAGGTTGTGAATGTCATTTAGCTCTGTTTGAGAGATACAGGCCATTGAACGAGAGTGGATAATAATGTTACATTGATGTATGGATCATAGAGGAAGTATTTCTTACCTAAATATGGATTGACATATATAGAATGTGATCACTGCTTTATAGCATCTATATTTTGCTCTTAAGTGATTATCACACACTCCTCTCTTCAGTAAAAGACTCGTCCTTGTCACCAAGAAAGCAGTGTTAGTTATTTCTTTCAATTCAAATTCGGTCCTGTTTTGTGATTTGTGACTTAAGCCTTGATCATAGCTGTTTGTAGAGTGAGCTTGTGCCAATCCTTGTGTTCTTTTTTTTATGTTTTCATTTTCAGGAGACATCAGTAGAATGCGTCTCATTCGAATACAGTTTTAAAACATTGGCAGAAAAGCTTCAAGGGCAATTACAATAGTATTCAAAAAACAGATCATACAACATTACGTAATAGTTCGCTTTCAGAAGCATCTAAATGAAGAACGTCTCCATACATTGATATCGATTCTCTTCGACTTTCACTATTCCGTCGTTCTTTTTTGTCTCTTCGTCTCTTTAAATGTGCGTTCATGCTGATGCATATCTGGCGGTAGAATAAATAAGATATAATCAATAGGAAAGCATTCCATATCAAGAGTTCTACAATATAGGATCCCAGCGTTACTTCAGGATTGACTCCATTCTACATCCAATCAATGCTCTATTCCCTACATATCGCAGAATTGCATCACCGGTAAGTCGAGTCATTGCTCCTTTTCGATCCCAAATATGCACTTCATACACAGTATCTTTGAATTCCAAATACATCAGAGCCCGAAAAGCGATTACTGGAGGGAACAAGTTACTAATGCGCAACTACAAACAAGCAACCAGAGAATATAATACAATATTGATGCTTGCTCCATTTGATGTAGAAAGAATATAGATGAGAGAGATAATCACATAGAGCACAAACAAAATACTGAGAGGACGGAAGCCAATGCATACTATGCTTAAAAGAAACGATGAGAGCCCACGGGAGAAGAGAGAAGAACATGAGGAAAATGCAAGACTGACAACAATAATCATCGATATACTGCAGAAAAGAATGGAGCGGTTTCCAACTTTCCCCAGACCTGACAAAATGAAGATGCTTGGGACGTGAATCAAGGATCCAAAAGATAACAAGGCGAGTGAACGAGCATGAATACATACACTCATGCACGCTCACTCACACACTCATGCACGCTCACTCACACACTCATGCACGCTCACTCACACACTCATGCATGCTCAATCACTCACTCATGCATGCTCAATCACACACTCATGCATGCTCAATCACACACTCACACACACACACACAAGGATATAAATACCAACGTAGGCAAAATGCGTAGATAAATATAATCCAACAAAAAGTACATGATTCGATAAATATGGATAGGACAGAAGCGGCTAATATGATCATGAACAAATACAGGAAAATCATTTGTATTGAAAATAGAAGCAGATAATCCCGCGAGAAGGCAAATCGCACACTACGCGCAATTATAATATCTATCATGGCATACGATAACACGGAATAGATTCTCTCGCTTTTCGATTCCAGCACGAGTCTGCGGGAGTTGATAGAACAAAATTCCCAAAAACACCCCAATTAAAAGTCCTAAGATGCAGTGCCATTGACAAAAACCCGTTCGCGTCATGCATTTCCGAAGTCGCTTTGCCACATTCGGAATTCGCTTATTCAATGTCACTGTTTCCCGAATGTCCAAAATTCGCTGAACGTAGGGATTGGGAGCAGGCGGAGGACAACCGGGAGAAGAAGTAGGAGGAGGAGGAGGAGGTGCATCGAGTTGTCTTCGAATGGTGATAGAGCTGTAGGTGAGAAATGAAATACAAATCAAAACAGAGGAAGCGATAAGAAGGAACCACGAAGCGATCTCAATATGGTTGTATCGCTGTATGCCAACTAACCATCATTCCGAGCAACCTTCCATTTACCGTGTGGAATAAGCAATCGAGAGCATTGTAGTGGGGCTCTTCGCGATAATAGGGATCGAACAACACCTTCTTGCCCTCGACCAAGTCTCCATAATACAGAACAGCGCCATGATCTCCCAACACAAGCACGCTGTCCAGATAGTTGCATAGAATGGAAATTGGAGTCTTGGAATAAACGAGGAAAAGTACGCCCGTCCGAGCCACCGTCTTCAAATAGTTCATCATCTACTCATTACCACCGCTAGGAAACGAGCAAGCATACGATGCCATAATCTGCAGGAGAAAAATCTTCGAAGGCATTATCCAGCAAAATCACGCGGCGATTCGACTGGACCTCGAGCGCTATTCTAGCTATGAATACAAAAACTATTTCTCACTGTAGCATGATTTGCTGCGGGTGGGAGAGATCCCGCACTAACTTATCTCGTATCGAATCCAGCTGAAGAAGTCGTAGCATTTCCAGGATTCTCGACTTCCTCTGCTCTTTATCCCTATCCATCACTCCAGCATTACATATCTTCCTACACCCACAAAGGATAATTCATATCGACGGTCGATCGAACACACTCCATAACCGTCAGACTCTCGCAAAGCCACACTTTTCCATTGATGTAGCACAACAGCATAAGTGCCTCCGAAGGTGACAGCATGCTGCGTTCATAGAATAACTGACCTCCGATAAAGTCATGCTTCGATTTTGTTATTCCGTACAGGCTTTGCAAAAACGCGCTGCCTACAGTCAACCATCCATCCTCGTACACATACCGTTTCTACTAACAACATTGACCACGCCTCCACTTGCAGAAAGATAGCCTAGGGGTGATTGGATCACCGTCTTCATCGTCCACTGTCTGGTGAGATATCTCTTACACATTGCTTTCATCCAAACCAAGAAAGAAGCGTCCACAGGTATGTCCTCCCTCACTCGCTCCTTATATTCCAGATCACGCCAGCAGAATGCAGAGACTGCAGAGATAGGCTTGGAAGATTCGATTTCGTCCGTGTACTCATCGATCGCAAAGAGCTTGGGGTCTTCGCAAAGGATCACTCTGTAAGTTAGAAAAAGGTTTAATAAGCAGGACGATCGGGGCTTTTTCTCAAAGTGAACAGGCTGATAGTGAGTGTTCTTTTTGTCGTGAGTGAAGAGATAGAGAATAATACAGAGTACAGGGAGATTGAAGAGAATGATGTACCACAGCAAATAGAGGCCGCTCCTATTGAGTTTACAAAACGACAATCATTAAAGTACTTGTCTGGAGTGGGCTCCTTGGCTCGACATACGCCAGTATAGCAAGACATGTGCTGTGCATAGGTACCATCATGGATCCACACACACGAACCATCCACTCTGCACCCAAAAACAGAAGGTGATGAGTGATTGTAACTGGCATCTCCTTCAAACAAATAAACGACCGGATCCAAGAGATAACTCCTTATGTCAAAATAGGGAGTGAAGTCTGCAGAAACGCTCAAATACATGTTCTTCTCCAAGGAGCAAGAACTCTTATTACATAAAATACAACTCGAATAACCAGAAAGATAACTGCTGCACTCAATACCTGGCAAAATGGAGCATTGCTCATACAAGCATTTCACGGGCGTTGATTGCAGAGATGGAAAATAGCCATTATTGACATTGACTTCAATTATGGAGGAGTTTAGATGCTGCAGCAAAACAGTAGATTCGCCAAACAACTCTGAAATAAACCCAGAAAACGAGTCACTGGTCTTGCAAGAGAAATTAGCCAGTTCGTTTTCAGAGAATAGGGTCTGGCGTGTGCATTCCTGTTTTTCAATTTCGTTCAATATTTCTCACATTCGAGCCAGGGCATTCCTTGTCGCTTCCACATAGACTACAGTCAATCCCAGCACCTCCGTTTGAGCAGATACACTACCACTCGAAAAAAGCTCTATCATCATCTACATGAGTACATTCTGAAGAATATCCGGCTCCGTTCATGCAGGTAAAGCCGGAATTGAGGCAGCGTGCAGTACAAGATGAAGAATACTCATACTCAAGCGGGAAAAGGATATGTTCGAAGTGAGCCATCCTCCATGAAACAGCTCTGAAGATTATTATTGCTACGAATCGAACGTCCCCTTCCAGCTTCAGTAGAATTTACATAGGGGCCATCCAAGGGGCAGCTCTCTGGAGTTTGCTCCTTACAAGTGGAATATAAATCATCGCATGTCTCTCTGCATGGATACACACTATAGTTAGAAGAAGAACGACATGGAGGAAATGTTTCCATACAAAAATATCGACCAACCTTCTCTTTGCAGAGTTCGCTTGCATTAGCTCCCTTTTCTGTCAGCCAGAGATTGTACTTTTTCATTCTGAGTCTTACTAGTATACAAATGCTACGTACACAATGTCAGTATCCGAATACTCCCATGTGTTGCTAGAATTCATCCACATAGATTGTACAGTGAAATAATCTGATAAATGTTTACTACACTGGTAGTATCGCAAATCATCCTTCTATCGTTAATACTCTGCTATTCAATACCTCATCACTTCCTTCCCAGTGTGGGATAATATTGGTCGCTAAACTGCAAGTAGTACATTCTTTTCGGCCACAAAGTAGCCCATTTACTACAGCTAGCAGGGTCCAACCAACCACAACTAATTGCATGGATGGAATGCAACGGAACATTAAAAATAGCTTGGGAATACAACTTTTGTTCCTTCACGCTGATTGGTTGAACAAGATTGTGCGAGGATCGAAAACTGGAAAATGATGAATATCTGAGCTTCTGAGATGATGGAGTACGAAAATAATTGGCAAGGTCGAGGTCAGCGGATTATAGAAAGTAGCTAGGTTGAACTCCACTTCGACTTGTTCCGGTAGGGGAATTGTGTTTTCCATAACTGGTTTGTAAATGATGATCTTGCAAATTCTGATCTTATCCCTCGCTATCTGCACCTCTGTAGATAAGCATATCGGGCTGTTTCCCAACATAATAGGGGGAAAATTCCATGACCTTGCGCGACCCTATCTGGCGGATATTAACGTTGACTGCCACATCAAGAGAGCTGCCTATGACTTTGCGAAAGAGATTCAACCGGAAAGAAAGAATCATCGCGCAGTTTTTGATGCGTTGCAGCTTCAGCAATGTGATATGGAGAGACCTCCTGAGGATGAGCCTCTGACGATTCCTGATATTGAGAACCCTGGATTTACCATTTTTGTTGATGGACGTTCTGGAAATGACAAGAATTCGGGATCGATTCGCGATCCGGTGAAGACGATTGAAAGAGGTATTGCTTTGACTCGCGGAGTATCTGGAAACCGGACCTTGTATTTGCGTGAAGGTGAGTACTATATGTCCAAGCCTCTTCTGCTTACTCAAATCGACGATGACCTCACCATCTCTTCCTATAACAACGAGAAGGTGGTGCTTTCTGGAGCCAAGGAGGTGAAGGTGGATTGGAAGCCATACCGTGTTGGAGAATTTGATATCTTCCAGGGAAAGGATGCCGTCGTGGATATTAAGCCTGCTCCCGGCGCTGGAGTTGCTGGACGTGTGAAGTTCGCTGGAAAGGTTCCTTCTTTGGAAGAGTGCCAAGAGCTCTGCGCGAAGGATGAGGAGTGCACTGGGTTCACGTGGTACGAGAAGGAGGGAGACTATTTCAATCAGTGCTTCAGCATCATCGATGGAGAGTTCCGCACTGTGGATTCTTCCACTGCTATTTCGGGTGTGAAGCTGAACATTTATGTGGCAGACCTGTCTGAGATCGACTTTGACGAGGAGAAGTTCACCTCGCTCTTTATCAATGGCAAGCGTCAGATTCTCGCTCGTTATCCCAATGGAAATCCCGAGTATACGGGTTACCACACTGAAAACACGGGCTTCGCTAGTGCTGGAGATGGCCAGTGGAAGGCAACGCGCAAGTTCCCTCCAGGCTACGAAATCCACATGGATAAGCCATCGCTTGAGCACGCATTGTACACCAACTACCAAATTGCCCTTGAGGGACCTGCCGTCCAGTGGACGCCAGCCATTTCCTACTGGGCGTTAGCGCATCCGATTGGTGGCGGAGGCTGCACCTATGCGATCCCCACGGGAATTGACGTGGCCACCCAAAACTGGTCTCCTCGTGAGTGGAAGCATCCCAACGGCGCCATCTTCCATGCTTTCCAGGGAGGATACTGGGGCTTCTGGATGTTTGAGGTGGACAATTATGAGCGAAAGGACGGAAAGATTAGCTTGGGATGGACGAAGGGAGGCTTCCAGGAGTGTCGTGGAAGTACTCACGGAGGAGCTTTCTTCATAGAAAACGTTCTGGAGGAGCTGGATGCTCCCGGAGAATATTTCTACGATAAGGAGGCGAAGAAGCTTTATCTCTATCCCAACGGAACGATTAGTGATATGTCGCTCATCCATCTTTCTCAGCAGGAGAACCTGATCGAGATTCGTGGAACTTCCAATCTTCCGGTCAAGAACATTCACATTCACGGACTCACCTTCTCGTACACGCGCAACACCTACATGGAACAGTTTGAGGTTCCTTCAGGAGGTGACTGGGCTCTACATCGTGCTGGCTGCATCTTTGTTGATGGCGCTGAGAATATTCGCATCAGCTATAACATCTTCAGAAACAATGGTAACAACAACATCTTCTTTGCTAATCACGTTACCTATTCTACGATTGAGTACAACGAGTTCGTCTATGGCAGTGATAGCGGTATTCTCTTTATTGGAAGCACCAATCTCATGGATGGAACGCAGGAGACGCATCCTCACGACAACGTTATTCAGCACAATCTCTTGCATGAATTGGGTCTCTACAACAAGCAGTCTTCTCCTTTCATGCAATCGAAAACGGCTGTAGGATTCATTTGCTTTCTTTGCTCATTCTTCTAGCGAACCATTTGGCGTGACAACATTTTCTTCAACGTGCCGCGCGCTGGAATTAACATCAACGATGCCTTTGGAGGAGGCAACCTGATTGAGAGATCTCTCATGTTCAACACTGTTCGTGAAACTGCTGATCATGTGGGTGGTTTTACGAACTGGGGTTATTTTGTAGGGTCCTGTGAATACCTGGGATCGTATGCCGTTCATCACGCTCTATGACAGTGGAGAGCCCTCGACCAAGCCGAAGCAATCGTACATTCAATGTGTATTCGTGAAGTCTTTAGGGAGATTCGTCAGTCGTTTGTCATTGCCAACTATCACGCTGTGTGGCCATTGGATCATGATGATGGCTCTTGCTATTACTACGATTACGACAACGTTCTGGTTTATGGAGGATTCAAGACCTATCTGGGTCATAGCAAGATCTGTAGGAGGTGAATGTGGAAGGGCTTAGTATGTAGCTATGAACAACTTGTACATCTACCCGGATACCAAGTATGCGGGTGATGTTAACGAATTCTTCACGGAGCCGCACTGCGCGAATACAGCTGTGCGTGTTGTGTGTGTGTGGTTGATGAATAGGGTCGTCACGACACTTATGGATGGGGCGAAGTGTATCGCAACAATAGTTGCATTATCAAGAATCAGGATGTGTTGTGGTTCAATGGTGTGAGTGAGAGCACCATGGTGGAGTTGGTAAGAAAAAGAGAAGGGGAGGTGATATGTTGTAGACTCCCGATTTGGACTTCAATCATTACTACACTCCCAATGGCCGTGAGAAGTCGTACATCTTGACGGACTCGACTCGTCATTCGTTCGACGAATTTGCGGTAGATTTAGAGAAAGGAGAGGAGTGATGAATAGGAAAAGTATGGAAAGGACGTTCATTCGCAGTTCCATGATCTGCCTTCGGGAGCAGAGATTGAGCAATGGATTCGTGACAAGCTGCATATGAAGTAATGGCTTGAGTCGATTGAACGAGTTGTTTGTTTGCTCTCTTGTTCCTATAGTAGTAGTGGTGGTAGTTGATTGAGAGGGTGAATGAATCAGTGAATCAGTGAATCAGTGAATCAGTGAATCAGTGAATCAGTGAATAATCACACTTTAGAAACATACGTAATTCATCAAACCCTTTCTTTTTATACTGACTCTCTCATCAATCAAGTCCTTTCTCTTCCTTTGTATATCATCCAGTACTTCCAAACAATGACTCCACGCTCATTCCACACACTCACGCACACACACATACACTTTCATATCCAACAAACATACAAGATTACAAATTAGACAACTCATCACGCCAGTTGTTGGGGAAAGCTGGAGCACCATCAGCCATAGGAACGGCTTCTGCAGGAACCTGGGTGGCAGGAACCGGATTTACAGGCGTCGAATTTGCTTCAGGCATGTCTCCGATTTTAATATTCGCCAACTCACGGTCTAACTCTTCCTCGTCCATTTCAATATCTCCGGTCATGCTGTCCATCATCATTTCCTGCACATCGTCCATATCCTCCTGCATATCCTGCAATTTATCCGACAAATTCATATAATCATCAAAGTTCACACTCTACCTCTCAGATTCCTCACCACCAAATCTACCTTAAACGCCTGACTCTGAGCACTCGTCACCTCCTTCATCATATTGTACTGATCCTTCATTAGTTGTAAACTCTCAATAGTACCCATAGTCTGACCAACTGTAAGGCTCATTGTAGAGACACTCTGCAACTGCTTCATGAGCATTTGCTTCTGTTTCAATAACTACAACTCATTAACTGACGCTACCTATTACGTTCGTAGCGCGCATACGGAGAGTATTATAACCAGCGCCTCCCTTCGCCATTTGCTGCTTTAACCTAACAGTAATCGAAATATCGAACTAGCACGTTCCGAGTTGTTGGTCAATATTTTCAATTTTCTTCAAAATCTGATCTTCTCGCTTATTCAAATTATCCATATGGTTCGTCATGGGTGTCATATCAAAAGGCTTCTCCTCTTGAGTAACAGTAGGTTTCTTTTGTCCCACAAAGCGGTTAAACATTTAGATAGCAAATATAAATTAAAAATTGTGTTAAAAGATGATTAACCAGTGCATGTCGTGGCGCAAGAATCATCTAAGTTAATCACCACTATCAAGTATGACGAGTATTCGAGTCAGTCTACCATTTAATTTATTTCTTACTAGTCTCACTTCATCGTCCTAAGGCAAAAACAGAATGTTGTTCCACCCCAAATCAATTTTGATACATAATCACAACGAATAAACAATATAGAAAAAGAGGGCCCATTTTTATATTTGATTCCAACTAAAGTATGGGTGTATTAATTACTGGATCATCGGCTCCCAAAGTTTTATTCATAGTTTGATATTATGGCTGACGAGCATAGTGCTTCTGCTGACAGAGAAGATTATCATAAGGTTGATTTAGCGATTCTTCTTGGTGAACGATTGAAGACCAGTCAGGAACGAGGTCTTACGAAAACCGAACATGACTCTAGGCTTCAGAAATATGGTCTAAACCAGTTAACCCCACCGAAGACCGTTCCTGAATGGGTGAAGTTCCTGAAGAATATGACAGGATTCTTCTCTTTGCTGTTATTGGCAGGTGGAGTACTTTGTATTATAGGATATATTCTGAAAAAAGAGATTGAGAATCTCTACCTTGGAATTGTACTTTTTGCCGTTGTGATCATTACGGGAACGTTCGCCTACTTCCAGGAGAAAAAGTCGAATGATTTGATGGCTTCTTTTAAGAACATGATGCCAAACCGTTGCACGGTTACGCGTGACGGCAATCCTACTGAAGTTGTTGCTGAGGATTTGGTCATTGGTGATATTGTTCACATAAAAGCTGGAGATAAGGTACCTGCGGATATTCGTATCCTCGAGTGCTCGGATGATATGCAAGTGGATAACGCCTGCCTCACTGGAGAGTCGGAACCTTGCAAACGATCCACCAAGTGCACCGATGCGAATCCTCTGGAAACCCAAAACATGGCCTTCTTTGGAACGCAAGTTCCGAAAGGTAGCTGCAAGGGAGTGGTTGTAGCCACTGGAGATAACACTGTTATGGGCCATATTGCCAAGCTGACGTTGAACACTGGAAGTGAGAAAACCCCTATCGGTATTGAGTTGGATCGATTCATTTCTATTATCTCTACGATCGCCATTACTTTGGGAGTTCTGTTCTTCATCATCGGTATCTTCCTGGGTACAGATCTCATCACCAACCTGGTCTTTATGATCGGTATCATCGTGGCCAACGTGCCTGAGGGACTCTTGGCTACCGTCACCCTCTCTCTGTCGCTCACGGCTAACCGAATGTCCTCAAAGAACGTTCTGGTGAAGAATCTGCAGGGTGTGGAAACTCTGGGCTCGACGAGTTGTATCTGCTCCGATAAGACCGGAACCCTCACCCAGAACATGATGACTGTGGCGAACGTGGTCTATGATGGAAAAATCTTCGACTGCGAGTGCTCCATGTACTCGAAACCCACGGTGGATCCTACCTCCGAGTCCTATTTCCATCTGCTTCGGATTGCTGCTCTGTGCAACAACGCGAAGTGGGACGAGAACTCCAAGTACCGCAAGAATCGGGATCGGACGCCTGATTTCTCGAGCAAGCAACCTTTTATTGAAGAACTGCTTCTTGGTGATGGTTCGATTGAGAAGCGTGTGATGTGGAAACCGCTGGGAGATGCCTCCGAATCGGCGCTCCTCAAGTATGTGCAGGCTTCTTTCGATGTGGAAGTGTTCCGCAACGAAAACCCCAAGCTGAAGGAAATTCCGTTTAACTCAACGAACAAATACCAGGTTTCCATCCATCAGAATGCGAAGGTGGATGAGCGGTTGCTAGTTATGAAGGGCGCTCCGGAGCGAATTCTTGGACGCTGCGATAAGATTCTGATTAACGGAAAGGTCGAGGAGTTCACTCCCGAACTTCGCAAGAAAATGGAGGATCTGCAGACAGATCTTTCTCGCAAGGGTCTTCGTGTGCTGGGCTTTGCCGAGCTGCCCTTAGATCCCGCCGTCTATCCCAAGGATTACGTCTACAACAGTGACACTCCCAATTTCCCTCTGGGAGATGATCGCGAAACCTTCCCTCAAGACATTCCCCATACCGAGCACATCTTCACAAAGCTCTGCTACGTGGGAATGATGGCTATGATCGATCCCCCGCGTCCGCAAGTCCCTCCCGCCGTGGAAACTTGCAAGACAGCCGGTATTCGTGTGATTATGGTGACGGGAGATCATCCGATCACCGCCAAGGCGATCGCTGCGAAGGTCGGAATCATCTGGGGCGACACGGAGGACGATATTCAGCTCCGCAATGAGTCGAAGGGCTTGAAGGAGGGAGATCCGGGCTGGGAAGACCCTGCACTGGCTCCAGCGATCGTTGTTCCTGGATGGGATTTGACTCCTGATCTGCCGGATGCGATTTGGGACGATATTCTCGACCATCCCCAGGTCGTTTTCGCTCGTACTTCCCCTCAACAGAAGTTGATTATCGTGGAACACAACCAGAAACGAGGCGAAATTGTCACTGTTACGGGAGATGGTGTCAACGACGCCCCGGCTCTTCGGAAGGCGGATATCGGAATTGCAATGGGTATCATGGGCTCGGCTGTGAGCAAAGAAGCGGCCGATATGATTCTCGTGGACGATAACTTTGCGTCGATTGTGAAGGGCGTGGGAGAAGGCCGACTGATCTTCGACAACCTCAAGAAATCGATCTCCTACACGCTCTCCTCCAACATCCCCGAGCTGGCTCCGTTCCTTTGTTTCATTACCATCCAGGTGCCTCTTCCTCTGGATACTATCTTGATTCTGCTCATCGATCTCGGAACCGATATGCTTCCCGCCATCTCCTTCGCTTACGAAAACGCGGAGGCCGATATCATGAGACGACCTCCACGTGATAGCAAGCGCGATCATTTAGTGAACAAAAAACTGTTTACCTTCTCCTACTTGGAAGTCGGCGTCACGCAGTGCCTCGCTGCTCTGATGTCTTTCTTCTTCATGATGAACTCCTTCGGATTCTCCGCCTCCACGCTGCCGGGTCTTGGAGCCTATGACAACTGGGGAAAGCAAACCTTGTATTGCAAGGTCAATGGAGGAAACTGGTATCGCGAGGTATTCGATGCGCAGAACAAGACGTCCGGATTTGAGGCCTACGAGGGATCGGCGCCGAGCAATCCAGAGGAATTCTACACCATGTTCCGCCAAGGCTATTATTTCTGGGACGGCGGCGAGATCGTCCAGTGCCATTACCCCTCCAAGAACTTCCTCGGACCTACCAAGAGCTCTCCCAATTTCTCTCTCTCGGATGAGGCGTCGTACAACACAGCGAATGGAGGTTACACGGCGGAGAACATTGTGGTGACCAAGCAGAGCATCGACGTGCTGCTCCAGAACGGCTACTATCCGTATATTCCTCTGGCTGGACGTGTCTCCCCCTTCTGGGATCGCAATTGGCTGCGTGCCGATACCTCGAAGAAAACGTACGTGGGACTCGGAAAGGGCACGGCCACTGCGCAGCTGAGCTATCAGCCGCTGGGCTACTGGGATATTAACGACTGGAACTCGACGGAAGCCAAGACTTCCTCCTCCTCCAGCGAAGTTTCCTCGGCTGTGCAAGCGATGATCGAAGCGTCCGAATACAAGATGCTGGGACGCAAGGTGTTCAGCAACGCTACTTTTAAACAAACGAGAAGTGCGGACTCTTTCGAGTACATTTACTCGCTTTCCTTCTTCGAGGGCGACACGCAGTACGCCAACATCGCTTCAAGAATGATCCAGAAGGAGGCGCTGTACTATTCCCAGACGGCCTACTTCATTACCATTGTGATCGTTCAGATCGCCGATCTTTTAGTCTGCAAAACTCGCATGAACTCGTTGATTGACCAAGGAATGAGCAACCACGCTATGAACTCCTCTGTGCTCTTCGAGCTGGCTTTGGCTTACATCCTCCTTTACACGCCCGTGCTGAACAGCGCGCTGCGCACTCGCCCCCTGCCTTTCCACTGCTGGCTTATTCCTTTCCCCTACTTGATCATTGTATATACTTTCGATGAGGTCCGCAAATACTTGATGCGAAAAACATCGCTCGTGACAGAGAATCCGGAGACAAAACAGATTCTCCGGGATGCTGGGTGGATTGAACGAAATACGTACTATTAGACTGTTTGTTTACAAACACTTGGACTAAGAGGTCATTACGAAATAGCTTCAGACTCATAGTCTGAAGGGAACAGCACCACTGATGAGACTGGAACCATGCGTACCGCATTTTCGAACTATGCATCATAGCTGTAGACAAGAAACTACGGTCGATTTGACGAGATACGCCTCCAACTCTGCTTTTTTCTTATACGATACTTTTTCGCCTGTGGTATCTACAGTAAACCTTCGAATCCATGGCAACATGCAAAAATCGTAAGTGGACTCACACAGGACATAAATCTGTAGTTTCGTTTAAAACTGTCAATCGTCAACAATAACTTGTCTATTTGAGTATTTCACTCGATTTGCATACTGTTGTTACAGGAATGAACCTTGAAACTTTTGTACAAACATTGTCCAAAGAACAGAAACGAACTAACAGAAACACTACCCCTTTACCAGAGCCATATTATAGTTCAAACGCGCCTTTCTTTCCTCAGCACTGCAAACGCGCACCCTCTCGCCCACTCTGCTTTTCTTCACCTCATCAAACCATGCGACAAATTCGCGCCTCGCTTGCTCGTTATCGCTCTCCTGGGCCCCTCTACCGCCATTACGAACCCTCCCCTTTCCATTACCCAGACCCAGTCGGGAGAATGAACCCGAACGACTGTCCCAGAACATAAAAGCGGAAGCCTAACAGTCGCACATGTTCGACGTGTTGAATCCGACTCAGTGGGTTATTCAGAAAGAACTCGTTGAACAACGGGACAGACCGGGAATGCCGTAGAATCAAAAACGGCTGCTGCAAAAGCGGATCGAAGCACGAAACGCGCTGCAGATCTTGCTCTTTTCCCATATAAAACCAATCAGCGTAGAGATATCTCTGAGTGACTTGGAACTCATTCACAAACATGCGAAGACCGACGCATTGCGACCTTCTTGGCTGCCACGAGCTGGCGAATCGTTTCTTTGGAGCGTGGCAGCGATGCAAAAAGTCTGCAACTCAATGAAATGGGAACAGAAAGCACGCGGTCCAACAAGCTTCGCTCTCTCGACAACCCTTCAAGGAAGCCACGGAAGAGGAGGGCGATGAGAGGAAGAAGAAGAGAGGGAGAATGAGAGCCGTCGAGGGTGTTAAGAGGGACGAGGGAAGCGACTGGAGAACGGAATGCAGAGAAGGATCGACGATCGTTCCGGCATCGATCACTAGATAATGGGTAGTCAGCGTGTTGTTGATCGCAACGTTTCGCAGGTAATTCAGGGATTTGGGCACAGAAGAGTGCACCACAGCGATCCGAGTTCGAGTCGAAAGCATTTTGAATTGGTTTTCATTTACAGGAGCGAAGAGAGCAACAGAAATGGGACCTGCCCACATCTGTTCAAGTCGTGGCAGAGTGAAAAGAGTCGAAGGATCGAGCACACAAACCAGCGAGAAATTGGCAGAGGCGATGTTCATGTCATCAAAGTCTAATCATTAAAACAAAGCATGGTCAATCGAACAATGGGGGGAAGAGAGAGGAACACGGTTGGGGCCTTCGTAGAGAACGACATGAATATCTTGCATATCGGGAGGATGAGAAGTGACTGGTGACGTAGCCGAAGTGAATAAAGAGTTCTGCTTACTCGATTCACCACTCCGTGTACTCGATTCACCACTCCGTGTACTCGAACCATTACAAGTGGCGGAATCACTTGGGTCAATAGCAGTGGAACAGAGGCTGGTATCTCTAGAATCATCGGAATTACTGAGATGATCAGAGCTGTACGAATTAGATTCCTCACAATGACCCCCATTTTCACAAAACCCGCTTTCTCTGCCCAATTCATTCATTCGGTGTATCATTTTCGTATTTACGCCTTTCTGTTCCTAGATCAAAAGCAAACAATCACCCCAAACACTCAAATAGTCGATTTGCTTTTCACGCATCCCTGCATGTTCCTTGATACTCGAAATGAATGCAAGTGTCATAAATAGCGAGGCAAGTGCAATAACTGCAAGATTTCTACAACACACACTCCATTTCACGTATACGTTAAAAGACACTTCGCCCGACTCATTCCTTTCATTCTACAGGGAAAGCTGTTCAACTTCAGCAGAGCACACTCACAAGCACAGAATTCAAAAAGTGTATGAAAGCGATTGTTTCACATTTCACTCCACCAACTGTATCCAACAAACAAACTCACTTAATACGACTGCAAGATAATCGTCTTGACATCCTCCGGAAGGATATCAGCATTCTCTCCGAACTTGGCTCCGCTCTTCGCCAGCTTGGCCACGCAGTCATCAATCCAAGCCTTATCCTGCGAGCATCCATACTGGCTAATGCGGCTAGGCACCTTCATGACGTCGGTGTAGAACTTATCGAGCAGCTCGATCGCCTTCTCGGCCTTCTCCTCGACAGTTCCTTCCTTCACATCGAACACGCGCTCGGCCATCTGCGCCAGCTTGGCCTTCTTGGCCTCGAAGCGGTAGCGGAACACGCGAGGCTGAATGCACGCCAGCGTCTGCGCGTGGTCCAGACCCAAATACGCGGTCAGCTCGTGGCCGATCATGTGGGTGGCCCAGTCCTGACGCACACCCTGGCAGATCCAGCAGTTCAGAGCCTGCGTGGCCGCCCACATGATGTTGGCGCGCACAGCGTAGTTGTTCGGGTCCTCCATCACCTTGGTTCCGTTCTCGATCAGAACCTTCAGCAGGGCCTCGGAATAGCGGTCCTGGACGTCCGCATCGATGCAGTCCGTAACGTACTGCTCACACACATGCACACACGAGTCCACCACACCGTTGGCGGTCTGGCGAGCAGGCAGAGAGTAGGTCGTCTCAGGGTCCAGAATAGCCCACTTCGGGTACACGTAGGGAGAAGCCAGGCAATACTTCATGTGCTTCGCTCTGTAGGAAATCACAGCGTTTCCGTTGGATTCAGAGCCGGTGGCGGGAAGAGTCAGCACCACGCCAAGAGGAAGAGCGCAATCCACCTTAACTCCACCCTCAATGCAGAGATCCTGGTAGTATTCGGTAGACTTGGTGTACACCGCAGCAGCGCAAATGAACTTGCAACCATCGGCCACAGAACCGCCTCCCACAGAGAGAACGAACACGTTTTCAGTTCCCATCTCCTTAGCAATGGCAACAGCCTTCATCAAGGTTTCGTAATCCGGATTCGCCTCAATTCCAGAGAACTCAGTAATGTCGTAACCTTTCAAGGCAGTCATCACCTGGTCGTAAACTCCGTTACGCTTGATGGAACCACCTCCGTAGCACATTAAAATCTTCTTATCCTTGGGAATCAAACTGGGCAACATGGCGATCTGGCCCTTTCCAAAGATGATACGGGTAGCATTCTGATAATCGAAATTGAGAACAGGCATGTCAATAATTAGAATAGAAATAAAGAAAAATGGAGGAACAATAATATCTTTGATAAACCCGCGGAATAGAAGAATCTAGAAGTTTCCATCTTACCTCCAATCAACTGAGGATAGAATCACCAAATGCTTACTAGTTGTGGATGGGCACATATCCGTTTTGTGGACAGATCGAAATTGCTATTTCACTATTCGGTTTCCAACAAACAAGCCAACTAACGCCAAACTTCTTCATATCTTTGCAACTACGGATTAGATCACTGGTAACCACTCAAACTCCATCGATTCGGTCGACGACATCTTTTTCTTACCCCCCTCAGGATTCCAGCATTCCGAGCAGCCCCAATGCCACCTCTCTTCCAGCAGCTCATAGTTGCATGGATAAACTGGCTTGAGCAGCGTCCGGTTCATGGCATTATGCAGGTTGCACATCCAAATCACAAACTCCTTCTGTGAATTCACTCTAGAGAGTACTCTTCAGTACGCCTACGCTGGAGGATTTTTCTCGAGGAGCTTCTTCAAATGCTTCGCGCAAACTTTGCAGGGATAAAGATGCGCAAAACTAGCGATAAACTCGCGAGCACGTTGTTTATCTTCTTCCGTGGGATTATCGGGATAGTACGCGGCCACAGAGTGTAACTACATTGAAAGAAAAAAAGGAACGCGCCGTACTAATGTCCAGGAATGACGTCCTAGCAGTTCACGAGATGGAGGACACTCGTGCAGTTTACCATCGGCATCGCGTACAGTGAACTCATTTTCTTTCCGCGTATACGCAGAAGGCTGCTTTACAGCCTTCTCTAGTCGTCACACTTCGAACGGTAAAAAAACTCACTGGAAACAGATTCAGTAGTTAAGCGGAACATTTCTTGGGTGTCGTGGCACGCTGGGTTGTTACAATCAGGAATTGGGTCTAGAAATATTATCTCGTAAGATGTCGATGATACTGCTTGCATCTTCTGCTTTGATCTTTGGAGAATAGAGTAGCGAAAACATAGCAACTCCACCAACTGCCGTAACAACACCCCAGAATGGTTTATTAGACTGCTGTTTATACAGATGTCGCAAAGAATTACCATTCTTACAGAAGAGTGAGCGATCCAACGACAAGGGTTCGAAACGCCAGAACGAATACGGATACCAGCCCTTGCGATAATAGGTCGGGCACTAAATAAACGCGAAAACATGGGTATCAATAATTGACAATTCTTCTTTCGAATTTATGTAAACCGCGGAAATTGACACTTTTGGGTTTGCGTACATTTTTTGCCATATTCGCAATGGAGTCGGGAGAATGTAATTTTCCATTTCGAATGTATTCAACATAGTCAGTACAGAACAAGGACAAATAAACCAGGAAACAGAGCAGAATCAGAACATACCGGAAGTACAAGAAAAAGAGGAAGTGCAAGATAGCGGAGTCGTGATTGAAGAGGTCATCGATGAAGAAATCGTCCGGGACATTGAAATGGCCAACAAATTGAAGCTAGAAGGAAACGAGTATTCGATTTTGACTGATACAACATTCTAGATTGTATAAAAAAGGTGAATATGAAGCCGCGATTGAGAATTACAAAAAGAGCATTCTGTATTGTCCTCTGGAAGACAGTTATAACAAGGAGCGTGTATATTTTCTCTATTTTTACATAATCATGTATAGGCCATCTTTTTTTGTAACATGGGTGCTGCACAAATCGAGCTTGTTGTTGCTGTTACTCTTGCTAATGAGTAGAAGCAATATGAAGAAGCAATTGAGAGCTGTACTCGCTCCATCGAGATGAACGCGGACTATTTGAAAGCCTATGTACGTCGTTCGCAAGCGTATCTCGCAACCGAGAAACTGGACGATTGCTTGGCAGGTAGGGCATGCGCGGTTTGATTGATGCGTAGACTATGACAAGATTCTGGAGCTGGAACCGTCGCTCACGCAGTACGCGAGCAAACGCCGGCAACTGGCGAAGCGGATCGAAGAACGGAACGAGAAGTTGAAGGAGGAAATGCTGGGGAAGCTGAAGGACGTGGGGAACAAAATCCTGGGCAAATTCGGGATGAGTTTGGACAACTTCAAGATGGAGCAAGACCCCGCCACCGGCGGATATAGCATCAAATTCGAGAAATCGACTGTTTGTCACAAACACGCAAAGCGCTTTAAGGGTTGGGGGCGACGGGGATCTGCGGCAATTCCTTGTTCAGACTGCGCAGCACGCGCGCTCCGCTGATGATATCCGTCGTCATCATCACGATCTCGTATCCACACTGCTCCTACTCTCGTCACGCTCTCCGCGTCCCTACGATCCGCTTCAGCTGTCGAATCGCCGCCATCTCCATGTAGGACATGCCTCCCACCAGCACCACCAACGCCACCTTCTTCCGCATGCCGTTCTCGCGCAGCGAGCTCGCCATTTCCTGCCGGTACTCCTTCACGCTCACCGGCAGCAGCTTCTGGATCTCCGCGCTCACGCCGTTCTGCAGCAGGATCGCCTGCACCAGTCGCCCCGTCAGCGGCGCGTAGCCGCTGGTGACGTAGCTCATGTCGCTCATGTCCATCCCGGTCACGCCGTCCTGCTCCAGGCGCATGCGGGCGCGGATCGTCGCGAAATTGCCGGCCGTCTCTTTCGGAATCAGCAGACCTGCACCTCATCGACAGGCGTCGCTTCTCACCGAGTTTCTGGAGATTGTGGAGGAGCAGGAGCTTGTCGAAGCCGTAGATTTGGAGCAGCGCGTGCCGCACTTCGTCGAACATTTTGGGCTTCAGCCCATTATTCACCAGCGAATACAGAATCAGCAGCCGCATCACCGTCACGAACGACGCCTACGCTTCACGCTCGCCTTCCGCGCGCACTCCCACGTCGGCGAGCGCCACCAGATCGACGGGATTGCCGTCCCCCGAGAGCACCGCGTGCTCGTCCTGCCACCGCGCGCGGAAGTCCTCGTTGTTCGTCACTTTCGACACCGCGTTGAACAGCTACCCCTCACGTCCGCCTCGCTCCCCCACTCCATAATGCGTCTGCGCCAGCTGCTTCCGATTCAGCAGGTCCGGGAGCTTCTGCTGGAACTCCATGAACTCGGCCATGGACACGTTCCCGCTCTGCGGCTTCGCCTTCACTTCCTCTGCCCTCACTCTCCTTTCCCGCCATCCTACCGCCCACCTGCGCCACCTTCTGCGCCAGCACGCGCGCCACCTTCACCACGTTGTAGTCGCGCATTTCCTGGAAGAAGCTGTCCGAGTTGTTCAGCCGGATCGTCAGCATCTTGTCTCCCTTCAGCTCCAGCGTCTTCTCGCTCACCGTCACCGCTCCCCGCTCGATCCCCAGCACCTCGTCCAGCATGCCCTCGTACGTCAGCGGGGTCACAAACGCGGAAACCGGGTCCAGACCGCGGTCCAATAGGATGAGCCGGTCGATTTCGGGAGGCAGGTCCACTTCTGTCAGTTTCCCCGCGGTGCGCGCCTGGAGGAGCATGTCCACCACGGCTTGCGAGTGAGGACCCAAAGCGGTGATCGCGGGGATCACGCCGTAGAGCTGCTGAATCATGGTGAGCGCATCCGCGGTTAATTGCAGACATGTGTAGTCGTGCTTGAGATAGAGCTCGCTACGACACAGGTTTATAAGGAATCGTACGCATAGCTGTCGGGGATGCCAAGAACGAGCAGGTCATCGTCCATCGGGTAGATGTCCAGATTGGTGGAGATGATCGTAGCCGAGTCGAGAATGCCTTCGTTCTTCATCAGTTCGCGGACAAAGCGGGTGATGCGCGGAAAGAAGAAGATGGTGAACGCGGCAGGGGACTAGAATCGGGTTGGTTGCAATGTCTGTACCTCCGCCTCTTCAAGCTTTCGGATGTAATTTGCTGTCATCTTTATATCTTCAGGAATTGGACGAATGAAGAATAGAACGTTCGGAGATGTGATGGAGGCCACGGTGTTTGATAATGCAATGAATTGAGTTATACCACATTCCTAGAAAGATATCACAGTATTTGGAGTGTGTACCTTGAGTACAGTGGAACCTTCTGTTACAAAGATCAACTGCTTGTTAATCTGTGAATCTATAATCACGCACTTTTCTCCCTCGATCTACAGTTGAAGGATTTTCGGTCCAATACCTGACTCAACAATTCCTTGATGCGATTTTTCTCTTGATCACGAATAGCCACGAGATTGAGTGGAGAACTGGCAAGAGTTGGTAGTGAAGACATTTCACTTTTCGTTCCTTAATTTGTGTTTGATCCGCAAAAACAGACAGAGTCCCGCGGGTATCAAGGAGGAACTCACTTTCATTTTTCGCTCAATATTATTATGTCCTATTATAGTTCGGATCAGCGACAATTGATCCAAGCCAGCGAATTGGAACACATCCAGATTGCTCTCACTAAAGAGAAACAGAGTATGCTGACCGAAAGGGAGCTTTCAATTTATCAATACCTCATGGCTACAAAGGTATTATTATTCAATTTACGTTTTTCAGTGTAGGATTCGCATTACAATGATGGAATGAGTTCCATGTCCCGCCTGTTCTGTAATTTTCGTATTTTTCATGCTGAGTCTAGTCGCTCATGTTCAAAATCCTTGTTGCCTTGGAGGAGACTGGAAGAGATGCCCGATTCATTCTATTTACGCGTACTACTGCATGGCTAGACATTGTATGCAGTCTACGGAAATGTGTCGTCACTGCGTTCAGTTTTTTGGGTATTTGAATTACTTTTCTTGGCAATAGAAACGATTCCGTCAAGGCAGTGTACGATTCCTATCGGAGTAATTTAGACAAGGCCATGAATCACATACAAATATGTAATGTATACCTTTTGTCTTTGCTTGGTCTTAGATTATAGAAATGTTGGAAGTGCGTTGTAAATCCAGAGATCCGAAGTACTTCTCTTGAGATCGTTTCCACGTAGCGATGAGCAGTCTGTCAACGAACCGCTCGATGGACGAAGAATACACAGCCAAGCCCTGGGAAGAGTCCTGCATCCACATCCCAGACGGACTGTTCTACTCGCAAAACGAGAAGAATAGCAAGAAGGGCTATCTCCGCCTGATCCCCGTGAGCTTCGAGAACGACGTTGTGGGGTGCGATGACTACCAATCCCTCGTGAGAGTAGCGAAGATGGCGGCGTGCGACGCATAGGAAATGCGAAAGAACGAGCAGTACGTGCAGATGAAGAATATGGATTATGGACACATCGGAAACGCGGAGAAAAGGTATCGAAGCATCGTCACGGAGGATATGGTCAAGCAGATCATCCGAAACCTGCCTTTTCTGTCGAATTTCTCGATGACCACCGCGTGTGTCGAGCGGTTATCGCTGGCGTTGAAGGAGTATTTGACCTATGTGCTCCAGGTCTGCAAGCACGAGCATGAGCAAGTGGCGTTGCTGACTGGATCGAACTCTGAAGTGATCACAAAGGCGGATATTCAACGCGCCATTCAGCGCCATCCATTCATTTTAAGTGCTTTTCCTTCCTTGTGATTTGTTTGTTGAATGATGTGATTGCTTTGTTGCGAATGGGCGTGCGAGAGAGATGGGATGAAAGAAAGAAAGAATGAAGGAATTGATAGATGGTTGTAGTAATAGAAAACAAGGAAGAGTCAGGGTTGTGAGTGAAAGAAAAAAACGAGAATAAATGAATGAATGAATGACTGAATGACTGATTGACTGATTGACTGATTGACTGATTGATTGATTGACCGATCGATCGATCTATTCATACATTCATTCGATGTGTATGGATTCATATCTAGCCACATGTAGCATAAACCTCGATGAACAAACATCAATACAATAAAAGTGAAAAAACTAGAGCGTGTATAAATGAAAGGAACAAAAACGAGAACGCTTCAGACTGGGACGAACAGTCATTAGGATGTTCCCACTTAAATATTTCCGATTCTATACATTAATACTTCGCAGTGGTAGTACAGGTAATATACAAATGGCTTTCTTGTGCTTTGACAACACTATCTCGGTACATAAACTAAACATCAAACAGATATCCATCCCCGACATCTCTTCAAACAGACTCGGCTTTGATGTCACCTTCTCGCTGTCTATCCTCCGAACACGACGATCAAATGTGTGCCGCAATCTAGGATAAAACGTAAGGATCTGGAATACGTTGTATTTACATCAAATGCTTTCCTTCGAGACTCGCATATACCGATAGAATCTGTCATGGTCCGTGTTATAGGTCCGATATTCTCTTTGTTTTCCTCACAACTCCGTATTTGGTGTGCGATACTCTGCGAATCTAAAATCGGGAGAACCGAATCCTTCTTCTTCCAACCTCCTGCTTTGATATCTTCCGTTACGATATTTGCACACATAAGCGGTGCATTCATTTTAGACAATTACAAGAAAGCTAAGAGAGAGGAGAAAAATGCCCTCCTTTTTTATCCCGCCAAACTTGAATGAAACGCTCATTCCCTCCAAATCACTGTATCTCGTGAATTGCGGTGATTGCATGATGCCCTATTTATGTACATGCGGTGGGGATCATAAAATACATAGAGTACCAAAATGGAGTGGATAGTGATATTAAACGATATTGAGATGTGAATTTGTAACACTGCATGTGTAGAAATTCAATGAATAGAATATGTTTGTGATTGTTCGACCACGCATTGTGTATTCAGTCAAGAAAAGTGAACAATCCAAAAGATTTATTCATTGATCCCATTGCTATCGTCCAATAGCAATAGAGTAACAACAAGAATCGACAAATACAACACTTCATGCTATTTTTTGTTATTGTATTATTTTTAATAAAGAAGCAAGCACAAGGATATTATTATTCTCCACATACCATACCATTTGCTTCAAACATACACAACACATATTCCATTGTTGTGAAAAAAGTGCTACTATGAATGTATTCCATAGTATGATATATATATCTAATATCATTCCCTAGGATACTTATTTTCCATAACAAACTCCTTTATTCATCACTCCACATACTATTCCATTTCTCTAACCGATTATTATTATCATCATTATTATCGTATTTCAATAGAATTGTATTACAAATCACAATTCCCCAAAACACAAGGTATTTTTGCATTACCAAAATTTCCCTGTATTTTCAAATTGCATTGTTTCATAGAATGGACATAAAGGAAGCTTCTTCTGTGAAACTCGATCAGCTAAAGGGATCTGGATGGGTTGTAATGTATCCCTCTTATATTGATAGCTCCATGTCTGTAAAGGACGGGAGAAAGGTGAGAGCGGATCTATCCTGTATGTTATTTAATGGCAACATTCGATTCTAGGTGAAAACCCTACAGTTCAGGAAGTGGCAAAGGCTTGTATACAATTAGGTCTCGATTGTCTTATTGAAGTATGGAATCACTTTCCAAATACTATCGTAGCCTAAGCGATATCCCAAGAAGTGGTGGGTTCCGGGAAGATGTCGTATTCGTATTCATAATGCAGACGGAAGCCCGTGTAACAAATCTGTGAACTCACGTAGCAATTCTAGGCCCAAGTGATGCATAGGAAAGGAGCTGTTTCATGAAGTGGGTAAGGTAATTCCTCAAATCCGTCAACAAATGAGAGAGCAAATGAGCGCATCCCAAAAGGGAGGTCCGGCACCTGCGGGATCGCAGAACAAAGCGAAACCGAAAGGAAAGGGCAAGGGTCGAAAGAAATGATCTGTTTGTTAACAAAGAAGGCTCCTCGCTTCACAAAGAGAGCAACTAGCTTCATGCACATTCGAACTAAGTAGTAAATTAGCAACACTTCTTCTTGGTCTCGGCCCCCGATTCTGCCGCCCCGGTGATCTTCTGCGAATTCGATTGCTGTCCATTCACCTTGACTCCGTCCTTGTCTCCCAAGGTGATCGCGCCCGATTTGATCCGCTTGATGATTTCCCGCGCGGTCAGAATGAACACGTTGTCCACATTGTACCCCGTCTTCGCAGAAGTCTCCAAAAACATGAGTCCATTCGCTTTGGCGAACGCTTCTCCGTCCGCGTAGCTCACCACTTTGTCTTCCTCTTTCACATCGTTTTTGTTTCTACGCGTTATCTCGCTCCCTCGCCCCTACCCCACCAACGTGATCACGATATTCGGGTTGGTGGAGTTGCTTTGCACTGCCGACAGCCACGACTGCAGCTTCTCGTACGATTGCAAATTTGTCATGTCATACACGAGAATCGCTGCGGCAGCTTCACGATAATAAGCACGAGTAATGGCCTGGAAGTCTTCCTGACCGGCAGTGTCCCAAATCTGCAGCTTCACATTCTCTCCATCAATGTTCAGGGACGAGCTACCAAAATCGACACCGATCGTAGGTCCCACGTTGGCCGCAAAACGACGGTTGGTAAATTGGAGAAGCAGACACGATTTGCCAACAGACATGCTACCCACGATAATAAAACGCATAACATATTTCGTAGGACCATCAGCAGGCTTCACTACACATTGCTGGGTTTGTGGCGTGGAGGAGGTTTCACTTGTATAAGCAGTTGGAACAGCTAATGGAGGCGAGGCAAACGTAGTTGTAGGTACAGGAGATGGATTCGGATGGGTTGAGTCATGTGGTACAGCTGTCTGAACTGCTGGCGCTGGACTCGCATTGTTCGGAACTACACGAATAATGTCGAAATTGAACGATTACCAGACGAGGCAGGAGGAACAAATGCTTCTCCATTCACAGAAAAGTAAATCTTGTCTCCATCTTCAAGTTCGGATACACTCGTAATCTGGCCCCCTAATTCGTTGTATACTATCGAATTTGGGCCTTGAGGCTTATTCACCTTTAGCGAAATCTTATATAACACTTGCTCCCAAGACTCTGTCCTTGCTACGTATAGACTACTATTCCCCATTTCGGGTTCTCCATTTATGCAACATTTCACTTCTATTTTGTTCATCTTCCTTGATTATTGCAACACATCTTTTCTATAGGAGTCATTGGCGTCAGAATTTTCGAATAATCGCGGTTCCGCGGGATCGCTTAAACAATCGTATTCCACAGGAATTGAGTGTTGGTGTGGGATACTATTGTAGTATGAGTTGATTGAGCATAGGTCGTTCAAAATGCATTAGAGTATCTAAGTGTATTCGAATTCTCTATGTTGTTACTTTTGATTTGTACAGCTGATAAAACTGTAGAAGGAGGGGAATAGAGATATACAATAGTTACCTAGATTTGATTCGTTGAAAAGGAACGGAAGTGAGATTCGAGTAGAGTCGTTCGAGATTGTATTGAACCAGATGGATTTTTTCTATGTTGAATAACTCTCGAACATGTGCAGATTTCAAAGATGATAGTGATTCATGGAATGAAGCAATCTGCACATGGAATGAAGCAATCCACTCATCGAATGAAGCAATCCACTCATCGAGTGAAGCAATCCGCACATCGAGTGAAGCGCGCTATACACTCCTTTATCGCAAACAAACAAACAAACAAACAAAGGCAACAACAAAACCATAACAATAACAAAACAATAGCAATGTCACATTGTCTTGGGTTCAAGGAAGGGGATGTGCAGAATTCCGCACGAAGCCAGAAGATTTAAAATCATAGATAATAGATAAATAGAGATCAGGATAACACCAAACTTTTTGGTATAAGTAAACTTTTGCAGCGGCACCACAATCAGTGTCGTCAAAAGCGTCAAGATCAAAAAGATAAACGTGAGATTGATGACAATCGTATCTTCTCCCAGCGTGATGTCCTCATCCCTACGACTCGTCCCCACTCCGCACCCCTACGGAAATTCCACCATTCGGATGCCCAGCGCGACTCCCAGCCCCATCAGCATCGAGAACATCGGCGCTAGAGTTGAGTTCCATCCCCGCCGCTACATGCGTAGATTCCACCAATGGCCATCTGCGGATATCCCTGCTTGGTGATGGTGACGTCTCCCACGAGATCGCTGATCGAGTTCCCCACAGCGAGCACAGTGAGACCCATCACGAACGGCTGAATGCCCGCGATCGACCCCAGCGCGTTCATCAGATTCACCAATTCGTCCGCGATCTCTTCGACCCACATGATCGACATGAAGAACGACACAAACAGAATGATCTACGCGTGACGGCCTCGCCAGACCCGCACAAAAAACATGGACTGCTTGGGCGCTCCCTCGAAGGGCATGCAGCAGGCGAAGAACACGAACAGCACCAGGGAGATGCCCAGCAGCACCACCCAGCAGGGCAGTCCGAACATCAGCTCCGACAGCGCTTTCTCCGACTTGTGGAAGATGAACAGCGGCATGCCGAACGCCGTGGACAACAGCAAAAACTTGTCGTAGCGCTCTTCCATCACCACGGGGATCGTCATGTTTCGCAGAAGGGTCATGGGCGCCTCCAGCCAGTACACGATCTTGTTCATCCAGCTGAGCTTCCGGTAGTACTCCACTTCGCAGCGCACCGTCTGCTTCAGCAAGGCCCACCTCGACGTCTTCGCGGGCGGCTGCGTCTCGGGCGGGAACGCGTCGACCAGCAATTCCTGGTTGTCCTTGGAGTAGTCGGGCGTCTGGTGCTGCACCAGCATCATCCCCATCAAGTCGCTCGCCGAAGCCATTTTCGAGTCGAGCAGAAGTTCCGACTCCGACTCCGAGCCCGATTTCGCTCCCATGGAGCGAGTCGGAGAGTGCGGAGAGTGCGTGGGCGAGTGTTTCTCAGAATGAATGGGAGAATGCTTTTCAGAATGGACGGGCGAATGCTTTTCAGAATGGACGGGCGAGTGCTTTTCAGAATGAATGGGCGAATGCATGGACGAGTGGACGGAGATATCGTCGAGGAGATTGGTGTGGGAATTGGTGCGCGAGTGGGGCCTGGAATGGCCGTCCAAACTGCCCTCGATGGAAACATCCAGAGAACCTTCCTCGTACGACTCCGACAGGCGATGCGTGTGTTCGTTGGGCATTCCCGAGTTGATCGCCACTTCGTTCTGCAGCTCCGCGTCGTCGTCCTCCTCGATCGGCGAGATGTCGCCCGACATGGCTTCCAGCAGCGGCGCGCCGTCGTTGCTGTACAAGAGGCGCAGCGGCTCGGGCGTGGCCATCTTCGACAGCGACCGCGCGGACTTATACCGGTCCGGGAGAATGGGGTGGGTTCCGTCCTCCGAACTCTACGCCATCACCGCTCCGCCGCGCTGCTACGTCGTCGAACTCGTCGAGCACCATCTCCTTGACCATGTGCCGAATGGAGTGCATGGGCTCGGACATGATCTTCACCTTGGCCGTGACCGACAGACCCGTCGTTCCGACCAGCTCATCCACATCGTCTACCGTTCACCTCGCTCTCCGTTCCCACTTTGCGACAGCAGCATTTCGCGCGAACCTCCAGTGTGCAGCAACTCCTACTCCTCACGTCCGCCCCTCAAAGCGACAGCGTCCTCGTAGACCTCCGCGGACTGCTTTCGGAAGATGATGACGATGGCCACGTAGACGAAATAGATGACGAAGAAGCCCACGACTTCCCACACGTGGACCTTCCCGTCGAAAAACACAACTACCAAATAGACTGTCGACACCTTCACGGTTAGAGAGGGAGCGTCGCAAGCATACGATGTAGGTGATCAGATCACGGAAGAAGGATAGCGGATTCACGCGACATTCGCTCATAAACGCTACCACACCGGTGATGACCGTAGTGATGAAGAGACCCGCGCCCAGATTGGAGCCCATACCAATGTGGGAGTATCCGCTCACCACGGCGGACATCAAAGCAAACACATCCGGTCCTCCATTTCCAAACGAAAGGAAAGTGACACCAGCGATACTAGGCGGTATGCCCATCTTCTCCACCATGTCTGTCAGGGCCACACAGAAATATTTATCTGCGGTTGTGGCCAGAATGTAGATAATGTAGCAGAGCAGACATACCCAACAAATAGGTAGCACGACCTTCTGCCATCCATGTGCTACGCAGTCCTGAAGGTATCTACACACAAGTTCGAACATTCAATTGCAAACAAGTAGTTGAATAGCCCTGCCTTGTCAGTGCATCCCACCTCGTCACAGGAATATTTTTCCTAAATAGCAAGCAAAAAGAAGCACATGCCATGATTTGGTATCCACACGTATTATTCTCGCTTCCAATATCATAGAAAAGATATGTCAAAGAGTTTGGAGAGGGAGATGTCCGCCTACCATACTTCACTAAGTTTCAACCGAGTACACGACCAAACTTACAGCTTGCTATTGTAGTAGCCACAACGATCGAAAGTATTACGATAGGCTTCAAAATAGTAAGTTTTTTCATCAGAAAAACCATTTAATGTAAATAAGCTAGACTTTGTGGAAACCAAATACAATAATACTATTTAACTTACCCCATGGAGTTGTACAACGTTACCCATTTTTTGCTTTCCTTATTATTCTTGTTGTAGCAATTGAGCAGGAGCGAAAGAGATAGTTGATCTGAAAATGATACGATATCGGTTATTGTTCAACCTGCTTCCGGATATAAGAGCGCAACACCGATCGGGATGTATAGGAACTTTGGAAACAACATATTTGGATCGATACAACTTCAAACATTTTCCCAGTCGCAATCCATTTTTTATTTTGCTTGCTCCCAAATGTTCGCTTTTCCGAAACGGATCGCTACATCATTGTGGGCAAGGAGAGACAATTTTTGCATGCGCACGTTCGCCATTCAAGGAAAACGTGCAGTTCTGGGAATCGAGACAAGCTGTGATGATACTTGCGCCGCGGTGGTTTTAGAAGACGGAACAATTATTCATTCTGCGCAAACGTCCCAGCACCGAGAAAATCAGCAGAAAGGAGGAGTCGTTCCATCGATTGCTGCTCAAAATCACCGCCACAACCTTCCTATCGTTGTCGAGGAGGTGCTCCAGCATGCAACTGTCGACACGATTGATGCAGTCGCTCTGACCATCGGACCGGGCCTCGCTCCATGTCTAGGCGCAGGTCTCGACTTTTGCAAGCAATTCTGCTCGGAGTTCCACAAGCCTCTCATTCCCGTGCATCACATGGAGGCCCACGCCATGGTTCCCACACGTACAAGCTGTCTCTTCTACCCCTCCCTCTCCTTTCTGATTTCGGGCGGCCACACACAGCTCCTCTACTGCAGCGACCATCTCCACCCGTTTTTAGAAGTGGGTTCTTCGCTCGACGACGCGTGCGGCGAATGCATCGACAAAGTCGTCCGCGAAATTCTCCGACTTACGCCCTCCATCCACACTCCCAAACACGGCGGAGCACAGCTCTCCGAGTGGTCCACCCAGTACCAAACACACAAAGCGCAGAAGAATCCCCGCGAACCCGATTTCCCCGCGTTTCCACTGCCATTGGCGCGGCGGCCCACCGCGGATTTTTCGTTCGCGGGACTCAAAACGCACTCGATCCGCGTGATTCACCAGCTCCACGCGGCGAACAAACTCGATGAACCCACGGTCGAACGATTTGCGTTCGAATTCGAACGAGCGATCGTTCGCCACCTTGTAAACAAACTGCAGCGCGCAACCAATGCGTTCCCTGAAGTCCGCTCGCTTGTTCACTTCGTGGAAATATGTGACTCGTAGTGCTGTGGTGGCGGAGTGATGAGCAACCCCACGTTGCAGGCTGCATTGCGATCTTTTGGGGAAGAGAGAGGGATCGAGGTTTTTATTCCCCCCAAAGCGTATACTATTTTTACTTTGAAGTGCTTATTGTCATAGACAATGTACGGATAATGCGGTAATGATTGCATGGCGAGGTTTGCAGCTATTAAATGCGGGAAGGGGTTTGGTCTATGAGAACGAGCTGGAAACGCTCCGATATGATGATAAATTGTCCTTTAGCAGGTTCGATTGGGAGTAACTTGCATAGTGGTATCCTTATGGCCCTGTACTTTTGGCGATGTTCCTATGCACCTCCAAGAGGGAAAATCTGATTTCATTGTTCTGCTTAGTCCCGTGCGTTTTGTTTGTTTGTTTAAATCGTATTTTTCTCAATACGAATTGATATCGACGTATGGCAGACGCTGATGTAGGTTTTGATCTTTCGTGGCCTTCCCTTACCGTGTTTAGCTCTTCAAACTGTCCAATGATTCAGACACCTCAAGTCAGAACAAGTAGTCATGTCTATTCTGTGTGAGTCTGTAGATCACCCGAAGAAAATTCACTCCTAACAGATTATGCCCTTCTTCAAATCCTGGGAGATGAAACACTGCTTGATGAGATGAAACATTCCGAGTCGACGATGGACGAGTATTTCCACAACCCTGCGATGATTGAGAAGCTCATTCGGTACATGTTGGGTAGATTGTTCATGTGCAGATATATTCTTCAGGAAGACCTCGAAGGCGTGGAAGACTACAACCACTATTGCTATTCTCGCAATGCGGCGCTTCTTCTGTGCTCAAGTCTGTCCCTCTCGATTGGCGTGCTAAGCGACCTCCGCCTCTTCGGACTGATCTGCACTCTGATCGACAAAGACCACTACAGTCCCCAGTAGGCGATTCCTCCTCCATGATCCCCAGCAACGCCATGTGCTTCGCGATGATCGTGGAATCGCTCTGCCGCAACCAGCTGAACGTCCTCCCGAACTACGTCTTCGAGCACCCCTCCGTCCTCGACGATCTCGCCTCGCATCTCGAGAATCTGAACATAGTCCGCGCGCTGTTCGCTCTCTACACCAGCAGCGACGAGCCCATTTTAGACGCCGCCTGGCTCACTCCCCGCCTCCTCCGCGGGCTCCACAGCTACGACTCCTCGGACAACTGCTTCGCTTTTCTCTTCAAACTCATTTCCCTCCTCGCTCTCGAAGAGTTTCCACGATCCCCCGCGGTTATCCCTAGTCCCGAGGACCCGGGCGTGGTGGCGACGCTCTACCAAGACATCTTCGCCAGCGCGGCATTCCGCGAGGCCTTCGAGCGGGATCTTCTTCGCCTTCTTTCTCTGCGCGATCGCATGGATTCCGAGGCCGACAACGGCTGTCAGCTCTGCTTCAAAGCCATGCGCCGCGTGCTCGAGCTCTCCCACGAGAAGCGTTTCGGTTCTCCGTTTCCACGATCCGTAGTGCAGCTGCCGATCTCCCTCGACGACGACGCCTTCCCCGACGACGCGCGATCCGACAACGCGATCGCCTTCGCCTTCCGCCAGCCGCTGCTCGACGTTCTGCACCGCGCGCGCGCCACGCTGCTCGACGTCCTGCAGGCCTTCCACGCCCCGGACCCCGTTCCCCGTTTCCCCTTTTCTCCTCATTCGTAGAAACGCGAGCTCTGCCCGAAAGCCTTGCCGGAATTGCTCAGACTGCTCGGCGAAGCCGTGTGCTGCGAGCGGCGCGCGAGCGGCGCGCTGGACCAGGAACTGCTGGAGGCGCTGGACGCAGCGATGGCGGGGAGCGTGGTGTGCTACTATCGGAACTCGTTTCTGCACGGAACGGTGAAGAAAATCTACAAAACGCTGGTGGATTCGCGCGATCCGAGCATTGTGCAGTGTGCGATTTTCTCTCTTTTGGACGCTCATTCGCAGTTATCATGCAGAATAGCAGGGTCTTCGAGGCCATCGACGCGTCCTCCGTACGTGCCGAGGCGAGGGTTGAGGGTAGGACTGCCGGGTCCCCGCGGTGATCGCGCTGAAGAACATCTTTCATCGGTTTTACAAGATGAAAGAGCGTCGCGAAGAGTTCAAAGCGGGCGCCAAGTTCGCGAAGATGCTCGAGCAGTTCGATCTGGAGGAGGAGTTCAAGCCGCTGCGGGAGATCGATGTAGAGCTGGGGCGGAGGCGTGATGTGTAGCTTGATAAGAATCCCGTCGGGACGAGGGAGGGAAATGAGATGTAGATCGTGTCGCCGATGGACTATTATATTCAGCTGAATAATCTTATGATGCTTTTAGATGACAATGAGAAGAGCAATCTCTTACAATTGTTCTCTCAGCTGGAAGGTGCTGCGATCGATGTGACACAGGATGGAGATGCCGATGAGCACCAATTTGATGAGATCGAGGAGGAAGAAGAAGAGGAAGAAGAGGAAGAGGAAGAAGAGACAGGGGAAAGGATCGTCGAGATGTAGTGGAATTCCAAAAATCGGGACTTTTGACTGTTCTTTTTGTTTTGAAATAGCAAGATTAAACTGGTATACAATCGATTTGACGATTATGTATCAACAAATTCGTCCGCCTGCGCCAGGATATATGTCAGGATCGGTACCTCCTCCAAGACCGATGGCATATGCACCTTCGATGCCACAAGTCATTCCAGGTCCTGGAGGATATGTGCCGCAGCCTATGATGAATCCTCCTAGACCAATGGTCCCTGCTACGAATCCGACAATGATTCCGGGTCCTATGAATCCACCTATGATGCAAGGTCCCATGAATCCATCGCCCTATCAAAGTTATCCGGTTCCATCGGCTCCAGTGAGTGCGCCCGTAGAAAGAGTCGCCGAACAGTAGTGATTTTGGTAGTGTATCAAATGAAGAAATCCATATCCCAATCCATCTGTTCCAAATGTGAAGATTACTCGTTGTCGTTTTAGGTGTAGGAGCATTCCGTTACGCTCAACCCGCTATACTTAGCCGACTCAAAGAATGAAGAGATCAAAACTTCGCAACTAGATGTAGGAGATGTGTGGACTGCATGTAACTTGAAGGATATCGACTGGATGAAGAGTGTAATCGAAAATACTCGTAAAGAAGTGCGTAAGGTTAGCTGGTATATTTCCCCTGTAGAGCGTTTTAAAGAGCTTGTTCCCTTTTCTGTTTTCTCACAAACAACACTTTCAGAAACTTTCAGAAACTTTCAGAAACTTTCAGACACTTTCAGACACTTTCAGATACTTTCAGACACTTTCAGACACTCGATTAGTTCTCCAGCTTCTCCGTGCTGAACGCCTTCGTCGTCTCCTCCAATCCCTTAAAGTACTTCACCGTCTTCACACGCAGCTCCAGCGTGGCATCCTCATCGCACACGATCATCGCGTTCTTGTGCATCTGCAGGCACGACACGGTCCACATGTGGTTCACTCCCTCCTCGACGCACTTAGCCAGAGCGAACGCCTTGTGCGCTCCGTTAATGATAATGACCACTTCGCGAGCGTCCAGAATGGTGCCCACGCCCACGGTCAACGCCGTCTTCGGCACTTTGTTGATGTCATAATCGAAGAAACGGCTGTTCGCGATCACCGTATCGTAAGCAAGCGTCTTCACGCGAGTTCGCGAGCTCAGCGAGGAACCAGGCTCGTTGAACGCAATGCCATCAGGGCCGATGCCTCCGAGGAACAGCTCGATGCCTCCGTACTTCTTGATCTCCGCTTCGTAGTTGGCACATTCCTCGAGCAGATCGGGAGCGTTTCCGTTCAGAATATGGATATTCTGAGGACTAGAGGGGTAAACAAAACAGAGATAGCAAGTACATGATATCAATGTGCTGGAAAAGGTTTTTGTACATGAAGGAGTGGTAGCTCTCAGGGTGGTCCACGGGCAGGTTCACGTACTCGTCCATGTTGAAAGTAACCACGTTCTTGAAGGAGATACGTCCATCCTTGTAAGCCTGCACAAGTCTCTTGTAAACACCGATGGGAGAAGAACCGGTGGGGAGACCTAGCGATTTATGCAAAAGATTCAACCAAATACCCAAAACGAAAGGTCTTTCAGGAGTGGGGTTGAACTTGTTAATACGGTCAATCACATAGTTGGCAACATAGTCGCACAGGAAGTCGTAGTTCTCCTTAATTACAAGACGCATAACTAAAGTAAATAAAAATAATAAAAATAATGAAAGGGGATTGGAAAGAGATTGATGCTCCAAACCATACTCAATCTTCGCGGGACGACATGCAAACTATCAACTTTCCTTGATAGGACGTGTTTTGGACTTTGATAGTTTGTAATCCCTGAGAAACTTGCTGTAGTCGCTAAAGACACATTTTGTTTTCCTTATTGTTATCCCACTAATTGCTAATTATCCGGTGATACAAGTATTGTAGTCGCGAATGGATTGCCTATTTCAAGGACCCATCATCCCCTTGTTTGCAAGCACAATGCAGTGTTTTGCGCGCGTATTCCTTGATTCTTGTTCCATTAAATGTTGTAGACGAATGGAGACTTTGTGCTTCAGTGTACACCAGAGGGGATTGCATTCCAAGCAACCGGCGCTGCGCTTCAGTCCTTTATTTGTCTGTCGCTTCACAAGGACACGTTCTCTAGTTATCAGTACATTTTGCGGATATTGAAGTGATGAATAGTTGCTCCAGTTCCTTCCATTATGGAGTGAATTCAAAAGCGATTTTGCCGATTTTCAAAGATATCAAACATTTAGCAGCGGTCACAATGAAAGTTCGATCCAGAAGAGCGGTTTGAGCGATAGGTGGAGCAAAACGAAAACGAATTCAGCCTATCCTTTGAGCTGCTGTGCCGCCACGAAGTGAGAAAAGTGTTTCGAATTCGGCTCTTTGATTCCACGCTCAATTCTGTCCGTTTCAACAACGAACATGCTCCAAATAAAATCTCCATGCGTCCCGACCTACTCTGCAAGGCGATTCAGTATCTTCAGACCACTGACGAGATCATTATGAAAGTACAGGATTCTTCCTTCTCTCTGGAGAACATTCCTGCAGCCAACGAAGTCCGTACAGTCAGTAATTTGAGTGTTTCCGATCTGGACGAACTTTCGATCCATGCACCAACATCAATGCGGTTCTTCATCGGAGTCGTTTGCTGTGATGTCTTCATGATGTGTAGGGACTTGTGTCCGTTCTGCAGCTGTTGATGGCCGCAGAAATCCCCTTGCTTCTGATGGAATTCGGAGAAGGGGGCATGATCATGCGAGTGAGCGCGAAACCTGGCTGTGATCGTTCTGGGATGGCGATCGAGTATTTGATGATGACGGGGAGCGAAGAAGACGAGTAAGAGCGTGAATGAGTGTGAATTGTAGGATCGAGCCGGTTTGTGTGGGAATTGAATGCTATGTAGACAAAGCGAGCGATGACCATTCCAATGAACGTCGTAGGACCCGACATGGAGGGAATGGGTAGCCAAATGGGGAACCAAATGGGGAACCAAATGGGGAACCAAATGGGGAACCAAATGGGGAACCAAACGGGGATCACAGTTACTACGACGACAGCAGCTGCAGGAACTACAGGATCGATTGGAGCTGCAGAAACAATGGGAACTGTAGACAGACAGCAGGAGGCCGCGGAATTTAAAGAGAAACGCGTTGAAATCGAGAACGAAGAAGACGAAGAGGAAATGTGGAGACGAGTGAGTGAGGGGGAGAGGGTGAAGCTGTAGAGACGCGAAGAGGAAGAAGAGTGGATGTAATATACGGGGCAACCATGAAAATAGTGTTCAGTCAAATGAATAAACAAACAAACAAAAAACGATTACATTGTTCATTGTTTGCTTAAAAACTCCAAAACGTGTGGAATATGCTGCTGTGTGAGTGGGCAGATATTCAAACCTTCCAAATCCTCCTTCCTCACCCACTTCCTATCGCGATGATCCTTTTCTGGCCACCAATCATATTCCTTTGTACATTTCATCGTAAATAATCTCCACTGAACAGGCTTTCCCAACTTATTCGGATACACAATAGTAGAAATACAGTCACCAAACGTACCCTCAATCTATTCTTCACTTCAATGAATAATTCACACTCCCGCCTCTTCAAAGCACTCTCGGATTGCAGCTTCGCTTTCCGTTTCGTCTGATTCCCAACCACCCTTCGGGAAAACCCATTTATCCTTTCGCTTATGCGATGATATCAGCAAGAATTTGTCTCCCGAATAAACCACGCAACTATTACTAAACTTCTGCAGATGAACGATACCCAACGACAAGACGCGTTTCACCGTCATATCGCTGCTTTTCTCTCCCTTCCCGTGCATTAACAAATGGATAATCGCTCATTTTGCAGGAGGCAAAAAAGGCGTTTCACAGAATCTTCAACGATTAACTTCGCACAAAAGGTACAAATCCAAGGAGATTAAGTACCTCTCATATTCCACATTCAATGCGCGTAATCTCGAGAAAAGCAAAAAGCAAAAAAGGTGAAAAGAGAAGCGCCCACCGGGGGGCTCGAACCCCCGACCACCAGGTTAAGAGCCTGGCGCTCTACCGACTGAGCTAGACGGGCTTGTCTTTCTCCTCTTTCCATTCCTTTTACAACAAACATCGCACGAATACAAATCAGACACTTCCGTCTTCAACTTGTCCTTCTGGATCGTGTGAACGTACTGCTCAGGAATCGGTAGCTCGATCCAGTCCTGCTCGTCGGCCTCCGAAGGGAAGGAGACATTCATGTCGCTGCTCTTGCTGGTCGTGATTCGAAGGGAATCAACGCAGCTGCGCGGCACATACAGCGTGAATCCGTCGGTTTTATCGATCGCAGCCACATGCAAGTTGACGAGACATTGCGCCTTGCACTGCTTGCAGTTAACGACCTCCAGCGTGGACAAGCAACTATCGAAGACCACAGTGGTCTTCTTGCAGCCGTCGATCACCACCGACTTGCCCTTTCCCTTGATGATCACGTTGCATCCCACGCAGTTCACAATGTACACCACGTGATTCATCTTCACCTCCAATTCCACCTTCTCCGTCTGGTTCTCCACCATCCACTTGTTCTGCACCAGCTCGCAGCGCGGCGGTTTCGTCATCACCACTCTACGATTCATCGAATTCTTCGAATTCTACGTCGTTTTCTTCTCCTCCATCTTCACATTCCCGCGCAGCGCCGGGTTTTTGTGGCTCATCTCGCTCTTCTCCACGTGCCGCAGGTTCCGAACCCCGTTCGCTCCCACCAAACTCTGAAGTTCCGCGGCAAAATTGGCGGGAGGCGCAGGAACCGCGGGAGCAGCAGGAGCCGCAGGAACCGCGGGAGGAGGAGCGGTGGAAGGCGCGGAGATGGGAGTGGGATCGGGCTTGTAGGCGGAGAATTCGCAGCCAGAAGCGTTCCATTCGACGCCAATTTCGAATCGATCGGAAATAATCGCGATTAATTCCTTCATGAGGGCGATGACGAGCTTGCTCCACTCCATTGGCTTGTTGTCCATTCTGAATGTGAGCAGAGAGCGTGGGGATTACTTGTTCTTGGCGTCTTTTCGAATTCGATCAATCCAGAAAGTGGCCGAATTCAAACATTCCTGAACCATATTCTCGGGCTTATCGTTCTAGACTCGTCATGGAAACAACACGCGGAATACCACATTCACCCAGAAAATAGAGCCAACGATCTCACGCATCGCCTTCACGTAATTGACAGGGAAGTCACGATCGCGGTTCAAGGCATCCAGCTTCGTGTTGCAATCTTTGACAGGCGCGAAAAGAGTTGCCATCTCGGTTTCGTTCGGCTTCTTGCACACAGCCGCTTTCTGCAAGATCTCCTTCAAGAGTTTGGAGAAGAGGGTATCGAAAATTTCTCCCTACACATCACAGACTACGGATAGCATTACAATCGGCACAAACTTGTCACCTAATGTGTTACTAGCTTTCACAACTGGAACGACAAACTGCTCAACAAACTTGTCGTACCAATCGAGGTTGTTTGCAGGTTGGGCAGGAGCGGGTTTCGCCGGTTCAGGAGCTACGTTTAAAGAATGGCCTTGGATCCTACCCTTCTCAGCAGGCTTCGGCTGCTCCACGACACTAGGGGTACTCACTGGCTTCGCCATCTGCTTTCCCTGCATCTGACACTTGATCTCCTCAAGAGAATTGCTGATCTTTAGCAGCACTTCGTAGGTTTTAGCACTATAATCCATATTAATGATGTATCAATCGAAAAAAAAATTAAGTAACCCGACTTACTTACATCTCAAAATACCGATAGTGGTTCTTGATTATCAACCAACGATACTAACGAATCAAATCAAAAAAGAAGGAAGAAAAGAAAGCCCCAAGTGGGATTCGAACACACGACCTGCCGCTTACGAAGCGGATGCTCTACCAACTGAGCTATTGAGGCGCCTGTCTTCTCTCCTTAGAACCGGAGTTAGAGTATTGGTCTAGAATGGTTATTCTGTTATTAGGCACATTCTCTAGTGAGAGTCATGCTAACATATGCAGAGAGCGAAATCAGTGTGTTTTCCGTAGGACTCTTGCGTATGGAGGCGGTTTCTAATTCGTAGTCTAGCACATGGTTTACGATCGTCACACTGATTGCTGTTTTGTTAGTGACTCTTTTTGTTGCGTTTTTACAGGAGAAGGACTCGTTGTTGCTTTTTCTCCAACAGCAGTTCGGTTTGAAATCAACAGGGGATGCTGTTTTGAACGACGAGGATGAAAAGCAGTTTTTAAGCAGGGAGGCATCACGAGACCTGCATTCCTCTAATCCATCGGGTGGTCCTTCTGAATCTGTACTATTTATACTGGTGGATGCTTAGTTGTAGAAGGAGCTTTTCAACAATCTGCTCGCCCCTCAACCTCCGGAAGTGGTCGCTACGTCCGACAAATCGGACGAGGAAACCGAGTCGGAAGAAGAGAGCGATTCGGAAGGGACGCCGACAGTGATCGATTACGATTTGTACACTCGCGTGTGTGAGGAGTACCGAAAGACCTCTGCAGCTTTAAAAGATCGCGAGAGCGAGGTAGCAGAGCTGATAAAGGAGAACGAAGCCAAGGGGCTGACCATCAAGCTTCTTCGAGACCAATTGCAAACTGTGGGTTCTGTTTCAAGCGATTCTACGGGCGCTTCTACGGACGTGAAGCAGCTGCAGGCGGTGATCGACCAGCAGAAGCAAGTGATTCAGTCGCTGCTGGGCATCGACGGCTCCAAAAGCGACGTTGAAAAAGTGAATGCAATGGCGGGTGGATCACTCCCAGATCTTCGCTCTCTACGACCAGAAAACGCAGGAGCTCAACGCAGCACGCCTCCAAATCGACCAATTCCAAGTATCCTCGATGTCGATGCGTGATGCGTGTAGGCGGACTTCGCTCAGTTGGAAATTTACAAGCGCAAAGCCGAGTTGGTCGACGTTTCCCCTTTCGTTGTCCTCTACTCCATAGAAGCTTCTTTTAGAGAACGAATCCTTGCAGGCCAGACTTCGCGTCGAGTATCCCTATCCCGCCTATTCCGTTCTTTCCCCGCGGTGCATCATCACCCATAGTTCCCTGCGGGGTTCACCTACCCGCTCCTCCCTCCCGGGTTCGGCTATTCGCAGCAAGCGAGCGTGGCGGACGGGAATTCGGTGGGCGTGTTGAACGACGAAGACACCGCCAGCCGTCTCTCCGAGGGCGTTTCCTCTCTGATTCCCGCGGAATCGGCGTCGACGACGACGTCGAAGGCGGGGAAGCGTCCGATGAAGCTGCGGAACAAGGTGTATTTCCAGCTGCTGGAGGCGACCAACGCGCTGCAGCGCGAAGAAGCGGAGAAAACCGACGGCGGCGCGAAGCCGGTGAAGCTGAGCTCGGCGCAAGTGGCGCGTCTGGCGCAGATCGCGCTGGAGACGCAGCCGCAGGACGAGAAGGCGGTGGAGGCGAGCCGCGCGCAGCTGAGCGAGTTCGTTCCGCTGGTGGGGCGATGCGTGGAGTCTCGGTTTGTACAGTATATCTCGCAGATTCAGTCCATTTTACGTCAAACGTTGTGGCGTGTTTGTGGAACAAACAGGATAATACCAGGGAGCTTCCTCACTCTCGTCGAACGACTCGCCACGACCCATCTCCAGCATCGGTTCGCAATACGACAAGGGCGAATAGCCCCACGAATAGCGCTCAGGCACAACGGAGAAGGCCGATCCCATGGACGTAAAGGATCCGATGGACCCGATGGATCCGATGGACCCAATGGACCCAATAGACCCTGTGGAATAAACGGGAGTCGAAGGGGACGGGGATGGGACCGGGGAGGATCCCATCCAATACGAGGAGGCATGCAAGGAATTGAAGTCTAGATAGGAGAGAGAACGGAGACACTACACAACGAACAGCTCGCTGTACAAACACGCTGATGCAAGCTAGATGAATAGAGGATAAACAGGCTTTCGGAGACGAATAGAGAGAAGCAGATGCAGCGCAGAAAGGTCTGCTCCATCTGGTTGAGCTCATCGAGAGTCACGCAACCGACTTCTGCGAAGAAGGAGTTGCTGCAATATGCATCGTCGTTGAACTTCGAAGCCAGCATGATAGCCGTGAGAAGCAGCTTGTGAACGTTCAACGAGGTTATGCTCATTCCCGTGCTATGCAGAAACCGATCCACGTAAATCATGGAGAGAATCATTGAAGCGTAACTACAGTGCGTGTAGAAATAGATTCTAGGATGTCAGCGTCTACGTAAACACACCTCTCTAGATATTCACGAAGAGGGATAACTGGAATTTCTTGGCAAGAGAAAATGGTAACAGGTTGCTGTACAAGGAAACACCTCGACTTGTTTTCCATCTGTTGAAATACGCAAGAAATAGCCAAAACTAAATCTCTTCCACTAATTTCTTCCATTCCGCTAAGATGTCAATAATTATTCCGTCTAGAGGTATAAATAACGGCCACTTAACAAATCTGGAGATAACGATAGAAGCTACAAATGAACAGACGAAACAAACACCAACGACTAGAATTCCCAAATGCAATTACTATTGATGTCGGTAAGGTAAGAGTACAATAAAGTGCTTTCTATCAATTGAATAATAATATCCATCATCCACTGTTTCTACAGTGGTTTCTTGATTATAAAAGCAACTCCTTTTCTATCGAGTATTTTAACAGTTCAGTCATGATGTTTGAAACGGTGGAACTAACTACCATTCTTAGAGTAGTTCCTTCTCTTCAAGCAAAGTTTGAAGAACATGTGATTCTTTGCCTTCCTTGTAATTGTAGCTACGGAATGGAGATAAGGTGACAATTAAAGTGGAGCCAAGAAAGGGAAAGTCTCCAGAACGCTTGTGCATTTTAAAAATGGGTCTCGCCCAGTACAGAGGAATATTAATGGATCTTCCGAGACATGTGGAAGCATATAAAACGTTAGATTCACAGCAATACTTTAAAACGAATGATATTGGTCAAATTCTATGTAATATATTGTTTTTTACATGTTATTGTTGTAGTGGTTGTAGAAGAAGAAACTGACTTGAATCAGTATGCTAACTCAGAGTATTTTCCGGATGGCCTTACGCCTCCAATGAAGGTGCGATGAAACAGAGATGGGATTATGAATAGAATGCGGTAACAACACTTCGAGTGTCACAAAAGTCGCTTCGGGCTATTCCAAAAGAAGACCTCTCTGCTATCGAGTCGATTATTTACAATGATAAAACAAGCGAGTTCACCTTTCAGGAGGTTATCGAAGAAGAACCTCCGACCCTTCCCAGTTCTCCTAAAAATAAGGACAAAAACCGAATTGTGAGTGTGTAGTTTGTTTGTTGAACAAGCTATTTTTGTTGTTGGTGTGGTAGTTATACCGTTGTTTAGCGATTCCAGTTTAACACTTTAATTAGCAATAATAGGGTGTGGTTCGGAATGAATGGTTGTGCGTCTCTTCGTGATTTGTTCATGGAATAGTGTATAACTGAAGTGAAGGTTTATTGGAATGATGTATTTGATATTTTTATGATGCATAAAATGAGTCGCTAATTCATGGTAAAGACTTCATTGTACAAACAACAGTTTTAGTTGACTCACACTCTAAAGTATAAAAATATAGGTATTTTTAAAGTTTAGCAGGTTATTAAAACAATAATGCAATGTGTCATTACTATAGATCTATTTGTTTCCAATTCAGGTAAATGGACGATCAAAATAGTGACAATTTGGGGAATTCCTATTCTAGAATTGATTACAGGTATGTTATTATTTATGTTATATCTTTATTATTGCCATGAATCTACGTAGAGATGAATATGTTCTTGGAATTGATTTTGGTTATAGCGAGACTTGTGCTGCTTTCAGAACTTCAAGAGAACCTGATCCTATTACGGTTCCTTTTCCCAACGGAGCGTCTTTTCTCAAGTCATGTGTTCAATATGGTAAGAATTCTGATGTAGGAGATGTTGTTTATAAACATCTATCGATGGGAAAATCGGGGATTGTTAATAATGTGAAGATGATATTAGGAAGATATTACGATGATGAAATAGTGCAACGATGCAAGGAAAAGAGACTATGTGCAGCTGATATTGAAGAAATCAACAAGAAGCCAGTTTTTCGTATTGACAGGAATACAATTGTTTCTCCTAGTGATGTAGCTTCCAGAATTATTCAAAATATCTATAAAACAGCTGATAAATATGTTAAGCAATCCTATGGAAGTGATATGAAATGTGTCAAAGTAATGATTACATTTCCTGCATATTTTAACAACAACCAACGTACTGCATTATTGCTTGCTGCTGAGAAGGCTGGAATTCAAAAAGAGAAAATCAAAATGATGAGTGAGCCAACTGCAACTGCATTCCATTATTGCAAATTAAACAGAATTGACCACCAGACAATTCTTGTATATAATATGGATGATACGACATTTGATGTATCAATTGTTCGTGTAAATCAAGGAGATTATACTGTATTAGCATTTGCTGCAGATCCATTTTTGGGTGGAAACGACTTTTATCAGTTATTTGCTGAATATATCGAGAAGAAGTGCAAATTTACTTTTCATGTTCCGTTGATAAGAACAAGTAATGAAAAAACGCGTCATAAATTGTATGCTCATTTATTATCATTAGCCGAAGAGGCAGTAATCGATCTTAATAATAATGATAATACATATATTGATTTCTCAGGATTTGGCATTGAAACAAATAAGAAATCTTTGGAGAGTGATTCAGATACGGATGAAAGCGATGATGATTGTTATAATATTAAAGTCACTCGTGATGAACTAAATACCTGTACTCGAGGTTTAATTGATCACACAATCGATTTGATCAGGCAATGTCTTTCTCATTGTGGATTAAAAACGAGTGATATTGATCAAGTATTATTAACAGGAAACAATTCTCGGTGGACAATAGTCGAAGAACGTTTGAAGCAAATCTTTGGATCTTGGAAAGTGAGTAATACGGACAGTGTGAATCCTAAGTTAGCAATTGCTCGTGGTGCTTGTCAAAGTTTAGATGGAAATTACAAAATGAAAGATCGAATTAGCTATTGTCTGGGGCAGTTTTTAACTGGAGATCGTATTTATTGTTTACCACCTCGATTAATGAAAACGGATCATGCGAATTATAAAACGGAAACGATGCTTCCTAATGATCGCACAAGATCGATGGAATATACTTGTTATCAAAGCAATACTACAAGTAGCAAAGGTTATGAAAATTCAGGAAGTTGCAGTTTAGTCGGTAAATACACAATTGACAGCTATTCAACCGCTCCAGTGCCCGAAGTTCTTTTTCTGACAACCTACACAATCGACGAATGGGGCATAGTTCATTTGAAAGTAGAATCAAAAGAAAATGGTAAGATATTTGTAGATATAACAATACGCTGGGAAGAACCAATTTGAATCGATAAGCAAGGTTTCTGTTTCTATGGATAACTGTGTGTATTTGCATGCATTTCGTACCTGATGATGTTTGTTTGTTTGTTTGTTTTTTTATTAAGTATTAATCAACATTTGTAAAGCACACAGATGCAATACAACTCCACGATAAGTGATGATCATCCTTTCATGCTACCATTCATCAATTCTGTTACATCTTAATCAACACTTCTTTAACCGCACTCAACCCAACGATTATAATACCTTCACCCCCTAATCTCCATACACGTCTCACATTCTCTATCCTTTCATTTCCCTATTCAATCCCCTTCCTTCTTTCCTTCCTTCCAATCGTTTCATAACTCAAACACACAACCCACTACAGATTTCTCTTCACCTTGTATTCTCCCTTCGGAGACTCATCCACTTCACTGCTCAGCGATCCCAACTCTGCGAAAATCTCCACCATTCTCTCCTTCTCCTCTCGGCTAAACTTCGCGTTTCTCTCCAACGCGAACACCGCGCTCTGCACGAACTTCTCATAGTTGGGGTACATCGCAAACGTGGGAATCGGCAACGGCTCCGGCATCTTCGTGTGCTGCAAGATCTCCTATCCATCACTCCTCTTCTCCGCCGCTACTTCGTTCAAAAACAGATCGTCCTTTTCGTACTTGTACACTTCGCGGGCGTTTCGTCCGAGTAAATCGAATTCGAGAGAAGAAAAGATCTGGTCGCTGCTGTACGAATCCAGATTTCCCTCCGGGAGCTCTTTGGCAGGCATGAAGTTGAACCAGGTATGGCGCTTGCTTTCGACCTGCTCTGGCTTTAACTCTTCGCGGATGACAGAAAGCTGCTCGCGTTCTTCGGGTGTCACGTCGTTAATGTCGATGTTTTTCACTTTGTGATAAAAGGACTTGAAGGCTTCGGAATCCATGTTCGTTACGTCTTCGTGCTTGCTGCTGCTGTTGGCAAGGTGGAGAGTATCGTTGATGTTGTCGTTAATGTAATCGTGAGCTATTTTATCGCTCATGCGATAGAACTCGTCTTCAAAGTTATGAATGTCCACTTCTTCGCTTTCAAGAGTAGGCTGAGCGATGTACTCTTGATGAACGCCTTCTACGTCATACATTTTCTCCATTTCCTCTTGACACTCATCAAACTCTTTGTTGTCAGGATCAAATTCGTCCTCTTCAAAAGAAGCGACATCCTCGTTTTCCTCCTCTTTTTCTACTTGTGACAGGCGGAAATCAAACGCATACCAATTTCAGGAAGAGCGGAAACTTCTGGCTTGGTTTCTTCCTCAGCTAACGGGATAGCGCCACTGGCTTCTGATCCACTCTGGGGATTATTCGAAATAGGACTGCTCGCAGTGTCTGGAGCGCCTGCAGTATTTTCGAAATGCATATTCGAGCGTAGCCTAAAAGAACGGGTCAGCGCATTTCCTCTCGAATACTGCGATGCTACAAGGACTCGAGGGAAAGTCCGATGCAATGCACACACTGCTCTTGATAACATCAAAGTAGTTATTGAGAAATTCCACTTCTGAGAAATCTCAAAATATCGAAAATGTTTGGAATTCCAAGAATTGAATTCATTCCAAAACCATAGAATAGGTTGAGTATTTGAATCGAATGGAACATGAAGGAGATATGACGCAGGCATACCTGCTGTATAAACAAAGGGATTATAACGGATGCCTAGCAAAGTTGAATGAATATTCCGTATTTTTGATTACCGCTTTGTGAGGGATAGGGAGAGAAATATAAAATTGCTGTTCAACACAATAAAAGCATCGTTTCGTTTCTTTGCGAGGAGAAGCCGGACGTTGATAAATTATATTCACAGCTAGATCAGGATTGCAAAAGTTTGGAAGAAGTGCGTATTCGTTCAAATGTGTTGAGTTGTAGTATTATTCAGATCAGGACTCTTCATTTTATTTAATAAAGGGCGTCACGTTGTACAATATGGTAATTCCTTGGACGGGTTTGAATGTTCTAGGCAGTTCTTGAATTGTCCCAACACCACTACGAAAAAGCCGAAGAGATACTAAATAAAATTATATTTGAATCCAAATCAATGGACGGCAGCGTTCTTGCCCGAAGCTATCTCGCTCTTGTGGAGATTACCTTGGCGTTGTATCGAATCAACGGGGAATCTCGCGAAGTATATTTTCTGCGTTTGTTTACTGATTCTAGTGGCTCCAGCAGCGCTGTGTTCCCTACTTCACTCAAATCGAATCCATCATCAACAAGTTTCCACTTTTCCACTCTTTTTTTGCAGAGACACGATTCCTCCTTTCATTCGAAACCGAATCTCCTTCCACTACCACATCGATCGAACGCGCTATTTCCTCGAGCAGGGCAGCGTCAAAGGCGTAAAAAAAGAGGTATCCCCGCGGACTCGATCCCATCCAGGTCAAATCCTCCACCGATTTCTTCCTCGCCTTCGCCAGCGAATCCGACCAGGCGTTTCTCGACCAGCTGCGCCTGCTCTGCTACTCGCCCAACGCGCTTTGGTCGCTTCTTCTCGACGGAATCCACGATCTCCACCCGGACTCCGTGAACCGCGGTTATTTGGCGCCCATCCTCAAGAGCCGGCTGGAGTTTCGCCGCGGGAATTCGGAGAAAATCATGGCACTGCTGAACCAGATCTACGAGAAGCGCGACGACGCGGATTCCGCGGTTCTGCCGCCCAAAGATTCGTTTTATTACGCTCTGCTCAGCACGGTTTTCTTCGGCAGCGGCAAATTCGAGCTCGCGCGCTTCTCCCTGCTCCAGGCTCTCCGCCTCGCGCAGCAGGAGAACCGCGGGTACGGCGTGGAGGGCTTGCTGCTGCACAACCTCGCGATGGCGTCGCTGCAGGTACGGGACCTTCCCTCGGCGCAGGAGTGGCAGCGGCGCTGTCTGGGCGCGCTGGCCCGCAGCCCGGTCTGCTGGCTGCGCTACGGCGAGATCTGCTGGCAGCGCGCGCGCACCGCCAGGGAGGCCAGGGAGGCCAGGGAGGCCAGGGAGGCCAGGGAGGCCAGGGGCGCGGGAGCGGGCGCGCTGGGCGACGTGGTGTGGCGCGGAAACCCCTTCGCGCTCATGAACGGAGTTCTCGGAGCCGATTGGCGGCCCGGCGAAGACGGAACCGCGGGGATCCCGATGGGGAATCTGATGGGGAAACCTTCGGAGAACCCAACGGGGAAACCTTCGGAGAAACCTTCGGGGAAACCTTCGGGGAAACAAACGGAGAAACTAATGGGGAAACCAGCCACACAATCGGAGAAACCACTGGGGAAACCATCGGGGAAACCACTGGGGAAACCAGTTACCGCGTCGGCAAAGCCCAGTCCCCAACTCGGCAATTCCCAGCCCGCCAAATCTTCCACGGTTTCCACGGTTTCCACGGTTTCCACGCAGTCCTCCCGCGGGGAGCAGTCCTTGTTGCAGTAGGGATTCCCGCGGGGATCGATGGCAGAGAGGCGGAGGGCGCGCTGCGGACTTCGCTGCGTCTGCTGGACGGGCGAAGCCACCCAGGTTCCGTCGTGAAACTCGCCGCGCTGCTGCGTCTCGTCACCATCGCTCTGGGTTTCCACGTTTCCACGTTTTCACCGTAGAGGCGTCGAAATTCCCGCGGGTCGTGGTGCTGTGCGGCCAGATCCAGGCCATTCTTCGCGCGCTCCCCGCGATTCCTGCCGAGGAGATCGACCTGTCCCGCGGGGAAATCGCGGTTTTGGCGGCGATCTACAAATCGGAAGCGCTGATGCGGCTGGACCGACTTTCCGTGGGAAAACCGCGGGGATGTGATGGGTAGGAGGCGATCGAGGAGCTGGAACCGCGGAAGCACCCGGAGTTCTACCCGGCGGAGGTGTTGGATTGTGTTTCGAATCCGAATTCGATGGAATCGAAGAGCGAATCGATCGAAAAGCAAATCGAGGAGGGATCGAAGCCTCATTTGGAGTCGGTTCTGTACAATTTGACGCTGGTGGGGGAGAGAAAATGCGGTGATGTGTAGCTATATACGTATGATCGGAACTGGGAGAAGGCGAAGCTGTTTGGACAGCTGCTGATGCTGTGTAGGGCATCGGTGAAGAATGTCAAATTGATTATGTATATGTTGCTACAAATGGGGGATTGGAAGAAGGCCAAAGAGATGTGTGAGGAATATATGATCAAATGCTGTTGTGTTTGTGTTAAACATTTTTCTGAAAGTTGTGCCTTACTCCATTATTTGTGACGCCGTTATGAGTCTTAATGAGTCCATCGGTTGTTTACACGAACAAGAACGCCTACGCGGTTATGCCTATTTCCACGATAAGGAAAGGAGGTCTATAGTTGATAGCATGTGTGTAAGTGGATTTTCGTATTGGTTGGGCGAAGCACGGCGTTGTGGAACCCGTTGATGTTGGAATGGATGGGGAGATTTTGATGGTGTGCAATGTGTTGCTAGAGATGTTTGAAATTCAAAGATTGAGTGGATACATTCTCTTGTAGATTGTGTTCTCACTTTGTTTTGCTGCTTGAAAATGGGTTCATTGGGAATTATCCACTATATATATATATTGTGTTGTGCAACATGATATCTGTATTTGTGCACTCCTTTTGTTTTTCCTATGGTTATTGTTGTTTCAGACCTCTTTCTAACATGTCCAGATTCTCCAAGATACTACTCTCGTGATTGAGAGTAATTCCAGTTCATTTAGCTTTTCACACACCATTTTGCTCCCTGTTTGTTTCTTATTGGTCTCTTTTAACCCTCAGCTCAACAATGTTCGTCTTCTCGACAAGACAATTAAGAAGAAGCTCGGTCTTTCGATTCTCATCACCGTCCTCTTTCACTTCTTTTCCTCATTCTAGAGCCGTTCTCCCATGGCAGCCCAGCCTCATCTCGCTAGTTACGATCTCTATTTCTCCAACGAAGCCGATCGCCTTCTTTGGTTCTCTTGGCTTCAGCGGCTTATGCTTGTTGAAACCGTTCCCCGTGGGAATTCCCTCTTCTCGTTTCATTGCAGGGGCGTTTTTCTCGCCGGAGGATCCCCAGCACCTCGACAGTTTCATTCCTCTCCCGCGGTTCGAGGAGGTGTCCAGTCCGTATCACTTGGGATTATTGTGGCGCAAATTGCGATTGTGTTGCGTGCATCTCCCCGCGGAAGTGTATCAAGAATCGAATAGTGTTCCGGACGCGAAGAACACATCGAATTCGAAAATGAAAAGTGAAAAAAACGAAACGAATTCCATCGAATCCCTATCGAATTCTATCGAACATTCATCGAATTTCATCAATCATTCATTGGAATCTCTGGATTCCCTATCGAATTCCATCGAATCATCCCCCGTTTCCCCCATTTCCCCCGTTTCCCTATCGAATTCTTTATCGAATTCGGAACGCTTCGAATCGCAACGAATCGAAGCCCAGCGGCAAAAGCGGGAACTCGGCGAAGTTTCCGCGGCGTGTTCCGCGGGACTGTGGGTCTTTTTAGGATTCGGTTTCATTTTTAGCGAAGTTTTTTCGCGGGAAAAAGCCGTCGAAGACGTTTTCCGATGTCTCGAAACGCTTCTTTTCCGCTCTTTGCCTGAGCTCAAAACCGCGGTTCTCCTCGAGGACGCCGAGGAAACCGCGGTTTTCGACCCGGCGTTCGATTATCTCTGCTTCGCCTACGATTTGCTCGCCGCCGTGCTTGGCAGTCGGCACATTCCCGCGGTTTTCGTGGAGAACCAATTATCGAATTCGTTTCTGCGGTCGTTTTGCCGCCTTTTTTTCTCGGCAGACCCGCGGGAACGCGACTGCGTGCGCGTGCAGATCCACCGGATCTACGCGCATTTCCCCGCGAAACGCAGCACGATTCGAAGCATTCTGCAGAATGTTCTCCGCGAATTCTGTGCGGATAACCGCGGTTTAGAAGGAGTTCAAGATTTGCTTCGCTTCTACTCCGCGATTATCAGGGGAATCGCGCTGCCGATCCACCCGGAGCACCTCGCGTTTCTTCGTTTCACGCTGCTTCCATTGCTGAAGAAAACGCGAATTGAATGCTGCTTCCGAGGCATCAACGATTGCATTACCGAGTTTGTCAAGAAGGATTCGTCGCTCGCTGTGTTGGTAGACGGCAATGCTCTGGTTCCATGCAGATCATTCAAACCCTGCTCAAATACTGGCCTAGAGGCAACATGAACAAGGAGATCGCCTTCTTGATGCTTCTGCAGTCCGTCGTTTCGCACGTTCCGTCGCACGTTCTGCGCCCCGTCGCGCCAGTTATCGAACGGAAGCTTTGCGCGTGTTGTGCGGGAGATCATTTTCTGGTAGGCGTGGAGTGAAAAGTCGAGCGAAGATCGCCGAGAAATCGCTGAAACTGTGGGATAACGAACGCTTCGCTGAGAACATGAAGAGTGTGGCGGACCTGAGCATGTTTCGAAAGACGCTGAAAGATAGCGAGGAACATTATTGGTGTATTGAAGTTCATCCGGATTTCGCGCATGTTTTGGGTATCTGTGCTTGTTTTGTTTGTTCGAAAGGGGGTTCGATTTGCTTGAGGGAAGAGTGCAGAAAAGAATTGGGACCCCCTGGGTCGATTCGATTTTTGCTATTCTGCATTCTATATATACGCCCGACTTTTTGAAATCGGAAATTTTTTAAAAATTAAGATAGGAAGGGATGATACGAAAGTCGAGTATGCTTTTGCTTTTACTTCTCGTCTTTGTTGTGGCAATGATTCAGTTTGCCTATCCAATTCAAGTCATACTGAATAACCCAACAGTTTTTACTAACAAAATCAGTAATTCTGAGATCGTTCAATTAACATCTCATTTAACTGGAGGTGACAGGAGTTCAAAATCGTGGTCATCCAGCGCAACGATGATTGTATAGGGATCCCAGTAGTGGTTCAACGGAATCTGCCTCAACTGAAAATGGGTTTGGAGGAAAACAGAATCCAGCTCCCATTACGATTGTTCAGCAGTCATCCTCTGTACATTTTTATTGTTATTTCTAATTATGGAAGACTTCACAAAGTGATGGGTTGAACTGGCGGAATGACTTTTTCCGTGACGTACTACAGAACACAAAGACGGGAGCGGATGTTGTACTCCCAGAGCAGTCTGAAACCGGTGCATCCCATCTTCGTTCAAGCTTTTTTAAGACACACCAGGTTTCTTCGAGCGATTCATTTGTGTCCTCCGAATCTTCCAATGAATCCAATTCAATCGATGCTGCAACCACATCCATCGACTCATCATCATCTTCTTCTTCTTCTTCTTCTTCTTCAAACGATTCGCAGCCCCAAACCTCCGTTCCGGACGCAGAGATCGTATACACGCCCACTGGATCGATCGACACCGTCAAAACGCGGATCGATTTCCGCAGTCCCAAGTGGGAATCCGATTTCAACCGCATCCGCGAAGCACTTTCCCGCGCTCCCGCACTCGACGAAGCCACCCTCACTGCGTGGTCCGACTCGTTCCCGCGGTTCTTCGGCGATCACACATAGGATGCATGGCATGAGCGATGCGCGGCTCTACGAAGATTACGCGCTTCTAACGAACGCCTGCTCCATTTCTCCGTATGCCGCGATTATTCTCAGCGAAGAAAGATCCGGCACCATCCGACGAAACGCCTCCCAGCTCTTTAACATGAAAGACTTCTACTGTTTCCCCGTTTCCACCTTTTGATCTAGACAGCAAGGTGCGCTCGGTGTCGTCTCCTGTGGATCCCGCGGTTCTGTGGCCGAACCACACGCTGTTTCTGCATCCGCGACAATATTCCAACATTTTCCACATTTTGGAGGGAACTTCCGTCATCCTCCGCGTCCTGCTCCACCCCGAGCAATTCCCGCGGGTCGCGCAGATCATCATTTCCCAGCAGCCCCGCGTAACGCCCGGATCCTGGGTCGTCGAACTCCTCGATCTTTATTTGGACGCCTTCCCCGCGGGACAGAGACCCATGTACCTTCCCCCGCGGGGAGCGGCGAAGCGGACGGTGTGCGACCGCGGCATGGTGGTGGCGAAGGCCTGGGAAACCGCGGGGACCGGGAGCTTCATCGGGGAGCCGTTGGCGGCAGATTTGCTTCGCGCGGCGGCGTACCGGAAGTTTCATTGGGCGTTTCAGTGGAAGAAGAAGGGGGAGAAATTGGCGGGAATTCTGATTCGGCGGGAAGGAAAGCGGAAATTACTGAATCACGCGGAAGTGCTGGAAGGGCTTCGAAACGAATTCGGTGCGGAGCTGGCTCTCCAAGAAGTCGCTCTGGAACACTATTCCGGTCGGGAGCAGATCGAGCTGTTCATGCATCTGGACCTGGTGGTGGCGGCGCACGGCGCGGGCCTGACGAACATCATCTGGATGACGCCGCAGTCGTTCTTATATGAGCTGTTCCCTCCGCAGTGGCGGTTCGGGTGCTATCAGCGACTTGCAGACAACGTGGGATTGCAGTATCGGAAGGATATGGCGGAGGGAGAGCTGGGGAGAGAGTGTCGCGTTAGTCCGAAGTCGTTGAGTTGCTTGTATGCGGGGACGCGGGATCGGGATTTCCGGATGGACGGGGGAGTGGTGAAGGAGGGAGTGAAGATGGCGATGGAGCGAGTGTGGTTGAATAAGTATCAGAGTGAGTGAGTGAATGAGATTGCGTTATATAGTTGTATATATTTATATTGCTGTTTGGTTGGTTGGTTGGTTGGTTGGTTGCGTATGTTTGTTTGTTTGTTTGTTTGAAAAATGAAAAAGTTGCTATTCTTTTAAAGCTAGATATGCGCTGGATTTTACTTTGTTGTCTTGCTTTGATTGTCACACGATGCGATGAAAATGATCATCATGTTAGTGCGTGGAAAGCCGTTTATGACTAGTATAACCTAGGGGACCAAATCTATGTTTGGACGAACCGAGTAAAGGTACCGACCTTATTTTGATCGATAGGTCGGACCTTATCACAACCCTCACGAAACATACGATTATTTTACGCTTCCGTTCTGCAGACCGAATCTACCGAGTTCGCTCTCTGCTAAAGTATGTTTTTTCTAACTTTATATCTAATTTGCTCAGCGTGGAGGATTTTCGGAAATTCTGGAAGGAACGATTCTCCAAAACTCGGGAATTATCTTTGCATTCAAGGTAGACGCTTTGCGCACTACCCTTTGTACAGTGTATGTTCGAATCGCCAGTTGACCATTGTAGCTCGTTTGACACGGAACAAGTCTATCAGATGCAAATGGCAATTGCGAACCATTACTGGTACCAAGTATCTCGCTCTCTTTCTCCCTTCAAACTCTAGCTCGATGTGGATGGTCTTCCCATCTGGGCCAAGGTCGGCGATTTAGACATCAGCGACGAGAAATTCGAAGAAATCGAGCGTGCCGGCGTACGATTCGTAATGCGAGTTTAATGATGAGCATTCGCACGACATCATGCCCGAGAACAGTTTGCTTTACACCCACCGCCACTTCACCTTCGGCGTCAACAACGACCAAATCGTCGAAGTCAACATGACCGCATCCGATCCTCAATTAGTCCGCGTGAACGAGTACCGCGGTTCTTCGTCTTTTTTCCCGCTAGACCGGTTCAGTTTTCGTATTCCTGCTCGTGGGTTTCCTCGACGGTCCCCTTCGCGAATCGATTCTACCGCTATTTCGCGGCGACGGCGCAAGAAACGCAGATGCATTGGTTCAGCATCTTCAATTCCTTCATGATCGTCGCGTTTCTCGCGGGATTGGTCGCGGTTATTATGATCCGCACTTTAAAAATGGACTATTTACGGTATTCCAGAAGTATCGCCGATATTGGCACTGCCGGAAATGCCGACGATTACGGCTGGAAACGGGTCCATGGAGATGTGTTTCGGCCCTGTCCCTATTTCTCCATTTATTGTGTTTTATTTGGGACAGGGGCCCATATCACCGCGACCCTATTTCTGTGCCTATTCTACATCGTTCTCACGCCTCATTATTTGGGACGTTTTCGCTCCTATGTCCCCTAACTCCAAGATGATCGGGTTTTGCTCGTGGTTTTGATTGGCTACCTCCTCGGCTTCCTTGTCAACGGATTCTGCAGCGGCTCCGCCTACAAACAGGCCTTTTTCCCGCGGACTTCGCCTCACTGGCGCCGCGTCATGCTCTTTTCCGCGGGACTCCTGCCCTGTACGATCCTCTCGGGCGTTTCATGTAGGCGTGGGCGTGGCGGCGTACGCGGGAATCATGTGGCTGTCGGTGGCGGTGCGGTCGGTGTCGCAATTCCCGTGGGAAACCGTCTTCTCTCTGCTCTGCTTGCTGCTGGTCGTGGGGCTGCCGCTGCACGTTCTGGGGACGCTGCTGGGCAGAACGGTGTTCGGCAATCCGCACTATCCGTGCCGCACGTCGGCAATCCCGAGCGCGATCCCCGCGAGTCCGTTCTACAGCCGGCACGACGTGCTGTGCGTGGTGAGCGGGATTCTGCCGTTCGGCTGCGTGTTCATCGAGGTGTTCTTCGTGTTCGCCTCCATCTGGAGCTATAAATACTATTACATGTACGGGTTTTTGCTCGCCATGACGGGTATGGGCGGAAATCGGGGCTTTTTTTGTAGTGATTTTGACGATTATTGAGGTGTGCGAGTCCATCGTGGCCACATACTTGCTCCTCAATAGCGAGAACTATCACTGGAGATGGGCCTCCTTCGCCAACGGAGCGTCGCTGGGCGTTTATTTATTCCTTTATTGTCTCTATTACTACTTCCGAAAAACGCACATGAAGGGATTGTTGCAGACCCTTTCATTCTTTACCGAATCGGTAGGGAGTTTGCGGGGGAAATTTGATGTAGACGCTGTTGGTGATGGTCGTTTCGTTGTTCTGTGGATTCATTTCGACACTTGCTTCCGAAGTCTTCGTAAAGACGATCTTTCGAAATATTAAGGTGGACTAAGATGGTGTGTGCATTGTTTGTTTGTTTGTTTGTTTGTTACAACAAAGAAGATACAAGTCATAATCATCAATACCAACAATCTTCTCAATGGACTCGATGCGAGTCTCGATTTTGTGCAAAATAGTACCGATCGCCTCCAAATTTGTGCGCGTTCCCTTTATGAGCTTAGTTAATTTCGAAAGTTCCTCAATATGTGATTTGGACGACAGTTTATCGATATCTATGCATTAACCAACACTCCCGAACGCACCTTCTATCAAAGAACTAAACTCGTCTTTGAGAGATCCTTGCCGCAACTCCATTCCCTGCACGACCGACTGGTATTCATCGACGTACGGTTTCATGGACGTTTTGATGTTACCTACTCCTGTGTTTTCCATTCTCTAAGATATCCCAAATACACTTTAAGAATAAAAAAACACTTATATTTCGGCCATTCCCAAAATCGCGGGTTCTCGAATTTCAATTCAAATTCCTGTTCTCGATGAATGAATTGTTTAGAGACCCTGTAGTGGTAGATACTGCTTCGCTGAAGCTGCAAAGAAAAACAAACGAGGTTTCTAAGAAAGATGACATTGAGCGGCGTTTGGAAGATCTACGAAGGGTTGATATACACGGCGTGGAAGCACCTCCATCATTCGATCAGTTAAAAGGCACTATTCCTGATACTGTGCTTGAGTTGTTTGCCAGCGTCCAGAATAAGAATACAGTGCAAATTCCTCCTGCAGATCAAGATAATTCTGAAGTGCACTCCTATCATACCGAATCAAGTGTCTCTTCCAAACATGAGACCTCCAGCTCTAAATTGAGTATCATTTTTGTGTGTACAGCCCAATGATAGATTCGAACTCCTTGCTGGATACACAGTCGTCATCCAGTGGCGAATTCCAGGAATTCGGTCGTTTTTTTCTCCCCAATTAACACGCAGACGAAAACTTCCTGGACACCCTGCAATCCCAGTGGCAGCAAGAGAACCCGCTCGCCCAATTTGACTTTATGAAAGAGCCGCAAGAAGACTGGGCGAAGCAGATTCTTCGCGCCCCCCGCGCTTTCGACAACGTTTTAATCGCGGGAGGCCATTCCCTGGATCCCCGCGCGTATTTCCTTCTCCGTTCCCCCGAATTCGACGAACTCAAATCCATGTTGGCGGGAATGTCCTACGAAAAAGACGTTCTAAAAGAACAGAACAGCCAGACCCTCACGTTTATCCGCGGGAATACGCATCGCAGCGAACCCTTCGAGTATTCCGCCGTGTCCGAAGAGGCGAAGCGAGATGCCGCGCTTTTCGCGAAGGACGTAACGCCCGTCGAACAGGGGAAAGTAAACGTGGAAAAGGAGAAACGCGTCGAGTCCATCCGGAGAATCGACGAAACCGATAACCGCGGAAATCCAGCGGATCCGACCCGAGAGGTTTCCCGCGGGAGAAGAGAGATGGAGGGAGGCGAAGATCCCGCCAAACTGCCGGACGTGGAGAGCATTCCCCGCGGGGAAGACTCCCTTCTGAACCAGACGATTCCCGTGGAACCCGTGCACATGGACCCGGATCCCCGCGGGGAGCCTCCCCAGACCTCCTCGATCCCCGCGGGACGGGCGCCCTGGGAGTTTCCTGGGCATCATTTCCCGCTGCAGATCGATTTGGCGCGTCTGCAGCAGAACGTTCCCTCCCTTCTGAATCCAAAAATCGGGACTTCTTTGGCCCAGACCCCCTCCAATGAAACCTCCTTCCAAATCAACCAATCACTGTACAACCCGCCAACCGTCCCCGCCGTCCCGCCAAATCCACCTGTCGATGAAACTCCCGCGGAAGAGGAGGATGCGAGTCCCGCGGGGATGGCGGAGGGCCCAATTCTGACCTCCTTTCTGGACCATTCGAGAATGGATTCGTTTTCGTCTTCGTCTTCGTCGTCTTCGTCTTCGTCTTCGCCTTCCCGCCAAAAAAAAAGAGGCGAAGCCAAATTGGGCGGCAATCCGCAGGCCGTGGAAGAAGCGGTTTTCGGGTCAATTCTCAATCAATCTTCGCTGGATTTGGCGGCAGCGGCGTCGCCCGCCTCCACTCGGCTTTACCCGGAGCCCCAGCCGGAATTGCCCACTCCCTTTTCGAAATTTGCCGCTCAGCCGAACGAAACGCCCATCCAGAACTCGGAAATCCCCGCGAATAACCCAGAATTCCCCGCGAATAAACCGGAAATTCCCGCGAATAAACCGGAATTTCCCGTGAATAAACCGGAAATTCCCACCAATAACCCAGAATTCCCCGCGAATAACCGGGAATTCCCCGGTCCTTTCCGAGGCCAGGACCCTTCGACGCCTCTGAACCGCGGGGATATCCGCGTGCAGCTGGACGGTGAGCGCGTTCTTCTCTCCTATTCATAGCCCAGCTTGTCCCCTTTTAAACACGTCGTCGCCCGTTTTGGCGTTCGGCTGCGTGGATTTGCACGCTTCGCGCGACGCTTCCCTCCAAATCCAGAACGTTTCCGCGCGCACCCTCACCTTTTCCCTCCACCTCCACCCGCTTTCTTCGCCCCCCGCTTCGCCGCTCCCCTTCTGCCTCGTTTCTTCGCCCCGCGTCATTCTCCATCCCGCGGAAATCACCACAATCGCGGTTTCTTACCGCCCCGCGCTGCTCGCCGAAGACAACGCCTTGATTATCATCGAACCACTCGAAATCCAGCACGCGCCCTGCGTCATTCCCCTCGTCGGCTTTGGCGGGAGATCCCAGCCCGTCGTGCAGACCCGCGGGAATCAGCTGTTCGTGACGAACAACGGAGATCGCGCCGCGTGTTTCTTCGTGATGGGGATCGAACAAAACGTGGTAACTCTCGTTAAAAATTCCACGTTTCTACCGCCCATCTTCTACCTTCCCTCCATGATGGAGTTCTCCGTCAAGCTCGCCGATCTCCGCGCCGAAATGATCCAGAAAAAAGTACCGATTTTTGCCATTTCATTCCAGATTCCGCCGTGTCTCTACATCTTCGCCTGCGACAATATTCTGCGCCGCCGTTTGCTCCAGGCGCACAACCGCAAGGCCTTTCTGTTCTGCCCGTCCCCGCGGCACGGCCTGTTATTGGCGCTAACAGAATGTTCGTCGGAATCAAGCGCGTCGACGCGCAGTCTTCTCTTCACGAAAACGAATCTCTCCGAATCCAACATCGACATTTCCCGCGATTTGCACGACAATGAAACGCTCTGCGATCTCGACTCGCGATTGGGCCAAGAAAAAACGCCCAAATCGCATTATTGGGACATCGACGCGCTCAGCAATTCCCTCGTTTCCTGCAGAATTCTATTCGCTGATCTCAATGAAACGCCTCGAGGCCAGGGAACTTTCCGCAAGCCACGCCACTTCAATCCCCCCGCGGGAAAGATCCCTCCTCTCCGAAACTCCCTCTCGCTGGGCCTGAATGACCCTAATGACCCTAATGACCCTAATGCACTTAATGGCCCCAATGGCCCCAATGGCCCCAATAATTCTAATGGCCCCAATGTCCCGAATGTATTAAATGGTCTGAATGACCTACATGACCCGAATGACCCGAATGACCCTAATGATGTCAGCGATCGAAATGACCCCAAATTGTTCCATGGCCCCTCCGGATCGACGGAGGGGACGCAGCATTTCCCGCGGGTCCACGACCACAGCTACAAGTGCCAATTCACGGACCCGTACGACCAATTGGAGGCGCAGCAGAAACTTTCCGCGGGGATTTTCATCGGCTCCTACGGCGACCAATCCGTTCAGATTTCTCCCTCCATGCTCCGTCTCTCTCTCGGCAGTCCCGAGGAAACGCTCCGCGTGCTGAACATGATTTCCCGCGACGTCGATTTCCACGTTTCCCTGGGCGTTTCCTTCTCTCTAGTTCCAAACCATTCCGCCTCTGCTCGAAGTCTCCCAGCCCCGCGGGACCATCAAACCGCTCTCTCACATCGAGATCCCGATCAAGTGGAATCGTGGAACCGTGGTAACGCGTAGACTGTCGCTGGCGGGCCGGTACCAGGGCATGAAGTCGGTCTCGCTGTCGCTGGTGGTGGACGGCGTGCCGCACGCCATCGACGTCAAGATCGTTTGCTTCGACAAGGAAGGGCCCAAGATCGAGCTTTTCAACAGCGACGGAATCCTCGACGGCTGGGATTTGCCCTCCATTCCCGCGAACCCCGCTCTCGACTCCCTCCCGCCGCTCCCGCGGGAGCAGTTCGCACAGGTTCGACGATTCCCCGCGGAACCCACGGGCAGGTTGGCAGGACAACCCTCCGGTGAGCATTCGGGTCCGTTTGGAGGACCGTTTATGGGACAACCCTCCGGTGAGCCGCTGCCCTCGCGTGAGGATTATTATAGAGGGGCGGGACCGTTTATCGGGCAACCCTCCGGTGAGCAGTGGGGCGCTTTTATGGGACAACCCTCCGGTGAGCATTCGGGACAATTCATTGGACAACCCTCCGGTGAGCATTGGAACCCCGCCAATCGGCCCTATCGTGAGCATGTGGGGGGGTTTCCGCCGCCCTCCGGTGAGCCGCCGCGCGAGGTAACCGTGGAAACGCGGGAGAACCTCCGTTTCCGCGGTTGTGAGGAGCTTCGCTCGGAGATTCAAATCAAAGACAATGTGATCGGGATTCCCGCGGGGATGAGCACATCGTATATGAGCAAAGTGGTGGTTTACAACCACTCGAATCGCAAAATCAGCCTGGATTTGAGTCCGCTTCGTTCGCCTTTCAGTTGTAAGTATAACAATATTGTTATCGAACCGTAAGAACCGCGGGGATGGGTGATGGCTAGGAGGAAGAAGGTGCGGATTCCGGTGTTGTTTACACCGAATGGATCGATGCAGAAAGCAACGTGTGTGGTGGAAGCGACCGTATCGGCCATTCATTAGTTTCACTTTTCTCTTTTCTCGTTGAGGTGTTTTTTGGAACAAATGTCTTTGGAGTGGAGAGAAAATGTGAATCATGGAGATTTAGAGAAGCAAGGAGACGCTTTTATGAGATTACTCGAGTTTCGGTTCCTCTGTGCCTTCATTCGATAGAATTAGTGGGGAAATCGCTTCTTCTGAAGAAATCGAGCGGAGAAACCAGCTCGTTCCTTTTTTAGAATCGTTAGCTATTTCTTGGGTGAAATCTGTTTACGTAGAGAGAGTAGTGTTTATTTTAATATGATTGATTAAGAAATTGGATGAATTTACAGTGAACCAAGCAAATGCAAAGGTAATGCCTTATGGATCCTTTGCTTTGGGCGTATCATCTCTTTCTTCGGATATTGATTTGTATTAATGGATGATATCGGATATATGTAGACTGTGCATCGTTCCAGGCGAAGTGAATGAAAAGGACTTTTTCTCTTCGTTCTACGCACTTCTCTCTCATAACAGCCGCATTACAGACCTGAAAGCAATTCCCTTGGCGTTTTTTTATATTTGAATGCTCTTTAAATACAGTTTCGTTCCGATTATGACCATGGAAATTGACGGAGTCTCCGTCGACATTTCCTTTGCCTCTCTTCCCTCCTACCCCTTCAAGCTCCCCGAATTCCTGGACATTCTTTCCAACGACATTTTACGAAACGTCAGCGAGCATGTAAATCCTTCGACAAGAGCGTTGTTTGTAGACGCTTCACTCGCTTACAGGATGTCGTTGCACCGAATTTGTTATTCAGAAACTCCGATCAGAGAATAAACTGGACATTTTCCGTCAAACATTCTTCGGAATTCGATTTTTCACCAAGGTTTCCACGTTTCTACGTTTTAAGCATAGCAATACAAAATATATAAGAACGTGATGGGTTATTTAGGCGGAGTGAACATCACGATTCTCTTAGCTTCCACCAATCTTTTAGAAAACGACTTTCTAACAAATACTTTCCACTTTTTCCACTTTGTCGCTGACCATTTAGGTTCAGAAATCATTGCGATGACTCCGCAGTTAAGCTTTCCTGAGCTCGGTTTTGACGAAGAAAACTGGAGCGACAAACCGAGCAATTTCTCGAATCACGATAGTTTAGTTCTCTTAACGCCCACATATCCCAGAATGAACACCGCAAGAACGATCAGTCGATCGAGTTTGCAGTTCATTCGAAGCCAAGCGAGGCGTGTTTATGAGAAAATAAAGAGTTATGTGGATGGAGAGAGCGTAGGGAAGTGAGTTGATTGACACGCAGACGCTTTTGCAGATGGTTGAACCGTATCAATTCTTTGAAGGATTTCCAATTTACTTCGAAGTTTTGGTTTCGGCGTCGGCGAATTCGGAATTTAAGGATTGGCTGGGTTTGGTGGAAAGCAAGTGGGGATTGGAAGGGAAACGTGAAGCTCAGAATTCGCTATCTTGTGTTTTTTCTGAGTCTGCGAATTGAAAACGTGGCTTTGAATCCGAATCCGATCGTTTCTGTTCGTTTTTTATATTGACGAAATAAAGCGAAGAAATCGAATTCGAACGCAGCGTGTTTTTATATCGGACTGACAGTGGATTTAACGAAAGCGACGACGTTGGATTTGAGTCAGTGCGTGAATGATTTCATTGATATTGTTCGACTGTAAGAGAGGCAAAAAGGAACGATTCGCTTGTAGACAGCAGCCCAAAACGGCGCGACTGGGATTGCGAGTGAGATTGTTTGAGGGATGGAAATGATTGGCAGATTCGATATCGCGAAGAGTTGAAAGAATTGAAGGAGACGATTCCGAAATCGTGGGAAGAGTTCGCTGAGAAGGAGGAATTCTGTGATATTCTTGAAGAGTGATGCAAATAAAGGAATGAATGAATGAATGAATGAATGAATTGTTTGAGATAGAAATGAAGAGATGGATTCAACTTGAAACAAACAAAATAATAATAATATTTGTAAACTAACAGCAGCATAAAGATTGTTATCACAAAGAAATATCCCACGCATGAACAATTCACCAACAAACGAATCATCGAATTTTACTCTTCCATTCTTTCTTCTCTCCGTTTCCAACAAACACACCCAAAAACACTCCCATATTCATCATCCTTCCACCCTCACGGCAGCGTCTCCATCTCCAAATGCAGCGACTTCCACAGCACATTCGTCTCCGTCGTCGTCTTCCACGTCTCATAATCGAACACCTCCGCCGTGCACGTCTCTCCCTTCTCCGTCATCTACTCTCCACGCTCCTCCTCTCCCCTACGCGCAGCGCCGACTTCTGCAGATACCACTTCCGACTCGCCCAATCGAACACCCAGCCGCTGTTCTGCAGCTGCCTCGCCGCCACGTACTGGATGTAGTTGTTCTGCTCCATCGCGAACACGAAGAACGCGATGTTCACCGGCATTCCGCCGAACGGTTCGCTCGTGAACAGCTCGCCCTGGATCCGCGGGAATCCCTTCGGAACGTCCACCACTTCCGACGGTCGGTAATACGGCTGATAAACCGCGAAAGGCGGCAGCGCGTACCGCAGCCGGTTCAGAACCGCGGATTCCAGCTGCTGCTCGAACCGGTTTTGGTGCGACACGCCGCACCGCGGGGAACTCAGCCCAAATTCTCCGCTCGCCTGCAGCGAACGCAGAACCGCGGAACTCTTCGCCTCCACCACCTCCGACTGAACCGCGGGACTCGGAGCCGCGCCCGGGGACGGGGAAACGTGGAAACCGGCGCTAGGCTTGGCGGAGAGCGGGGTTCCGCGGGAATTCGCGTCGTTTTGGGAGGAAGCGGAGACCGCTAAAAATGAGGAAAAACCGCGGGAGGAACAGCGCTGAATAATCTCGGAAAAGTTGATGGGTTTGGCGGGAACGCCGGCACGGGACCCAGGTTCTACTTTTTGGGTTTCTCCAGTTTCTACTTTTCCACACCGAGTTGACGGGAGTAATCGGGGTAACCGGGGTAACTGGAGTAACTGGAGTAACCGAGGTAACTGGAGTAACCGAGGTAACTGGAGTAACTGGAGTAACTGGAGTAACCGGAGCGGCGGGAACCGCGGGGATGGATGGAATCGCGGGGATGGAATTCGAAGAACTGACCGAGTTGGCGGGCGTTACGCTCTTGGAAAGGGCGGCGGAAACCGCGGGAATGCGAGGGGAGGGATCGGGAGAGGCGACGAAAGAATTCGTTTTTTCGCTCTAGAAAACAGGGAATTGGGTCACGTGCCACCAGAATGGAGTCGGTTTCTTCGCTTTCGACGGGTTCGGAGTCGGAGACGGATTTTGGAATTCCAGAAAACAGGCTGAATTTGTCGTACATGCTGGTGTCGTAGTAGAAGTTGGGCTGCTTGTAGGAGGCCAGGTAGTCGTCGACGGCGTCGAGAACCTCGTCGAGCTTGTAGGGATCGATGAGATCGTTGTCGAGCTGGCGGAGAATCAACTCCAGATTGTGGATGTGATCATTATGATTCTTGATGTCCGACTCGAGCTTGGTGATCGTGGACTGGTTCGTGCTGCGTTTGTTCTTCTTCTCTCGTTTCGATTCGCATTCGCATTCTTCGATCTCGCGCTTTAATTGATCTAATTGGCTCTGAAGCCGCTTCTGGACTTCATTTCGCTTCTCCTAACAGGAAATCCAGTGAAGAAAGTGTACGTCCTGCGGAGTTTGCTTGTTCGGCTGCGTAAGACTCACTTTGGAATACGGCTTATTCTTGATACGCTTTTCCCATTCTCGGAACTCTGTCATAAGGGACTCGATTTGTTTTTTCGCTTCGTTTATTTTGTCTGCATAGGGCTGTACAATTAGGCAAAATCGACAAACCGTACCGCTATGGAGGAGTCCATCTTCTGTTGCCACTGCTTCAAGCTATCTCGCTGCTTTTGCAGTTTCTTTATTTGCTTTTTCAACTCATTCTCATATTTTTCCTTTTGCTCCCGGCTTTCCGCTTTATTTACCTGAAAATTATTCTACATGCAAATTCCGTTACACGATCCAATAGGTCCTGGTATTCAACGATCAAGTCCTCGATCTTTTTTAATGTCGTTTCGATGTTTGCTATGTGATGACCATTGCGAAATACAACGGATTACTCTTTTGCTTTCGATTTTGACTCATTTTTAAAAGAATCAAAAACTATGAAAATCGGTTCATTTTTCGGATTTCCATTATTTTGGATTAACTCGATTGTTTGTGGAGATAAGTGAAATAACCATGTTTTACCCTTATTCTCTATTTTGAGATATAATAGATTATCCATTTTTGCTGTACTCTCTGTTTTTATTTCGTTGACATATGTTCTTGATTTTCGCGACTACATAACTTTCCAAAACTATCGTTGACACGCACTACGTGTAATCAATCAAAGTCCCCATCTACCTATCCCATTCAACGTTTTTCTCATCTTTCCGACTCTTTTTTCAACACTTCGTTCCTATCCATTTCCACAATTTCAATTTCACATTTCCATCCTGTCTAAAACAAACAATCCACATAGTCGGCGTCAGCGAGTGGTTTTCATACTTCTTAATCCATGGGTGGTTCTTGATTTCGCTCAGCGGCAGCCGGTCTTTCGGCTCAAACACCAGCAATTTCCGGATAAAATCCTGCGCAGGCGGCGTGACATGCATCGGGAATCGCAGATCGATGCTCCGAATGCGCTTATACGTCGTGTCTCGATCGTTGGCAACAAACGGCGGCTCTCCACACAAGAACTCATAGGTCAGCACGCCAATGCACCAATTGTCGACATTGGAGTCGTACTCCTTGCGATCGATCATTTCAGGCGGCAGATAATCCAGCGTTCCGCACATGGTGTTTCTCCGATTGGTGGGGGAGTGCGCAGACCACCCGAAATCGGCGATTTTCGGCTCGAACTAAAAGAAAAATAAAAAGAATTGAAGGAAACGTCCTGGCCCAGCAAGATGTTCTCCGGCTTGATGTCGCGGTGGATGACGTGCATCTGGTGGCAATACTCCATGGCGTCTGAGATGCGAAGGATGTACTTCGCGGCGCGACGCTCGCTGAAACGCTTTTTGGCCATGAGTTCTTTGTAGATTTCTCCCTTCGGGGCGTACTCCAGGATGAGGTAGACACGCTTCTCGTCCCAGAAATATCCATACATTCGCAAAATGTTGCGATGTCTACAAAACATCAATTTTAAATTCTGCTACTTCATGTGAGACTGAATTTCAATCTCGCTGCGCAACTGCTTTTCAATTCCGCACTTCTCAAGTTCACTTTTCTGGATCACTTTAATTGCCACGATAAACTTTGATACAATCTCACGCGCAAGGTAAACACGTCCTATGCCTCAGGCCTGGAATTTTGCGAGCTACCAAAGCGCCCCTTTCCCATTTTCCTTCCAATCTCAAAATCGGACAGTACCCATGTTCTAGTCGCTCATGGTACCGGATTTCAACGTACTTCTTCGGATAGTTGAGTGCGGATAACTTGATCCTCAATTCTTCAGCCTCGCGCTTAAGTTTGGCTTTTTCTTCTTCCGACATCTACCCATTACCTCGCTCATCGCAGATACGCACTGGTTCAATATGAGAAGGCATTTTTTGACAACACTTGTTTCCAACAAACACAACACTTCTTCAAGTGGTCAAACGGCACATAGTCGAAGTCCATCTCTCCGTCCACGTCCATCCGCGCGATATAGAACGGGAAGTCGTACCGCTCGGGGTAATCTTCATGCTCCTTGGGTCCGAGCGGCGTGGTGTTCCAATCAAACACGGGCTGCTGATCGTACGTGGGTCCGCAAATAATCGCCGCGCCCAAATGGTCGTCCAGCAACCTTCGACTGGTAATCTTGACATCGGTTCCCATGTGATCGCGGAAGCCCAGCGACTCGAACGGATACACTCCGTCCTTGTCCATCAGCTCCGACCTCGACGAGATGGTATACTGCGACGTGTAGGGCGGCGTGCAGTTGCACGCGCTGATCGGATCGTGCTTGTAATCGTTGTACCGCATCATCCGCCCCATCGACGCCAAATCCACCACTTTCTTGTGATCCCGGCGGAAGATCTGCGCGCGCGCCGCGTCGCGCCACGACATCGCCTTCGCCTCCCACTCCTCCACCTTCGCCGGGTACCCGCACGCCTCGTAGATCGCGGGGAAGTACGGGATGTTGTAGGAGGCCCAGTAGCCCTCGCGGCGCAGCCACCACGTCATATCCGCGGCCTCGCCGCCGCCGGGGATCTGCTCGAAGATCCAGAACGCGCCGTCCCGCGGGGGCTGTCCGGGGAGCACGCGGTTGTAGTCCAGCACCATCCACTGGTTGTTGTACAGCCCGCTGTTGTACAGCGAGTACACCTCCACCCAGTGCTCCGCCGATCTACGCGTAAAACTCTGCGGCCGCCAGCTACGTGGCCAGGCGGTAGGCCAGCGCGGAGCGCGCCCACTGCAGCACCGACTGCGGCTTGATGTTCTCGTTCAGCGACTCGTCCCAGATCGCGATGGTCGTTTCCTGGATCGCCAGCCGCGCCGACGTGATGTAGAAGTCGTCTCCGGAGGTGAAACGGCCCGGGTAGGCGGGCATGGCGACCTTGTGTCCGGGGATGAGCGAGCCGTCGCGGAGATGCAGACGCAGATCGTAGGCCTTGTAGATTCGGTACATCGACTGCGCGTCCGACCAGGTCACGTGCGCGAAGAACACGTCCGAGAAGTCGGGAAGCACTTTGATCAGCGCTGAGCAGTGGTCCACGCGCTCGCTTCCGTGGCATTTGTTGTGGAACCCCGCGGATGCATCATCCGCGTAACACTTCGATTCGTCGTCGGCAGGAAGCACGATCGACAGGTCCCACACGTCGTATTCGTAGGTGGCCACGATGATCTGGTAGCGGGTCACGTTGCGCTAGAAGGAGAAGAAACATCGCTGCATTACCATCGCGCCCGTCGCCTTCGCCATGTAGCCGTCGTAAATGCCGTTCACCTGCACGTCCAGCAGGCTGCGCTGCTCCCAGTAGTCCGGGTTGCGGCCACTCGCTTTCTCCTCCTTCTCCCAGGCCTCGTTGGCATCGAAGAAGCGCTGCACCTTCTGAGGAGGCGCGCGGTCCGGGAAGCGGATCTTAATCTGGATGTACATCTGCTTGGCCGTGAGTGCTCCTTCCAAAAAGCCGGCAGCGTAGGCTTGGTCGTAGTTGGGATATTTGTCGTTAGAACGGATTGAGAGGTAGTTCCATCCTAGAATGGTCAGGATTCGATACCATTACCAGTTTCATGGATGGCTTCATCAAAGTAGGCGAAAGCGACAGCGTCGCGCTTCTTTCCCTCTACCATTTGATAAGAATCTCCGACTTTCATCATCGAAGCAGTAACCCCTAATGGTTACGTATCTGGTTCAAATCTACGGGTGGACGCAGCTGCGCAGCTCATGAGTGCGATAAACAACACTAAATTGTAAACTCTCATAGCTCACAAAAGAAAAAGTGAGAATAGGACGAAAACACAAATCATTTCCCTATTTTAGTGTTGAATTCTTTTTTCATGGATTGCGAATCTGATCATAAAAAAGAGGTGACAATAGGTGGTTGAGATTATGAGTGGAATATCTTTCAAACGCGGAGAGATGGTTGAATGGAAATGTGTGAGAATAGCATTTTCTGGTGGAGGATTGTTATGTTTCCATCTTGAAAAGAGTATGGAAGGGTCGAAATAGAGTCTTGTCTATTTACATTTCCGAGCTATCAACGGGTATTATTGTACAAAAACATTGGAATCGAGTCCCTATAATTATACGTAGTTGAACAAATGAAAGTGACACGACCTATGGAAAAGTGTTTCGTACACTCGATTTCTCATTCAATTAGTTTTACTACTTGTAGTCGATACACTATATTGTAACAATGTCTGAGTATTGTCCTTGAAGGTGTTTGAGGCGCTAAATCTATTGCATAATATAGATCTATAGTAGTATAGCAATATCTTCTAGAAAGAGTAGTTGTTCTCGAATACAGAATCACATCCACTCTAAAGTGATTATAGTCCTATTCAAAGTGCATATATCTCTATCAATAAACTACATATCACATCATGTCACAATAAGGCATACACGGACCATTGTACCCCTATTTCAATCCAAAATCCATTCTGTCCTTATATTATTACTATTACTATTACTATTATTACTACTACTACTACTCTTCTATTTCCTTTTCCATTTTCCCTCCCATATCACACCATCCTTTTCACATCTCACTCCATCCACTTCCGCTCCTATCCATCCACCCCGCAATCCTTCGTGCTTCCAACAAACAACAAAAACGAGTCTTTATGAATAGAGTGCCGATCAGGAGGTTCATTTATTCCTCAGCCTCCGCCTTATCGTTCTTGTGGTGCTTTCTGGCCACACGTCCCTACACATTAGCAATTCGCCCTCACACAAAGCTTCTTACAGGACGACCGCCTCCATAAGGAGAGTTCTCAGCGAACTGGATGTGCTTCTCCGAATCCACATGAACCATGAACGAAGGAGCGTTCACCACCTGCTGGCCAACACGGATGTGGCGCTGCTTGATCAGCACACGAGCGTGGTGGATCGACTTGGCAAGGCCCAGCTTGAACACACGGGTCTGCAGTCTGCGGTCCATCAGCTTGGAAGTCGACAGCTCCAGAATCATATCGAGCTTCATCTCCTCCTCAGAGACGAGTCCCAGACGGGCCATGCGGCGGATGATGGCAGCTCCCTGGAAGATTCTGCGAGGATCATCCTCAGGAAGAGTCAGCAATTCACGAGCAGCCTTTGCATTAGAAATATGCACGAAATAATACCTTGCGGATCTTGGCAAGCACCAGCTGCACACGCCAGATCTCACGCTTGCAGCGCAGACCGAACTCTCCGCAAATACGGAGCTCCTGGTCCAGACGCTCGCGCTCGAAGGGGCGACGAGGAGTACTGAAAGTAAGACGATCTAAATGCCATTAGAATATTGTGCTCTCCGAGAAAAACCAAAGCAACACACCGACTCAAACCATTTCACTATCAATGGCAAATTGAATACTTACAGTTTCTGTGGTGGGCACAAGTAACCATTTTAGACTCAAATTACTGAGGGAGAATGGAAGGACACGAATAGGGAGTTTCATTCATAGTCAATTTGATAATCAACCAAACTGGATCACTGTACAGTTCTATTGTTTGTTATTCTGTCTTCTGCCAGGAATATATATATTATTATTACTATTATTATTATTATTATAGAATAATACTAATACAACTACCAATAATCCAAATATTCAAATAACGAAAATGGAAATGGAAACGAAAATACAAATAGGAGAGAGGAACAGATCAAAAACCAACAAAGTATTACAGAAGTCGCGCATTTCGAGTTAACCAAACCACTGAATATTAACAAAACAATCAATCAATCGAAAATCAAATACACAAAGAAATGCTCTCTCGATTGGGTTGTATCTCTAAATTCTCTCTGTATAATGCTCTCTCCATTTCTAATTCATTTAGAACAAAGTCCGTTTTGTTTCGACCCAATCTAGCAATTCGGCTCTTTGGGCATGGAAACAACATTTTGGAAAATGAAACGTTTATGTCAACATATTACGATGCGACTCCAGTTCCAAAAGAGTCAGAACTCGATCCTGAAGAGTTTCGGACAAGAATGGAATCATGGTACAAGTCTCTTCTGATTTCCTCTAGCTTAGGGCATCGTTTAAGATGTATACGGGTGTGAAGATGCGAAAGAACGGAGATTGGTTTGCCTTTTACAAAGATATAGTGGATGGTAGTAGATAAATCTGCATATTTATAGTAGGTCCTCACGAAACGAGTGTAGCAGCGGCCAAAAAGTGGGATGAGTTGTGTTATTCTTCCGAGAAGGAAGTGGTAGGGTTTCTCACTCTGTTGTGAATAGAACAAACTGAATTTTCCCGAAAAATACTGGATGCGGGGGGAAGGTCTTCCGAATGTAAATTTCTATCACCCTGAGAAGTCGGAAGCGGTCCAGTGGGTTCCTCCAACCTCCAAAACCGTAACGAAATACGATATTCCCGTCCGTCAGGGGTAATGCCTCCTTCACTGCTTACCATGCTAGCAAGCCTCTTTCTCTCAATGAAACGATGAAAATCCTGCGAGGCGAAGGAGCCCTGAACATCCGCGTGCTAAACCTTCGCAACCACTCCACATTGGGCGAATGGATGATCTTCGTGACGGGCTCGTCGCTGGCCCACGAGAAGCGAATCGGCGACACAATCGTTCACTATGTTTGTTCTTCACTCACTCTCTGATCATAGCTACGAAAGCGCCAATTGAAACACATTCCGATCCGCGTAACGGATCGCGATGAATCCGAATGGATGGTTGTAGACGGCGATTCCGTCATCACAAACATTTTCTCGCCTCGTTTGGCTTCGTGTCGAGTGATCAATAGGCTATCGGATCGCTCGGGACTTGGAGGATCAATGGGAGTTGATGCGACCGGGTCGGAATCGATATGAATCGTGGACGGAGGAGCAATTGCAGGAGCGATTTGGGAATATTGAGGAGAAGATGGAGGCGTTCTCGCTGGATAGTTTGATTCAGCAGTATCAGCAACGCGTGGAACAGGAGAACGCGCCGGGATCGTTCTTCGTGGATGCAAAGGAAGTGGATCAATTGAAAGAGGAGATCGCCAAGGAGCAGGCCAATGAATCATCGAATGAATCATCGAATGAATTATCGAATGAATCATCGAATGAATCAGCCAATGAATCATCGAATGAATCATCGAATGAATCAGCCAATGAATCAGCGAATGAATCATCGAATGAATCAGCCAATGAATCATCGAATGAATCAGCCAATGAATCAGCCAATGAATCAGCCAATGAATCAGCCAATGAATCAGCCAATGAATCATCGAATAACACGCATCCATCCATTGAATCATCCAATGAATCCACAGCTTCGTTATCTGAAGATGCAGATTACGAAACGAAGGATTATTACATGACGAAAGAAGACTTCGAGCGTCTTCGCAATGACGATGGCACCATCACGATCGATGGCCAACGCCTCCACATCGAAGACTTCGCAGAAGTCAGTGACTCCGAACTCCAAGACGAAGAAGTTCCCTTCATTCAACTCGACTCCTCCCCTTCACCCCAGAAGCATCGCAGCAGTCGTCGCGATCGTCGCCGCAAACTCCGAGCCAACAACGAATCCAAATCCCGTAAACATTGATTAAAAAAAAGAAAGAATGCCAACAACGAATCCAAATCGATTAAACAAACAAACAAAAAAACTTTCATTGTTTGTTCCATCAAACACATCATAAGAAATAATCTGGAGGCGGTTTCTTCGACGGAATGCCTCGCTCACTCGCCGGCGCCGCCTCGAAAATCTTCGCCTCACTCCCTCCTCTCTGCCCTACTTTAAACTCACAATGCAGCTGGGAATCGACTTCCATAATCGAAGCGACGTTTCCGCAGCGATAGCAATAATTCGGAGCCGACCACACCGCCACCAGCATCTTATCAAACATGTATTTGTAGCCTTCCATCACCAATTGATGCGATCGGCAGATTAGATCCAGGTGGTTCGTTGTGTTGAACTACCCAGAGCAGCCATGCATCATCCCTACCTCCTTCACAGAGTCGCCTCCAAACACTGCGCCGCAGCCTCGCGAGTTCAATCCCCAACCCGTCATTTCTTCATCCGGGTCCGACCACAACAAATCGCACATCCCGCCTTCATGGGGAAGCTCGCACTTCCGATCGATCAGACGGATTTGGTCCAGTGTGGAGATGGAAGGCGATAGGCCGCCGTGCACACAAAAGAAGTGACCGTCGATTAATGCGGCAAGGCTGAGGTAGTCGAAGATTTCTGTGCAGAACCGCCATACGTTGATTGAACCGTATTTGCGAAGACATTCATCATAAAATCCGTAGGTTTGGCTGATCTGACGACTTTCATGATTACCGCGAAGAAGAGTGATTCGATCGGGGTAGCGGACTTTTAGACAGAGCAGCAGCAACCAAGTTTCGATGCTGTAATAGCCACGGTCCACGTAATCTCCCATGAAGAGATAGCACGTTTGTGGGCAGTCTCCGCCAATACGGAAAAGCTCACGCAGATCGTAAAACTGGCCGTGGATGTCTCCGCATATCTAGTTTTGAAAAGCAACGTGACCATCTACCGTGACCGGCGTACTCACGTTTCGAATATTACCCTCCTCGATGAGAATGTCACGGGCGCGATCACATACTCGTTTCACCTCGCTCTCAGTAATGAGTTCGCACTTTCGCAACTATGCACTCGTCAATCAAATTCTCAATGCAAACCTTCTCGATATACCTTTCCAAGTCATCGTTCATACTCATTGTAAAAGACCAACCGAAGTGTCTAGTCCCTCATGATCCTCTTCCGAGCATACATGCGTTGAACGAGGTTTTGAATTAACTCGTTGAACTACTTCGATAAAATGATAGTTCAGCCCAGATTGAATAACTGCCGCCTTTCCAGAAAAACCGCGGGTGAGGGAACTGACACTCTTATGTCCTAATTCTATTATTGTTTTTCCCAAGTCGCATTCAGTCTCACGCTGTGATGGACGGCAACGAGAATAACATAACTTTGCATGTTTCTTTTGTGCAAGAAGATGGAAGAACTGTTGACATAGAAGTCCCGCCAGTACGTTGAGCTAGGAATCAATTTACACTCTAGAACTGCACAGTTGGTGAACTAAAGTTAAAGATAGAACACACTCATCATATTCAAGCGGATACGCAGCGTCTGATTTACTTGGGACGCATTTTAGAAAATAACAACGAATCAATTCAGACGTATTTCTGCTCTCTGTTAATTACTCGCAGTTATAATATTGCGAACGATACAACGATTCAGCTGACCATCGTCCAGCAGGAAGCGCCTGATAATGATAGTATGTTTGACCAGTTGTTGTGACACAGATTCATTTTCCTACGAAGTGGAGAGAAATCTATTCCAGCGCCGACTGCAGCGAGCAATCGACAACTACGGCGGCGACATCTTCAGCTGGCAAGCAATGCTCACTCTGCAGGGCGCCCGCTTCCCCGAAGCAGGCGATACATTCACGTATCCCGTGGCTTCTTCTCTGGAGTTTCTTCGCCAAGGCCTTCTCACCTGCAACACCTACATCTCCGCATTAACCCTCCCCGAGAGCAGTATCCCCTCCTTCGCTCCCACATCTGCGGTTTCCACGACGGCTCCGCGTCCAAACCGTCGTTTCTACCTGGGTCAGGTAATGATGATCATGATGATGATGACTCATGTAGTGGATCGACGCGCTGGACACCGTGGAGAAATGGCTGGAGGCTACCATCATCGCCGTGGACGCCGAGTACGTCTTCGTCCACTACAACGGCTGGGCCTCGCGGTGGGACGAATGGATCCACGTGGTATTCCCCGTTTCCCCGTTTCCCCGATAGAACTCCCCGCGGATCGCGCCGTTCCGCACGCACACGCGCCATGTGCAGGTTCGCTCGACATTAAGTCCCGATGTGGTGTGCTGGGCACGTGACGCGCGCGTGACCGGCTCCGAAGACGCGTTGACGCTCGTGCAGCGGATCCAGACCGTATCCTCGGAAATTTGGCGGGTTTTGGCTTCGCTGCATCGCGAAGAAACCGAATCGGAGGAGCGTTTCAACCATCGCAAAGCGCAAATTTGGACCCAATTCGCGCCCATTCTCGACCGAATCGGCCGGTTAACCGCGGATTCGGCGAGCGTGCTGCGGTGTATCGCGGGGGGCGGGGAGATTTTGGCGGTTCCTCCCGCGGGGGGTAGTGGAATCGCGGGGAAATGAGGAATAGAGGAGATGGCGGCGCCGGTGTTGAATTTGCCGCCATTGCGGCGGGATTTGGCGGCAACGTACGACCCGCGGGTAGGAATGGAGACGATGATGAACACGGGAATGTCCGAGGAGGTGTCGTTTTTGCCGAGCCGGTCGACTGGGAATTACCGGGAGATTGTGATCCCGCTGAATGAACAGAATCTCCAGGGGAACAATAACACGAATAACAGTCAGTTTCAGGAGTCGTTCGTGCAGTTGCTGCATCAAATCGTCGCCTCCGCGCAGAATTCGGGAGGAAATTCGGCGCAGGCGGGCGGGGCGCGCGAAGACGAGTTGCCGCCAAATCCGAGCGAGCGTCCGCTGACGGGGCGGATGGGGAAACAGACGGGAGGGAAGCCGTCGTTGATGTGAGGATGGATGGAGGGTGTAATGTAGGAGCCGTCTGCGCGAAATCGGGGTTGTAAATCGCGATTCCAATCTGGCGAATAGCTTGGATCACTCGCAAGAATTGAGTTCGTTATGTGTTTGTTGAACAAAGAAGAGGATAAATGGATGGAATGATTCATTCAAAATGGAATGAGTTGAGTCTAACCATAGTCAATCAATCGGTCAGTCAGGCATTCAATCAGTCAGGCATTCGGTCAGTCAGGCATTCGATCAATCAATCGGTCAATCAATCAGACATTCGATTGAATGAAATCACAATGAATCGAATGACCAGGTTTACTTTGGATATGAACTTGTGAGGTATCAGAAGCGAGAATAAACGATTCAGTACATCGTAAAAAACGAATATCGCGCAAAGGAAGCGATGAGAAAATGGCTCCCGTACAATCCAAACACACAATCTCGTTTTTCAATGCCACAATGAAATGCTCTTCACCATCACTACTAACACACTGAGCACCGCGAATCCCAACCAAATTCTTGTTCAGTTTTACGGCACCTCCCGCATCCACGATACAGACATATTCATCGATCGCTGCGATACTCACAATCGCATGGCGACAACGACACCACCATTGCAAATCGTGGGATCCCACAACCCATCGATACACACTTCCATCTCGACAACCGACAAAGAAAATAGAAGAGTTGGTAGAAGATGATGTGATGGTTAATACGGAAGAAGGAGTGGAGATTGTTTGGGTTAACAAATCATTTTGATAGACATAAACGCCTTCGTCGCCTCCAACAATCACTACGGAGGGACTCAGCCTGTAACAGCAACGACTCGGACGAACCGGAATTTGAGTGTGTGTGGAGAGAAAAAACAGATAGCTTTGCTCTCTCGAATTACAGACAAATACATCATGATGTTGCCAACTAATGTCTATTTCTGATGTGAGTTGAAGAATCGATGGAACCGAAGATATTTCCATTTCGTTTATATTATGATTGTGACTGTGACTGTGACTGTGACTGTGACTGTGATTGTTCAAGTTGTTGATTTGATACATAAACAGTTTACTTCTACTTGATACAATCACAGTGTTCTCCACTAGAGAAACTCCATGGACTACGCAGTCGGGAGGAGAGAGAACGATGGATGAATTACGAGAGGAAAGCAAAAACGTTTTGTAGAGTTTATCAAAATTCGATGGATTTTGTAACCGCCTGGACTGCAGTAATGTTGAAACCAATGAACAACGACTCATTTCGTATGAAAAAGAGGTACTTGGAATTGAAAGCGGTTTATCCTTTTTTCAACATATGAAACAAATCCTACATAGACAGAATCCCGTTTCATCGATAAAGGGAAGTATTTTTGCTTTTCTTGGTCAAAAAAGAAACCAGGAATTGGTTTCGGGGTTGAAGAATGTTCAACCGATTGCTCTAGGTCTGCTGCCTTCCTTCGTTGTTGCTCAAGTGCCGCAAGCACATCCCACGCGTTTCTTGAGTCTCCTTCGTTTTCCGTCTCCTTTTGTAGCTATGGTAGTCATAGCCACCCTTTTTATTTCTCATTCAATACAATAATCGAAAAAGTTTTAACATGAGAATGAACACCATAAAGGGTCATTCTACCCTGCCTAATGTGTGAAACGCGCTCGCTTGGACTCCCCCTTACAAACAACGACTTGAAAGATATTCTTCCGAAGAAGTCGGAAATATTCATTTCTTTTGTCATTCTATATTTTTTTCCAGTAGGATTTGTACAATGGACTATAAGCTGTTTTTCGTGGACAACCTGAATACCTTGAATTTCAGTATGCGAATCGTGGGATTCTTGGATATGGTAATGTTTTGTGTCCTCTTTCTCGTGTGCCTTCCTTTCCCTGACATGATCAGAAAGAGCCTCTGCTCTGTGATAGTTTTATTACTTTTGTCACGTTTAGACAGTCGTCAAGGGAATGGGTCCTATTTCCATCTTCATGGTGTTCTGCGCATACTCTGCGGTTTATACTCTTACCAAGCTCTCTAAGAGATTCTATGTCTATCACACCGAGAACTCAAAGGGACGGATGGGTAGCTATGAGTTTTTCTCCAAGAGCATTGCTAAGAACCAGAGAGATCTCCTTCTCTGCATCATCGGTATCGTGTTTAGCTTGTCTGTATGTTGAGTCCGCATAATGTTTAGCTTGACGGTGTTCCTCTCTGCCCAGCTGAAGAACATGAGCAAGGACCCTGAGCCGAAACAGGTAGAGGAGGAGAAGAAGGAGAAGCCTGCTGATGCGAAAAAGAACGATTGTTGTGTTTGTTGTAACAAAGCCTTACACAGACAGCATCATAGTATATCAATGCATTATTATCATACACTACTAGACAACAAGTAATCTGCCGCTCTATTCACATCGTTGCCACAGGCGAGCAGAGCATGTTCACATTCATATCGACTAAAACCAAGACCCTATTCATAACCTCTTCGCCGACTCTCCTTACCATTAGCTCCTCAACATGAGCTTGCGATGTCCGGTGCGGAGGGCTTGACTCTTCCGATGAGTCAACTCCTCTTCCGAAGAATCCTGCGTCCACCATAAATGGAGAGGAGCTGTCCTCGCTTATGTTTCGATCACGAGGCTCTTCGGACGAGCTAGCATAGTAAATGATGAAGTTTGTGATCATGGAGGGAAAAGGAACCAATCGTTTTTTCTGAAGAAGAGGAAACAGGGCGTAGTTTGCAAATAACATTCCGACGAAAAGCTCGATTACACCGCTAATGCGCGAAGAAAGAGACACAAAAAAGGTCAACAGCCACAGCAAGACCTCTTCGCTTATGCGGATCCCTTTGTATAACATTATAGAGCTTGCTCGGACACGGGGAACAATCCCTATGGCTAACCAAGAAGAGAAATGCTCGAACTATGATAGAGGATCGTGAATATGGACATTAGCATGATACAGCCATTCGTAGACTCGAGGAAATAGGCAAATGCCCAGCGCTGAAAGAAGATAAAGAAGAGTGAATTCATCAACAGCGTCATAAACCTGTGACTCCCCACAAGAAACTCGACTTTGCGTACTAAATAGACATGGAGAAGAAAAACCACGTAAGTAAAGAAACTGTTCATGAAGACGACAAAGCACACATACCAGTCATACATCAAAAACCGAAAGAGTGACTTTGCGAAAACCCCCTTTACATACGCTTCGGAATCTACATGATGACACAACAAAACACGAACCGATACCCGTAATGGACAAGAAGGAAAATACAAATATGAAATACAGAAAAAATAGAGTGATAGGGTACGCTGCTATATATAAAGAGACCTACACACTTCCTACTTATGTTTCTCTTCAGTGCCATTTAAAATTGTCAGCCCTCAGCACAAAGGCCGTGGTATAGAATAGTTTGCGATTCCAAAAATAGACACGTTTTTCATTTGTTCGGTTTTTCAAAAGATCGATATGAACCAAGCAGGAATAACAGATGAGGAGTATGGAAACATGACAATGGAGGAATATTTTACGAAAAAGGCTGCAGCTGTTGAAGATGTGTAGCTTTGTAATTTAAATAATTGGTAGGCAATCATCCGTCATTGCCATGATATATGCGATTTAATTATGTCACAGTATGAGGAAGCTCGAATGAAAGAGCTAAAGCAATATGAGCAACCGTCAGGATCAGCAAGTATCTGGAGAGCAAGCGGTTGTAACGAATAGAAACCGAATTAACTGCGAAACTCACAGTAATTTCCGGACCTCATCGTAATCAGATATTCGTTGTAAAACCGAAGTCTGTAGAGTATGAACGGTTTGATAACGACTAGAAAACCCATCCAGGTCTTGGTCGTTCAACGCGCGATATCATCCTAAAGAATGGAATCAGCTTACCCAAAGATCACGAAGTTTCTCAGTATCATGGAGAGGTGGGGAAGGATGAGTGGTTATGAGTTTTAGTTTTTCATTCGCGGAGGGCAGCTCAAATACAAGGACTTGCGAAGTACAAACAATAGCTATGTAAATGGGTATTTTGTAGTCTTGGTGGGATGATGTTGTAGGGAAATGGTAGAAGAGACAGTGACATTGAAGACTGGAGATATTCTCCATGTTGGACAGACAGACTTACAGATAGAAATTATTAAACCTAACTAACCCTAAACGCTTTTGTTCACACCACACTCGTTAATGAATCAAATACTCTCGAATGGCTATTTCACGTTTGAGTGCTTTCCTGCCATCGTATTGTGTTGTCTAGCCTAATGATACAGAGACACCCATAAAACGATCGATTTCTCTATAAAATGTATATATGTTAGGGGCCATATTTGGGAACTTATGGGTATATTAAATCTACATGCTATCGCATTTTCTCAAGATTTGTATATATTAAATCAAAGGAGACAAGGTACGTTGAATTGTCGCTTGAAGAAGCTTTGATTCTAATCGGATTATAGAGAAATGCGTGCTGATCAAGATACATCAAGTTCATCGAGTTCTTCCAGTTCTGATTCTGAGGAGGTGAAGAAGTCCACGAATCTGGCGAAGGTTCAAGATAGTTCCTCCTCAGATTCTGAGTCTGATACGAAACCCGCTCCTGTAGCGAAGAAGGTTGAGTCTTCTTCGGATTCTTCGGATTCGGATTCCGATGAGAAGCCTGCGGCTGCCCCTAAGAAGGCTGAGACATCATCTTCCTCGGATTCTGACTCTGATGAGAAGCCTGCGCCTAAGAAGGCCGAATCGTCTTCTGATTCTTCTGATTCTGAGTCGGACAAGAAGCCTGCTGCCAAGAAGGCCGAGACTTCCTCCTCTTCCGACTCTTCCTCGGATTCTGAGTCGGACAAGAAGCCTGCTGCTAAGAAGGCCGAGACTTCCTCCTCCTCGGATTCTGAGTCTTCGGATTCTGAGTCGGATAAGAAGCCTGCTGCTAAGAAGGCTGAGACTTCCTCCGACTCTTCCTCGGATTCTGAGTCGGATAAGAAGCCTGCAAAGAAGTCGAAGAACTCGGATTCCTCGGACTCCGACTCCGAATCGGAGGAGAAGCCGAAGAAGTCGAATAAGAAGGAAACCTCCGAGGAAGAGGAAGAGGAAGAGGAGGTGAAGCCCAAGAAGATGAGCGGCTTCCAAGCGTAGGGTTGTTCGCCGGGGCGTGATCGATAGCTGGTTGGAGCAGCGCCGCAAGAAGAAGCGCGAGAACGAGAACATGGAGTTCCTGCGCAGCGTGATCCCCGCGTGGCAGTACAAGCGCGAGGGCAATCTCGCCAAGAAGGTTTGCTATGAGGGAATGATCCCCTACACACGTATCAAGGTAGTCGTCGTGGAGCCTGCTGACGCATAGAGCTGGAACGTGATGATCGGAACGGAGGTGCGCATTGCCGCGAAACTGTACCGCGTGAACGTGAAGAACGGAAAGGGTCTTCGCGAGAAATTCACCTCGGTACGCGCTCGAGTGGGTCGTAAACGCCATAGAACCCCGATGCCCCCACGGAAGGAAACGAGAAGTCCATTTTGCAGATCCCCCAGGCGGTGAAGGGTTTCCTCCTCTTGCTCCTCTCTCATTTCTATAGACGTGTATCCCGAGGAGAGCTCGTTCCACGACGCCCGGTTTGAGCGCGACCTCCAGGAGCTGCTGGAGACGTTCGTGGCGTACCGCCCGGACATCGGCTACTTCGACGGTCTGAACTACATCTCCGCGATGCTGCTGCAGTTCCAGGACGAGGAGAGCGCGTTCACGTCCACGGTGAATCTGTTCACGCAGTATCTGAGCAACGCGGTGGACCCCGAGATGAAGGACAAGTTCAAGGAGTACTGCGCGGCGTTCGGCTCCGCGATGGACGAGGAGGTCCCCGACGTGCGCAGCGCCTTCCAGGACAACAAGGTGGACATCGCGGTGATCCTCAAGGACTGGATCTACTCGCTCTTCACGCGCTGCGTGAACTTCGAGGACGCGAAGCGTCTCTGGGACATTCTGCTGCTCGAGGGCTCCTTCGGAATCGTCAAGATCGCGCTGGGCATCCTCAAGATGTTCGCCGGCGAGCTCTGCGACATGCGCAGCAAGGAGGTCTACGCGTTCCTGAAGCATCTGCCCGCGAAGCTGGACATCGACGAGCTCGCGAAGTCCGTAGGGGCGGGAGCGGAGTGTGAGTGCAGATCAAATCCATCGGCCTCGCGCTCACCGACTGGACCATTCTGCTGGAGAACGCCGCGGAGACCCAGCAGGAGGACGACGAGGACGAAGAGGAGGAGAAGAAGAAGAAGAAGGTCGAGTCCAGCTCGGATTCCGAGGAGGAAGAGAAGAAGCCTGAGCCCAAGAAGGCTGAGTCCTCTTCCGATTCCTCTTCCTCGGACTCCGAGGACGAGAAGAAGCCTGAGCCCAAGAAGGCCGAGTCGTCTTCCTCCTCTTCCTCGGACTCTGAGGACGAGAAGCCTGCGCCTAAACCTGCGCCCAAGAAGGTCGAATCCTCTTCTTCGTCTTCCGATTCCTCGTCGGAGGATGAGAAGCCCGCGCCCAAGCCTGCGCCTAAGAAGGTCGAATCTTCCTCTTCCTCGGACTCTTCCTCCGAGGACGAGAAGCCTGCGCCTAAGCCGGCTCCGAAGAAGGTCGAATCCTCGTCGTCGTCTTCTTCCGATTCCTCGTCGGAGGACGAGAAGCCGGCTCCGAAGCCCGCGGCGAAGAAGGTCGAATCCTCGTCGTCGTCGGACTCAAGCAGCGATTAAAGGGCCGGAGGCTCCCGACGATGCATCGAGCGATCGGTGTGTAGGTGGTAGTGCTGTTCATTGTATTGCGTGTTTGCGAACAAACAGTCGAACCAACAGCTCCTCTTCATCGTTACAGCAGAGCGCGGCTTCCCGCCAGCACGGTGAGCAGCGCCACGGGCAGCAGCACCTTGAACAGATGCACGATGTCCCACCCCACCCAGAACGCAGCATACAGACACACGATTCCAGCGACGCACACGCCGAACACCAAGCGGCTCGCCTGCGTCAGAACGCGATCTCTCTACACCTCGGCCCTCTCTCCCTCGCCTACCTTCAGCTCCATGCCCAGGCGGCCCCAGACCAGCAGCAAGCCCACCAGGCAGGCCGGAATCGCCAGCGAAAACGCCAGCGGAAACACGAACGGAGGGTTCACGTTCTCCGCACGGAACACGTGCGAGATCTCCTTCAGCGGCTTCACACTGTTCTCGCTCTCGTAGAGCAGCGGCTTGCTGTAGATAGGGTACACGGGAGATTCCGGAACACCGCCAAAGTCGATCTCCAGCTTCAGCAGAGGGAGCGTCAGCGGAGAGGCCAGAAGAGCGTCACCGCAGAGGAACGAAGCCTGGTACACGCCGTTCTCGTAGTTAAACGGAGTGGCCACATCCTTTCGCGCAGGGTTGAAGGTGATGACGGAAACACCCTGAAATGAACCGGACAACGCATTCCTACCTCCTTGGTGCGCATGGGCAAGGTCAACTTCTTCCCGCTCGGGCTTTCAAGCATGAACAACGTAGTCGTGGGAACGAGCTTTCCAGCGTCCTCCGAAATGACTTTCAGAGTGATCGACGTCTTAGGACCCAAACTGAGGGGAGATGGTTGTGTGTAAGGAATAGTGTACTCCGTGGTCTTATGATCGATCGTAAGACTAAAGCTAGAGAAATGAATCTCTGTTTTGGCAACGACTTCCACCTCCGACCTCGCAACGACTTCTCCTTCACGACTACGGACCTATTGCATAGTACTCACAAAACAACAGCCAACCAGAATGTTGAACTTCGTAAAACCCGGAGTGAGTTGATAAGGCAGCTCGAAAGCTCCATTTTTGTACATAGTCAATGTCGGCGTATTTTCACCTTCATACGCTTGGACTGTGAGCTCAGATTCCTTATCGCTGACGAGATCACCCAAATGGAAACGAATGACTCCGTTTTCGTATTCTCCGTATGCTGAATGGGCAAATACAGCAATTAAGAGGATTAACAGAAAGCAGCTCTTCATCTAATACAAGAATAAGAATCAAGAAAACATCACAAATGTACTGAATAACCGCGGGTAAAATGAGTTTAAGAATAGGAATAAAAAATATGTACTATTTTCGAAATGTCTTAACCAATTTTGACTACTTACAGAGAGTATAGTACGATGTCATTTAGGAATAACCCAAAAAATTAAAAATACTCCGGTAGAGAAAAAGTTAAAACCGTCTCTCTGCAAACCACAATTATTCATATTCTTTTAAATGAATTGTAACCTAACAGAAAAACAAAAATACATGATGCTCTATTCAGGTATTCGTGAGTACTATTCTCCGGAAAACCATTTTGACTCGACCATGATGGAATCATTTTTTGAAATGAGTATATTTTCACTTTTCTGATGACGTTTAGGATTTAGAAAAACCATCGAATTGAGTCCCTGTAGTTTCGTCTTGTGAGGGATTATGAATAGATACAAATACTTGCTATTGTAAAACCCACGGCTGTATTTTCATTCCAAAGAGCAATGAATCATTCTTTGAATTGCTCGAAGAGGCGAATAAATGCTTTGAAAAAAGTTAGAACAGAAGCGCCTCAATTTTTCTTAACTACAGCATTTTTATCGCAATCTTTTTGGTTTGTTAAACAACAGTATGCAATATAGCAGTATTTCACTTTATACCTTGCCTCAAAAAGTGTTAGAAAAAAACATTGGAGATGGCAGAAAAAGTGGAAGCAATTATAAAGCAAGCAGGTGAAAAAAGAGAAGCGTTTTCAGCTGCTTCAGGCAAGAATATCCTGTATTTGGTAATAGTTAGAATCATGTAAAACAGGACTTGAAGAGTCTCTCACAAAGCTGGACACCAGGGTACGATCCGTAATATATCCTTATAAGCGTGATCCGTGTGTGTTTTCTTCATGGCAGTGAAAGAAACGGAGCTGTGGTCTCAGCAGAGAACGAGAGAGTATTGAAACTGAATAGGCAAGTGAATGTAAAGAAAGACGCATTGGTTGACGTATAGAGTACTGTTTCCGAGTTTCAGAGCAAAATGGCCGATATCAGCACTAGAGTCGATACTTTCCTCGACACGGCTTCAAGTTTGGACTGCTTTGACAAATGGTCTCGCAATCTCAAATCAAAAATGTATGAAGTGAGCCACACGATGGAGGAAATTTGTAAAATCGAACAAGATGAAATGCGAACTACCTTGTGTCCTGTTTTTTAAACACACAACACATCATAGGATACAATGACGACTACAATAAATCACCCACTTCCTCCTCCGTTCCCGTTCTCTCCCCCTTCCCATTCCCGCCTCCCCATCCGGACGCATCGCTCCCCAGCGACCCTCGAATCCCCAGGCTCTTCCCCTTCATCGGCTGCTTCCGAAAGAACGGCGCGCGCACGGCTCTTCCGAACGGCGCGCTCGCTCGGTACCGCTTATAATCCGCAGGGTTCGACGCGATCGGCGAGAACAGCATCGGCGACTGCCCCTCCGTGCCTAGAAACAGCGAGCTCCCCGTTCCCGCGCTCTGCTGCCGCGTTAACGTCGGGGTCACCGCGGGACTGAGCCGTGCGGACGCGACGACGCGCACGGCTTCGATGAGTTCGTTGGAGAGCGCCTTCTCTACATGACAGAGGAGGAAAAAGCGGACCAGCATGGAGCTGCTCGAGCAACGCGAGCAACGCGTTGAGGTCGTCCGCTTCGCTGCACTGCATCATCAGCTCGCCGATCCATTCGTTTTCCTGCAGAATCGCCGACCAATTCTCCGCCACGCCCTTCCCGTTTCCTTTGTACGATGGCTCCCCATCCAAGGAGAGCCACAGCGGAGAAACCGACCTCTGCTGCGTGTTGGACCCACGACGATTCCCCGTTTCCCCGTTTCCTCGGCCACCATTGGAGCCATTGGATGCATTGGAGCCATTGGAGCCATTGGATGCATTGGAACTATTGGTTCTATTGGTTCTATTGGGACCATTTGAATTATTGGGTCCATTGGGTCCATTAGGGTCATTAGGGTCATTAGGGTCATTTAAAATATTAGGATCATTGGGGCCATTTGGGTCATTCAAACCCCTGGATCCATTCTCGGCCACAGACCCGTTGCCCCCATTTCTCCCCGCATTCCCCGCTTCGCCCCCGCGCGTCCTCCTCGCCGTGCGCACCACGGCCGGAACAGTGTTCCCGCGCTTCTTCCCGTCGGTGGTGAGCGCGACAACGTCGTCGATGAACATCTTCACGAGCTTCAGCGCGATGCGCAGCGCGAGCAAACCCGCGACCAGCACCGCCAGCACGCTGCAGGAGAGCGCGACCGCCCGCGGAGGATTGGTTTCCACGCTTTCCACGATGTCTCGAACGACCCACTGGAGCACGAGAAGGAGGGAGGAGGCCACGTGGGAGCAGGAAAGAAGGAAGCGAACGCCGGTGCGGAGCAGCAGATGCGTGTAGAAGCGGAGATACAGCACGAACGTCGCGAAGCAATCGCGGAGGATTTCCCGCGGGGAGGAGCTGCCCGGGTAGGGAGCGCCGGAGCGGACGATGCCGAGAATGTCGTTCATGAGCTGGGAGCAGCCGTCGTCTTTGAAGAAGGAAACGCCCGCGTTGGGCTGCGCTTTGAAATCGACGCAGAGCTCGCAGTCCTGACACATTTCGAGGCGAAAGGAGCGCCATTTCTCGATCTCGGAGAGAGAGTAGCATTGCGAGCAGAGCTGGCGAAAAGCCACAGCGTTGCGGTAGAGATTGCAGTGCAGGATGTAGGAGTAGACCCAGTCTTGGAGGGAGATTTTGATGGGAACCGCGGCTAATGGGTCGGAAGACACGAGGCTGACCACCTCGTCGAAGGACTTCCCCGAGAGGTAGAAGCCGAAGAAGATCAGGAAGAAGTTCTTGACGTCGCTGAAGAACTGCTGGATCCACCGAGGAAGCGAAGGAGCCACTAATGATTTGTAGACGGGGTAGAATGAGGGGATGAGCGAAAATAAGATCAATATCAGAGAAAGCGTGAAGAGGATCCGCGAAAAGGAAAAAACATAGGTGCTAAAGGGGAACGAAAACAGATGGACAGGTACGATGCAGCGATCTTCGGCTCAGCGGGTTTCTTTCTGGAGTTCTAGACGATTAGTCACTTGCAATATGCAAAACAATTGAGCCCGTACGATTGTGTGTGCCTTTTCGTTTTGCAGCATTCTCATCTTCGTCTCGCTTCTAGATACATCACTCCGAGAAGTGAATGGGTACAGAAACTCTCACGTTCACCGAGCTCGAGCGGTTTCGCTTTCCATTGAAGATATTGAGGTTCTGGAGCATAAGCTTCACAATACAAGCACTTACTCGAAGATTGAGCAATAAGCCGCAAGCAATTGATAATCCAAGATACAGCAACAACATAGCTCCAGGATCCATGGTGTTCGTTCCAGGAGCAATCAGAAAGAGAATGAAAAGCAAACAATGGCGCTTCCAAAACTTCAAAGCATTTTCAACAAACAACTCATTCAGTCTTTTCTATTTTACTCCGTGCTCTCTCAAGAACGTTCTTGATGTCCGCCTTAATGAACAGACATTCAGCCTCCACACAAACGTCTCCCTATGGCTCAGCAAACGAAAACTGTCCATACAACTTCATCGTAGATTGTGCCCTTGAACCAATGCTTTCTTCCTTCCTGACGTTCGCACACTCCTTTCACTAACACGGTACTGGGACACAGAATGATCTTGCGATAGCTAAGATTCAGCTGTCCAGTAAAACCGTTGATTCCGAGGACACAGTTCATGATCCCAAAGAATTGGTCAAGAGTGGACGCAGAAGCACCTCCATGCAGAATGCCAGCATGACCACACATTTTCTTTCCATAAGAAACGATAGAATACCTATGCGTAACGATACCCAAAGCAGCGCTCTACAAGACACTCTTCTCTTCGTTTGTAAAAGAACGGTACTACAGCTATGACAACAAAAAAGCAAGGCATACACACTCAATCAAATTCTCCTTTCGCAGTCCATCATAAAATAGATTGTCCACGCGAGGGTAGAGCGGAAAGAGTAGCTCCTTGCATCCTTCGCTAGCAACCCGCTTCAAAAACTGTTCCTCGACATGCCGAGACTAGGAATAATAAAATCCAAACGACAATCAACATGTTCGTCTTTTATAGAGTAATACTCATCATCCACAATTTCCTTAAGTTCCATGTGAGTAGCTTGATAGGGAGTAAACTAAAAAAATAAATAAAGTTGACAAGCGTGAAGCTTAAAAAGAAATTGACTCCGCGTTTCGATTTGTACAATACTCATTTCGCAACAAACAAGCCAGATTTCATTTCCAATCGTTACCCAGTTATTCCGTAAATTATTCAAACGGCCAAAGATTTCGCAATAAAATCCATTGGGAACCAAGCTCTCAATCACATCGTAAATCTCTTGTGGCTTCTGGCTCTGCCCTTTTCGTTTGGACATGATCACATCGTCGATTTTCCCCATGTAGTCTGCGTCAATAAACGCAGAGCTCCCCTTCTGTGCCACAAAACAAGTTTCTTTTGCATGCTGCAGATAAAAACCATTTCCCTGGGCAATAATACCCTTCGAGGTAAGCTTTACCCAAGAAATATCACCAACTAACCTAATCATCATCAACCATCTCTCCTCATCTCCCACTTATATCCCCAGAGCTCAATCATTTTGATCGCTGTGGTAAACTTGCAGTTGATAACCCACATAAAAAGCAGGCCATCCGATTGAATTTTGTGCAAAGGAATCGCGGAAATTGCCTCATCACTTAGCGTCTGGTACTTTATAGCTACCTATTCTTCATCCATTCTCGTCACTTCTACGCCTCGAGAGGGATTGTCAGACGTTAACTGCCAAGGAGGATCGATCATGACGACATCAAACAAACGACCCGCTAATCGCTTCTGAACTTGGCCAAATTTCTAGAGGGTACTCTTTTCTATCGCTTCTCTTACGGACCAGTCAAACAAGCGCACATCCGTATTAATGGCAACACAGTTGGAGGGAACTGCGTTTTCTTCAAGGAAAAATCGGGACTTTTCCATCCCTATGCCTCAATACGTACAATAATTGGGACATTCTTCGCTATATGCAAGAATTTGCTTGTGAGAAGATGGACGGAGGTCTTTGGACGCTAGATAAGAACGAACGTTGACCGCATGTTTGTGCAGGCGAGAACGTTCAATGTCAGTAAAAAGTCTGTAGAGATAGGGGTTCATTTTCAAAATGTAGAGACGGTGGTCTCTCTATGGATCAAGCGGGAGGGCAAGCGCGCACTTCTTGCTGATCTATTGTTTCATGGTTACTAGAATCATTCAAGGAGTGAATGGATGGAGAACAGTCGCTCAAAAGAAGCGTTTGCTCGATGACGCAAATTGATCGTAAAATCTCCGTCTCACTCATTGAGGAAACACTGCTATCGTTAAAGTCGATATCTTGAGCTATGTTCAAAAAACGAAAATGAGCGTACGACAAACTCTCATTCGCTTACAAGAATCTTCATTCCATTCTTTCTGATTTTTCAAATCTTCCTCAAAATTGTAATCTTCGTCGTCATCTTGAGTTCCATGCCAGACAAAATGCATACCTGAGGTCGTCTTATAATCCAAGCACTCAAAACAGTAAAAATTATTGGGATTGTCAATATCTTTTCTCCTTGCGTTCACACTAGAAGTGAGCTTGTGAACAGACGAATCATTACCAGTCAAAATGATACCAGCGTCTGCAATGACGACAGCGAATCATTGGCCTGTTAAATCCTTCGCCACAGTAACATCCAAAGGGATCTTCTTTTTGCATACAAAAAATATGCCGATATCCAAAAAATGAGGTATTTTCTGCCTTTGATTTAAGCTGACTCAAAATAGATAGCATGTCAGATCAGTTTTAAATATCTAATAATGTCAATCTTGGCTACTTTTAAGTTAGACTGTGTGTTCCTATCGCTCAAATCGTCACCAACCATGCTCTTTCCTAATAGTCTTTTCTTTTTGTAGTTACACAACCTGGACGATTCTTTATTAACTTTGGAGACATTTGCATAACCTTCAAGCATTGGTTGTAATGCCATTACACGTTACATAACAAATATTGCAGTCAACGTCGTATGGCTGTTATAGATATCATTGGAATGCCCTTTCCTATAACAAGTGATGCAAAGTTTCTGCTCGTTACTAGTCTCAATTGAGTACATCCATGCTGCAAGTTCAATCCCTATAGTGATATACTGTATTGCTAAGGTCTTGCATTATGCTTCCAATTCTTCACTCTGGTCATCTTGAAATAGCATTCTACTCGCGTGTCGTAGTACGAGGGAGTATATTTCTACCCCATTGAATCACAACTCTAATTATACAGTCGTTTTGGTCTTTTTACAGGAATATCTCTATTTCTGACGGGTTCAACGTATTGTGGTATTGGGAAAACACAGATATTTAAGGACAAGTACGATCATTCAACATCCGATAAACACAAGCCCTGTTACAAACCAACACACATTAAACTCGGATAATTCGCATATTCCTATGTTTATATTGATAGTAGCTACATGATAGACAAGCATTCAAGCGTGTAAGCATGACCAATCTGTATTCTTCTTGAATTCGTGACTATCGTGTTTTCCTCTTGGTAAATACATTTCTATCAAGAAACAGTAAACACTATCAACCCCATAATCGTTTTGATCAACTGCATTCGATGTTCGGCCTCTTCTTTCGTTTGTTCCGCTCCTTGCCTCATCAGATCATATACATAATCTTGGTTTTCTTGTAGCTCCTTGTACTTGTCTCGAATCGGAGAAAGGCAGGCAATCAGCGCATCTGCCAATTGCGGTTTGAACTGTGCCATCGAGCAGTCCTACATTGACACTCCCCTATCCTTCCACTACTTTGTATTGCTCATAAACGGCCTCCAGAGTTTGATTGGTAGCTGCAGCCATCAGCGAAACAAGGTTGTAAATCTCGGGCCGCGCGTCTTTATCCAGTCTATGAACCATCCAAGGAAGTCATTCACTCCTTACGATAAGCCTTGCAAACAGTCTGTCTTGGCTCGCTTGATGCATTCTTGAATTCGCTCGGGAGGGTCTAAACTTTACAAATCTCTCCTTCATTCGACCAATAATCGAAATGTTGCTAAATTGGGTCTGCGATGATTTGCTCATTTTCTTCTTCCCATCAGAGAGCGACATGATGCGTCGTCCTATTTTACATCCCTAAGCCAATTCTACCCACAAACACTTCGGGTTCGGGTAGATTGAAGTGAACGTTGTATTTTCGGTTGAAGTGGTCGATGATATCGCGAGCTACCTCCACATGTTGAATCTGATCTTCTCCCACAGGCACATCTGCTTTGAAAAACACACAAAGGAATACGCGTTGCGTTGTACATCATGATGTCGGCAGTCATTAAGACCGGGTAGGACAGAAGACCCAGCGGGCTGGCAAAAGCATCAGCCTTGCTTCCAAGTTTTGCGATTTTGTCTTTGAATTGATGCATACGTAAGAGCCGATTGATATTGATGTTGTTTTCTAAAATCCAACCTAATTCGCAGTGGTAAGCATTCTATTGAAAAGGCAACGTGAAAGGTACATCAGATTGAACAAATAACACAGAGTTCTCCCTTGGCTCCAGACCACACGCCAAAAGAGAACTAAACGAATTCCTACGCGTCAATCTTTGTTCATTATGTCTACATAATGTTTTCCTTCAATTCATTTGGGTCAGAAACGGAAGTGAGAGCGTGATAACTCATTATTCCAAAGTAGCTCTTCTTATAGTCTAAATTCACACATTTTCAGCTTTCTCATACTTCCTTCCTTCTGTTCATCTACCCAGTTTTTCAACGCGCCGAAGTAATTCCCGATGTGAGGAATTCCGCTTGGCTGAATACCAGAAAATATGATTTTCTGAGAAGCAGCGAATGAACGAGTTAGAAGTCTATTCATCATGTTTTTTCTGTTTGACCAAGATACCCCCGCGGTTTTGTATTGGGGAATGAAGGGGAGTGGGTTTGAATTAATAATTGTAGTGAATAGTAATTCGATTAAATTGCAGAAATGCAATCATGGAAGTGAGGAAGGAGTTGGAAGGATTACAAATAGTATGTGTTGAGATTTGCGTGTATATTTTATTCTCTTGTTGTGGAGTCAAACAAGGGATTACATGTTATATATAAAGAAATGAGGTCTGGCCATCTATTTTTGCAAATTGCTATTACTTTCTGATGCATTGAGTTATCGGGCACTATTCTATCACCTACAACATTTTTAGAAACATATTACCTCAGATTTAGGAAGAGACTCACTTTCCCTAACATCTCTTTTTCTTATACTAGACTGCTCACAAAATACTCATATATGCCCTTCTAGTCTATTGAAACCTTACAATATTCAGCAACTACTCTAATTGTGACTATTTCTAGTCCATTGTTAGTATCCGCATGCCCTCTGCGCGTATAAACAACATTACTATCCCTTCCAACAATCAAATTCAAACTATTATAATAAAAATAGTCCATATTTCTTTCACCTCATTGTAAAGTCATTGATCCCATGGAAGAAACTTCAGACCCTGTCAAAAAAGAGACAGAAGAAGTGAGTCCCGAGGAGAAAAAGCTGGAAGAACGAAAGAAAGCAAAATTGGAAGAAATAAAGAAAATTGAAGAACGATTTAAGAAAGGTAGGAGTTTGTAGTCAGTTTGTAAGCATAGTTACCAGATATACGATGAAGGCAGTGGAATTGGAAGCGAAGAGTACTACAAGTGAATCGTTGCGTTCTTCTTTTTCCCTTACATTTAGAGAATCAAAAAGAGAAGCTAAACGAGAATGGCGAGAAGCACACGAAAAAGAGTTAAAAGAGCGAAGATTGAGGGGAATCACGGAGAAGAACGCGTAGAGAATTGACTGTAAAACCATATTTAGACATCTCTTGGAAACTTCGGAAATGGCTCAAAAACGGAGCGAATCAAAAAAAGAAAAGGAAAGAAACCGCGTGTTAAACTATGGATGGAACATTTTCGGTCAGGTATTGTTACTCGAGCGAATTGATCGTAGGACGCGATCTACCGTGGCTATGAGAAAAGGCTCAAAACACTGCAAACGACTCCCGAGTCAGCTGCGAAAGCGGAAGAAGACTATGACGGTCTTCTCGATTATGGCAGCAATTCGCATCTTTCCAAAGAAACGATCGACCGCTTGGTGGAGGGGCAGAAGAAGCAAGACGAGAAACACAGCCAGTTCAGCAAACGACGCACCTTGTTGGTGATGATGAGTTAGGATGATGTGTAGCTACAACCAGGAAACGGTGGATTACATCAACGAGCGAAATCGGAACTTCAACAAGAAGCTGGGTCGCTACTACGACCGTTTCACCCAGGATACGCGAGCGAATCTGGAGCGAGGAACAGGATTGTGAAGTGTTTGAGAAACAAAGTCGGAAAGGTTACGATCGTATTGCATCCTCTAAAGTGTTGCCAGAACGATGGTGTTCAGTGTGGTAAAAGGAAGAGTGGTGTAGAAAGATATGGTTTGTGAAGCAAAGGTGAAATGGGTACGAAACTCTCACATCATCACATATACAGTAATAAAGAAACAACGTTATGTATCGTAGTTGTAATAGTAGTAAAAAAACAATAGATGTTGTAATGGTAATAAGAATGAAAATGGGTAGGACAACTTGCCTGTGAAACAAAGTCAAAAACATTATAAAAATATCACAACCAACACAAGAGAAGTCAAAACGATAATCGCTGTCACTGCCACGATCATCATCGCAATACTGATACACCTCGCTACCCTCGTCACTCCCTCCACAATCCCTACATTCCCTCTCGATTTGACGATCTATTTCCCACAGCGCTTCTCCCAACACTACAGTATTTGTATTCACGCAGGTCGAATTCTGCGCCGTCTGTTTTTCTTCTTTCTTCGCGTTTTTCTGCTTCGAATCCGCGAGTCCAGCCTCCCTCTCCCACGATCCCTTCATTCTCGCGGCATTGTCCCGGAAATCCGGCGCTTCGCCGCTCGCAGAACCCTGCACCGCGGGAATCCTGCTCTGCCATGCAGGCTTCTGCGCCAAGTTCTTCACGGCTTGGCCGAAGGAGCCGGTCTTGAAGGACTCCTTCATGGCGCCCAGCTCGCTTCGGATCTGTTCGCTCACAGCGCGGAGCGGAGGCCGCGTCCTCTGCCGATAGACGAGATAGTAGGCGCAGTCGCTCTGCACGTCGCTCTGGCGAATGGGGTACACGGAGCTGTCGTTGAACTCGAACCACGCGGTCGTCCCGCCCTGCTCGCACAGCGCGTACGCGTAATAATGCCCGAAATCCGCGCTGCCCGTGTGGTTGCACACGCTCACCAGATCGTACAGCGCTGAGTCGCAGCCGAACGCGTACGGCGCCATGTCCAGCCCCTCCACCGGGAAGCTCACCAGATCCGTGATTTTCCGGCGGCCTCCGCCATAGCCGATCGTGTATCCATGGGCCTTCCCGCGGGAAAACTCGAACGAGAAGCGCTTCAGGAGGATCACCAGCACGGGCGGCAGCTGCGTGATGCGCGACTGCAAGTCCCGCGGGGAGGCCTCGCCGCAGTTGTCGCAGACCTCGATGGCGGTGGACTGCACGGCCTGGCGCAGACAATCCTCCAATCGGATGGGCGAGGGGCGATACCCGCGGGGCCGCTGCTTCTCCAGCACGCTGATCTCCACCCGCAGCTTCTGCTGGATCGCCTGGAAAATCGCCTCCACCTTCGCCGTCGAGAGAAACTGGAGAAACGGCGTCGTGATGAGCGGGTGGACTGCGCTCGTCTGCGCGCGCAGAATCACCGAAACGCTCCACGTTTCCGCGGGGCCCGGACGGTCCAGCGAGCGGAGCACGTCCCCCGCGGGGAGGGCGGAGTCGCGGGCGGCGAGCGTGCAGTCGGTCAGGGAGAGAACGGGGAGCTCGTCGAAGAACCGCGGGGAGTAGTGAGAGAGCGCGAAGCTGTGCAGAATAACCGCGACAAAGTCGGAGTAGGGAAACGGACCGGCGGGCGATTCGTCGAGAGGAGTGAAGAAAAGGCTGCGACGAAGACGAGGGAGGTCGATGGGGAAGGGAGAGGGTTTGGGGGCATTGGAATTAGGGACATGGCCCGAGTGGAAGGGCTTCGGAGAGTTCGAGTTTAGGGGGATATGGGGGGCGTGGGGGTGGTGATTTATTGGGTCATTAGGGTCATTAGGGTCATTAGGGTCATTAGGGTCATTCGAGTGTTTTGGATTCATTAGATGGTTGTGTTCTACAGGGACAGCGGGATTCTGTACTGCATTAAAACTAATAGGGTCCTTGGAGCCCCTTATTGCCCCTAAATGATTCGAATTAATTGGGTCGTTTGGGACCTTCGACACATTCGTGACATGGGCCATATTAGGGACCTTTGATACATTCGGGACATTCGGGACATTAGGGACCTTCGATACATTGGCCACATTAGAAACATTAGCCACATTCGGGTCATTCGGAAGGTACAAAGCCTCAATAATGCATCGAATTCGATAGAGCAGCGATCGCATGGACTCGGTCTCGGAATACGTGACCAGCAGAGGGATGTGGAGATTGCGGAGCTGCGCGCTGCCGCTCTCCGCGAAGGTGACCATCGTGGAGGAGAGAAAGAGGAAGGGATCCTGGTTGGGCACCTGCATCGCACGCCCCCTCCACTCGTACGATATACGCCTGCAGCGTCACTTTGGCGCGCTGATTCAGCAGACTCTCCAGCGAGGTCGACAGATCCACGAGCGAGTACTACGATCAACCCGGCTTGGCGATGAAACCTCGATGAAACGGCTCAGCTCGTGGGAAACGCCGCGCACGAAGACGCACTGCATCGAGGCCGCGGCGTCCGGCGCAATCCCCGTCGCGTCGTAAATCGAAGGGAGCAGATCGACGAGGCGCGAGTAGTCGTCGATGTCCACGGGCAGCGAGGCCCATTGGATGGTGAAATGGCCGCGCGCTGCGTCTTCGGGGGAGAGAGATTCGACGATGATCGTGATGCTGATTTGCGATTGCGGCTCGGGGAGAGACACGTAGAGCGTGTTAAACACGGACCGGACGAGAGTTTGCTACGAACATGAAAGAGTGCGGGTGGAGAAACTAGATGGCAATGCTGGCATGTCGAGATCGTGCTCTGAACACCGTAATACACATTCGTGAGAAAATTGGGATTGCGCCGCTTGTACGCCTGCCACCACTCCTCTGACAACTCGTTGATCAGTGAAAAGGATTCGGAATTCAAGAAGGAATAGGTAATGTCGAAAGGAAGGGGGTCGGTTGAATACAAGGGAGAACGATCCGCATCGAGTACTTTGTTTTGTTCCTCTTCCAGAATTTGAAGGAAAAGTGTCTACCCGTGAGGACACGTCCCAATCGATACGAAAAATTCGTGAGAATCGTGCTGAGAGCCGTCTGTGATATAGGAAAAGTGTTTAGAGACCTGGGATTGAATGTATTTCGGGGAGATCGACGACTCGCCGCCAACGTACGCATCTCTGAGTAGTTGGGCAACTGCGTGTGTGAAAGGACATTCTACTTTGCCAGATCCCTCGGAAAGAATACGTTTGTTATTGGAGGACTTTTCAACCTTAATAATATTGGTTGCGAACTCTGGAGAATGAATAACGCACTAGGAAACAGAATGGAAACTAATGGGCAACTTGGAGCGCCGCGTTCATAAAGCACGTATTTCCCAGATTTCGAAGTCCCGAACTCATCGTAGATACAAACTACCGGATACTAAAAGAATTGAAGAATTAGAGAGATCGAAACTGAATCCAAACAAACACCGACTCAACCCCGTTTACGCACACTCCTCCGGCTTGTTCTCCTCAATCGGCTTCATCGCGGGGAACAGCAGCACCTCCTTGATATTGTTACTGTCCGTGAGGAACATGGTGAGTCGATCGACTCCGAGTCCCCATCCTCCGGTGGGCGGCAGTCCGTGCTCGAGCGCCGTGCAGAACTCCTCGTCGAGACACTGCGCCTCCTCGTCTCCCTTGGACTTATCGCGCGCCTGCTGCATGAATCGGTCCCTCTGGACCATGGGGTTGTTCAGCTCCGTGTACGCGTTGGCCAGCTCCGTGTAGTTCACGAACAGTTCGAATCGCTCGCACAGGCCCGGCTTGCTGCGGTGGTACTTCGCCAGCGGCGAGCAGATGGCCGGGTGGTCGCAGACGAAGGACGGGTTCAGGCACAGCGGCTCCACGAAGTGCTCCACGAGCTTGTCCAGGAGGCGCGGCGTCGTGAGGGGAGGCGTGCACTCGATCTTCAGCTCCTTGCAGGTGGCCACGAGGAAGTCGTAGGTCTCCTGGGACTCCAGGGGCATCGGGATCTTGAGTCCGCTCTGCTTCTCCAGCTCCTCGATCATGCTGTAGCGCGGCCATGGGGGCGTGAAGTCGATCTCCACGGGGTCCGCTATGCGATCAGCTCGCTCCGCTCCGCGCAGCCTACCGTCCTTGCCCTGCGGGTGGTACTGGATCTTGTAGCCGCCGGTGATGTCCTTCACGATGCCGGACACCATCTGCTCCGTCAGCTCCATCTACCCATCAGCTCGCAGCGCGCAGCGGGCCTACGATGTCGTACACGTCCGCGTAGGCCATGTAGAACTCGCACGTCGTGAACTCGGGGTTGTGCGTCATATCGATGGACTCGTTGCGGAACTGGCGGCCCAGCTCGTACACGCGGTCCATTCCGCCAATCACCAGTTGCTACACCTCATCTCCGCGCCCAGACAGCCCACCTTCAGATACAACTCAGGGGCGATACGCATGTACAAATCCAAATTGAGATCGTTGTGGTGCGTGATGAACGGCTTCGCGGTCGCGCCTCCAGCGTGCATGTTCATCATGGGCGTCTCCACCTCAATGAATCCGCGCTCATCCAGGAACGAGCGAATACCTCTAGCCATCAGACAGAAACGGACACAAAAATACCGGATCACGCGAGAGCGGATGATGAACTTATCGCGGACCGAAGGGTTCATGATGAGGTCCAGATAACGCATTCGGTAGCGAGTTTCAGGATTGGTCAGACCGATGAACGGCTTCGGAAGCATGTGCAAACAGGGAGAGAGGATCTGAATGCTGTACGGGAAGATACTCAGCTCGCCGCGCTTCGAACGACCGGGGAAGCCGCGAATGCCGATGATGTCTCCACGACGCACCTTGTTGTAGATCTCCTGGAACGCCTCAGCGCCTCCCTCGTACTTGTCCTCGCTTGCCATCACCTGGATTTGCTTGCCATCACCCTGGAGCGTGTAGAAGAAAAGCTTCTTGCCAGAAGCGCGCTTCAGAATAACACGTCCAGCAACAGAGCACGGCTCGGACTCCAAGCGATCTCCGTCCTTGCAATACGAGAACTTCTCGATAAACTCGGGAAGGGAGTACTGCACTTGGAATTTGTGGGGGTAATAGGTCTCACCAGCAGCCTCGGCTTTTTCCACAACAGCAAGACGGTTCTCAAAGTATTTGGTGGGGTCCACATCTTCCTCATCCTCTTTCTTGGTACTTGGAGTGGCAGCGGCCTTGGCAGCCTTAGCGGCCTCCTTGGCAGCCTTTTCAGCCTCCTTTCTCTTCATTTTCTCTCTTCTCTTCAACTCGTTCTTACTCAATTTCTCTATTTCTTAGATCGGATACTGTACAGTTACCCTCTCCTTGAGTAGGCACAGGTTCCTGAGCAACTGCTGGTTCCATATTCAAAAATATTCTTTACCACTCATCGTTTTCCAAAATTCACCTCAAATTTGTCAATTATTGTCAAATCATTTCCATTGTCAATTATTATACACTGATTTAAATATCTCATAATTTAGTTTGTTCAATAAACAGATTATTTATCTATTTGACATGCCGTATGAGAATTAGAGAGCCAGTACCCTAATTCTCCGAAAGAACTATTTCGCGTCCAAAAGATAGAATCGCAGCTTGAAAATATGTACAGATCCATAAAAATTCGATTCATTATTGGGGACAATCCAACAAAAGTCTTTCTATTTGAAGCAGAGTGGCCAATCGCATACATTTGGACACTCCTAACTTGTAATGGTTCCATCATTTTCGGAACGACTTTCAATACTTTCATAGAATCCGTTGTTAAAAATACCGTCCGGTTCTTATTTGCAAATGCTGTTTTTAGAATTTTTGCACTCTCGACGACAGAGTCTAACGATAGAAACGTAGTACGCTCGTAAAAGTGGGATACATATCCACCTGTTCGATATTGAATGCCAACACAATTTTCCAGCTTATTTTCCTTCATGAATACTCTTGTTTCGTTTATTAGAGACTTCTTGGGTTGAAATAAGATCCGAGAGAGTCGATGGTGGATTTCAATCATTGCATTCTCAGCATTTGGAATCAGTCCAATGTCCACAAGCTTCTCCACATATTCTGGGTTGGAACAAATCGATGGAGACAAGATGGCATAGGTATGGATCCCTGAGTATTTGGATTTGAAATAGTCGGTGATGTTTGGATCATTATTGACTGAAGTGAACAAATCTTTGGGAAACGTATAATAGTAACTGATTTTGTTCCTTTTCACTACAAGGATAACAACTCATCAAAGAAGTATCTACCTTCCGATTCATTGTATCGCAACCGAATGAATTCATTGTCCATTAGTAAGAAGTAGTTATCCCACATAACTATAATACATCAACTTGAACGATTAGTAGTACTTCTCAGTCGTTTTCCGCTTATCAAAGCTATTAAAGCAGAGGCCAGCAAGCTCCGAAAATTGTTTCCGAAGCCATAAGGTTCATCTTCTCTCAATATAATATAGGATGATGCTTTTGGTCCAACACCATGCAAGAGTCGCTTTACTAGAATTTTCTCTATCTTTTTGTATTCTAATAGATAGGGATGTACAATATTAAAATACCAATAGCACTCGTGTTATGGAGGATTGGCATGTCCACAAACCTTGATTTCTTGACATAGGATGAATTTGCTTTTCCAGCTATATCATATCCTTGAATATTGTTGAAATCAACTAAGTGTTCAATCACCATCAAACAACAAACCAGGTGTTTTGATATGAAGATCGTATTGTCCACCCCAGACGTATTTAGATTTTAGTCTTCCCAATATGTTTATCTCAAAGAAGTATCTAGAAATTGAATTAACAAATTCATAGTGTACAGGGATACAGCGACAATAGCAAATACTAACTTCCTAGTTAATGAAGAGTACATATTGCGGTGTCACGAATATGGCTTTCAACTTGATTATAACAAAAATGATAAGACTTTTTTCGTATTATGCATCCTTAATACTATTTGATATCAAAAGCAAATTCACTATTTTTCTTTTTTGTATCTACTGTATTCTACATACCTGTAATAGAACACTTCCTTGGATTCACTGCCAATTCGTATAATCAATTAATTTTTGTCATTGCTCTTTCCATTATATATAGTGTTGTGTATTATGCATCGTATAGCAATGCATTATCAGAAAGGGTCAAAATTGTGTCATTACTTCGCCTCCTAACATGTAGAATACCATGTATTAGCAAAGTACAATATGTTTGCTGATATATTCTATCAATAGAGAAGCATTGATCTTTCATTGCTCTACAAATATGATGTTTTGTCCACCATACTAATGATTCCCAGAAATAGTATGCAGAGATACACGCAATGATGATGTTTATGATTTAAGAATTACCAATTAAGTGTTCTGCCACTATCATACCCACTAATTCTGATTGAAAACATCCCAAGGCGAATATAAGATACCCTGGTAAATCCAAACCTTCACCCAATACACCTTCTCGCTTTTCCTTTGTTCAATTTCAACAAACAAAAGTGATGACTTATCGAAAACCAGATTATGCCTCCTTCGTCTCCTCTGCAGCAGCAGCGGCAGCGGCGGCAGCAGCAGCAGCAGCCTTCTTGGCCTTAGCCTTAGCCTTGGCCTTGGCCTTCTTCGACTTGACCGGACTACACACTCAACTCCCTTTCCCTCACCTTACGACTGCTTCAGGATCTCCAGAATCTCAGCGTCTTCGACCTTCTTCTCGGAGGGATACGCGGCCAGATCGATGGTTTCTCCGCTGATGCGGCTGGTTCCGTTGAGAGTCAGCAGCACGGTGAACTTGTAGTGCACAGCCACCTCGCGATCTGAGGTGTAGATCACGGGATAGGGCTCCAGCAGATCGTGGTTCACCAGCTCCACCACGCCCATGCGCGTCGACTTCTCCTCCAGCGCTCTGCACGAGAACGGGAAGCTGGGGAAGCGGCGATCCACCTCGCTCAGCACCGCGCGCGAAGCCTTCATCTTCACCATGTAGCGGCTCTCCAGGTTGCGGCGGTACACCGTGGTGCGCGTACCGATGTCGCGAGTCTTGCCCGAGCCCTTGGTGAGCGCGATGTCCACCGTGTACACCTCGTTCGGACGGAACACCACCTCGTCCACGCGCTCCGTCGAGGAAGGAGCCGCCAGGATCACGTTGTTGCCGTCGATCACGAACTGCTTCATCTACGCGTGAGGGCAGGGAAGGGAAGGGAGCGCACCTGGTGCATCAGAATGCCCTGCACCAATCGCACGTCGTACGCCTCCGCCACCTTCGCCAGGGCCTGGGTGACCATGGTGTTGGTGTTGTCCGGCTTGATCAGACGGTGGCAGACGTCTCCCATGATGCGAGCAGCTGCCATCAAATCGTTCTAGATCGAAACAGTACAATGCGTGGTACGATGGCCTTCTTCTTGGATTCCTCCTCGGTCTCGGAGGGAATGATCACGGTGTTCGCAGCCAAGGCGATGAAGCCGTCAATGTGGCAACCCAGATCCACCTTCACAACATCTCCAGGAGACAGCTTTATGGACTCGTCGGGGTAAGGAGAGTAGTGGCACACCATATCATTTACAGACACGCAGGTAGGGAATGCAATACCCTTCTCAAGTTGCTTGTTCTTGTAGATCTGCTCGCACTGCTTTTCAATAAGCAAATCGCCGAAGGAGCAAATGTCAGAAACGAGCTTTCCAGCAACGCACTAGCACCTCACGATCACCCCTGAAGCCAAACCTGAGAAAGAACTCCCTTCAGAGCCTTGTTTACGATATCAGCGGCAACCTTGTACTTCTCTACCACGTTAGGATTACTGAGATCAGTAATCTCTTCTTCCTCAGAATAACTGTCATACTCGTTGTCGGACATGATCTTTCTATTTCTAAGCGACCCCCGATAAAAAAATATACCCAAACCAAACAGCAGAAGTGCGAATATGAAAGAGTGGTCGAGTGGAGGCGGAATAACGGGGATTTCCCGATTCTATCGAAAGGGTTTCAAACAAACAGATTAATCACTTTTGCCTTCTTTTCTTTGGACCCACTATATATTATGCTGCGCAGAGTCGCTACGTTCTTCTCTCTCTGCCGAATCATATTTTTGTACAGCATCGGTCCAACTAGGTGGTAGCAATTCGAGCATGCTTACGTGGAATATACAGCGGAAGGAATGCAATACTCGCATAGTAGAAGTTAAAGACCATGTTGTAGGGATTGGGGAGAGAGATGGAGAACGGCTGCGTTTCCTTGATGAATGGGAGTGCTTGGACGATCACCATGATTTCCTCAAACATCCCGAGAGGATAGAGAACGTAGAACATGTTATAGCGAAGGAACAGCAGCCAAGTAGGCATCTTCCATCCGAGTTCTTTCACCAAGTAAAACAGGTAGCGAGGCACTTCGACGAGAGACCATCTGGGAGTCATCAAATTGCAAAATACAATGCTACGCGTGAATTAGGATTCGGAAGCTCAGGGATTGCTGGGTCTGCACTGAGATATTGGAGTATCCCCACAAGAGGAGCATTCTGCCGAAAACTAAGGCTCAGGACAATGCTCTTTCGCAACGCTGAGTCACAGTTGGGAGAAGAGGAGATCGCACGATGCCCAGTACTGAGTGCAGGATCTCTACCAATGCAGACGTCTGGATAATCTTCAAGGAAGGCGAGATCAAATCCCAGAAGTTCTCATACCTAGGTATCAAACCCGGTGAATACACAATTGTACTTGCAAACATAAAAAGCGATTTGTAGGTACCAAATATACGACCATCCAATCACACAGTACAAGTTGTAAAGAATGAGGTACACTATGTTTCACACACATTTTCCCCACCTCTCACGTCGAGAAATCGAAGATTTATCCATTTGTAAAACAAACACTCCAAAATCTGCACACATAAGACGAGGACTTCACCTTGTACCGAATCCAGCGATTCCTACAGCTCACCCCGACTCCCCATCGATACGGTTCTGGCACATCGGGATTATTAGTCAGTCTGTCGATATCCACTCCCTGCACCGCCATTCCGCTAAGCGACATATTCGAGATCGTGAAGTGCAGCCTACGACTCGCTTCCCTGCCCCTCCCCTACGCAATGGCGCCCATGGTCTTCACGGTGAACATATCATACGGCTTCGTGAGCGTAATGATCACATGGAGGAAGAACTCCTGTCTGCCCGGCGCGTCGACGATCTTCCAGATGACCAGCCGCTTGGTCTCGCTGTAGTCGGTGGACTGCTTCTTCGCCTCGGCGGGCAATTCGCACTTGCATGACGACGTGATGAGCGGCGTGTGGAAGGAGACGTACAGCTCGTCGCAGCGCAGCTCGGGCGCGAAGTTGGTGGTGAGCTTGATCACGATGTCCATCTTGTATTCCGACGTGTACTCCACGATCGGCTGCACCAGGATGGGCGGGAAGAACGGCCGCGTCGAGCGGTAATTCATGGCGGTGAACGTGCCGTCCGGCCCCGTGAGGTGCAGCACGTGGTCCTTCTCGAAGCTGGCGACGTCCACGGAGGGGTGGAAGTTCATGTCGTCCACGCGCAGCGCGTCGGGCTGGTCCTCGCTGGTGCGTCCCACCACGATGTTGTTGTTGAGACGAACGTGGAAACGGGGATGGCCCTCCAGAGCGTTCCGCATCTGGATGGTGCCTTCGAGGGCGCTGTTGGTGACTTGCGACTAGAAGGAAGGAGAGGGGAGAAGGGAGGGTACGTTGCAGTCGAGGACGCAGTGCACGCTCTCGATCACGTCGATGTACAGATCGCCCGTCGATTTCATCTTGTCCACGATCGTTTTCATGCCGAGGTCCTGGCCGACCAGCGTGGAGAGCTTGTTCTGCGAGTGAGAAAGCGAGGGAAGAGAAAACCATGAACTGAACGGCGTTGTTCTCCGAGCGTGCAGACACGTAGTCCTGGAGGAATTCCGCGGAAGTGCTCTCCACATAGCCCGAATCCTAGCCATCAGAAAGCTGGATTAGGCAAGCTTACCATGATTTCGTTTATTAACTCGTAAATCAAAGTCATATTCTTCCGCAAACCACCTTCTGTAAGACTACCGATATAATCCTAGGCATCAACGTGCAGCAACGCTTCGTACACTAATCAGGTCTGCAATACGCAGAAGAAGCTCCAGATAGAACGTGGGAGAGACATTCACCTTGTCATCAACCTGGGATAGAAGAGGTTTACCTTCGTGGAGAAGACGAAATAAAAGCGGTTTCTCCGAATATGTAAAAAGTGGATTCCATCGCAGTCCTAGTCCTGAAAAAAGGCAAGGGGGAGCATACAAACACAGGAGGTGGGTTTACATCCTCCCAGAACTGGATCGTTCGATAGAACAACTCCGGAGTGCCCTTCGGCATTTCACTTCGCACTAATGGTGAACACACAGCCAAAAAGGATACAATCGTGGTAGATAAGTCGGTCCCCATGGAGCGTTAAGATAAAGAATTCAGAAACAGACATTGTTGATGACCACTCAAATCTTCACAGATAACAAAAATCTTGTGATTCCTACAGCACAAAACTTGAATAAGTAGAATCGCGATATTACACAAGAAATAGAATCGCTGTTTCTATGATTGTGTACCTATCGCATGGCATAGATTCTGGAAATATGAGTAATTTTGATTTCTATTAAATGGTGTGCATACTACAAGCCATAGTATGAGGCAAAAAGGCAAGGTTCTGGTCTCCATTCTTCTGTACGTAACGTAATCAAGGTATGAGTAGAAAAGTCTCCTCCACATGTATCTCTCTCGTACAGTCCCAAAATTGATGGATGCCAATGGTGTATCCAATCGGCATTACGAGTCGATTCGTAGATCATCTATAAATTGCATAGCGTAGAACGTAAAGATAGAGTGTGTTTAGCAAGGTCTCACGATGGAATTTGAAATCAAAATGAGTGTGGATCTCTATAAAAGGAATGAGTAATCGCTACGCCATGTTCCCTCCAAATTCCGCCGTGTCATCATCCTCCCTTCATCAAAAAGATTGTAGGTATCTGTCGTTTTGTGTAGGGGATTTGCAGCTCTACTGAGTATATAGAAGAAACCATGAGCCAATTCTCAAATATGCTTTCTAAGATTAACATCGACCAGGGTGGTGTCGATATTCCTATGAAGAAGAAGACTGTTCATGTCTCTGGAAAGGAGGTGAACTACTTCAATAAAATCTTTGATATTGTCGATTATGATGAGGATGATAAGGTACTTGAATCCTGGCTTCTGTCTGATGCCGTAGATCGACGGAAAGGAGGGAGCTCAGTTCCTGCGCAGATCGGGTCTCGATAACGACGTCCTCGGCGAGATTTGGAAGCTCGCTGGAAATGGAAAGAACAAGCCGACTCTGTCCAGAAATGGATGGATGATTGCTTGCATGCTGGTTGCTTGCGCTCAGCAGGATGGTGAGCCTTCCATCAAGGCCATTGCTGGAAACAGCTACGATCTCCCCGATTTTGCTCTTGCTCCCGACAGTGACTACGTAGGGTTGTGTGTGTGAATTATAACCGGCCAGTCTGAGGGTTTGACTCTTCCCGACGGAGACAAGACCTTTGAGATTTCGATCGCCAAGCCCCACACTGTGGGAACGATGTTCAACAAGCACACGGAGTACGCCATCAGCGTCAAGACCACGATGGAGAACTATCCCGTGGACAACCTGAAGGTGAACCGCCGCTACTCCGACTTCGAGTGGCTGTTCAACCGCCTCACCCGTACCTTCCCGGGCCGTGTGATTCCCCCCATTCCCGAGAAGCAGTCCCGCAACCGTTTCGACAAGGACTTCGTGGAGGGCCGTCGTCTGGCGCTGCAGAAGTTCATCGACGAGGTCACTCGCGACCCGACCTTCGCCGTGACCTACGACGTGCAGGTGTTCCTCACCGCCTCCTCGGAGGGTATGACCGCTGCGCGTAGCATCATGCCTGGCGGCGATGGTGCCGTGCTGGACATGGTGAACAAGGCCGTGGCCGCCACTCGCTCGGGAGTGAACAAGATGATCGAGTCCACCACCGGAAACGCCATCGATATGGTGGACCAGACCGCCGAGTTCGGCGATGTGGAGTACAACCTCGTCAAGTACAGCGAGCAGATGAAGAAGGTGATCTCCGCCGGAGAGCGCATGGTGGCTTCGGAGACCAACGCCGCCAAGGCCTGGATCGACATGTCCGGATCGTTCTCGCAGTTCGTGGTGGTGGCTCGCACCTTCGAGACCGTGGACGGACTGGACTACTTCACGAAGGTGTCCGACAACCTGAAGGAGATCGGTAACTACGAGAAGTTCGACAGCAACGCGCAGAACGAGGGACTCATCACCGATCTGCGTATGTTCAGCGGCAAGGCCCTGTCCGTGTGCCAGGTCATCCACAACCGCGACCGCGCCATGAAGGAGATCGAGAAGGCCGAGAAGGCGATCGACAAGGCCAAGGACAAGGTGCAGGAGGCCAAGGCCGAGGGCAAGAAGGCCGTGAAGAAGGCCAAGGAGGCCGTGGAGAAGGCCAAGGAGAAGAGAGACGCGAAGGAGAAGGCCTCGGCCGATGTGCTGCAGGGAGTCAAGGACGGAGTGGTGTCCTTCCACAAGGATCGCGTGAAGCTCGGAATCGAGTGCCTGCAGCGCTTCACCGAGCAGCGCGTGGACTACTGCGATGAGATCACCAATAAATGCGCCTCGCTGATCAACCTGCTGGGCTACACCGCCGAGGAGATCCGCGACAGCGGCATCCGCATGAAGAGCATTGCCGATGACCAGGCTGCCTATGATGCTGCTCTGGAGGCCATGGAGGCTGACGAGAACGCCAGAGACGAGTCTCCCATCCGGGAAGATAGCAGTGACTCGGATGATTCCGACTCCTCCGATGACTCTTCTGACGACTCTTCCGACGAGTCCTCTGACTCCGATCGCAAGCCTGCCAAGAAGGCTGCCAAGAAGCCCGCCAAGAAATCGAAGAAGGTCTCTTCCGATTCCGATGATTCCGACGACTCCGACGATTCTGATGACTCCGATGACTCGGACAGCGATTCCGACAGCGATTCGGACTCCGATGACTCGGACTCGGATAGCGATTCCGACCGCAAGCCTGCGAAGAAGGGAAAGAAGCCCGCCAAGAAGCCTGCCAAGAAGGCGAAGAAGTCCAAGGCGGATACGGACTCTGACTCTGACTCCGATTACGCTGCTATGTAACTCTTGTTATTGTTGTTTGCGTCGTTGTTTGTTAAAATGCAGTTCGTGGATGCACATTGCCATCTCCATTTCCCGAGGATCGCAAATGTGGTGAACACTCTCATCCAGAGTGCCAAGGAACAAGGAGTTCGGTACTTTGCAGTGAATGCCACATCGCCCGAGGATTTTGGATGGGTCGACGCGATTGCCGACTCCAATCCGGAAGTCATTCCGTTCTATGGAATCCACCCCTATTATCTCAGTGAGGAAACCTGGGAAACAGCTTTCGAGGAATTAGAGAAGAGAAAGGATGCTCTAAGATACATCGGGGAAATTGGAATGGACAAATTGATTGTTTCGCGTGTTCCTTTCTCTCTGCAAGAAAGATGTTTCAAACAGCAAGTTCATCTGGCGTCTTTGCTGTCCATTCCGTTCGCTGTGCACTGCGTGAAGTGTGTTCCAGCAGTCTACTCGATTCTAAAGGAGGAAGGACCCTTTTCATCCTCCTTTCTGATGCATGGATACGCTGGACCTCCAGACTATGTACAGAAGCTGGCAGATTTGGGAGCCTATTTTTCGATTTCGGGCTATTTGTTCAACCTGTCTCCGAAAAGGAGAAAAGCAATGGAAGATACGATTCGAAAATATCCTCTGGATCGAATATTGCTGGAAAGTGACGCTCCGGATATGGTAGGACGAGTGGAGAGAAGGGTTAGGAGTAGTGCATTAAGGACTCAGTATCGCTTTTTGATGAAGCAGGTGTAGCTATCAATACTCCGCTGACTGTCTTACGCGTAAGGATCCTATGCGTTGTGTCACTCTAGGTCTGCTCGGAGGTCGCCAGCATCAGGTCGATGTCAGTAGAGGAGCTGGCTAAAGTAGTCTATGAAAACTCGAAACGGTTTTATCATTTATAATGCGTCTTGTTTGTTACTATGAATAATAGTACAATCTATATTGTTTGGGGTTTGTAGAGAAAGATCAAGATGTAGATTACATTGTTATTGTGTGCAATTGCCGTTTACTATCGAGTAACTGAATGTTCTGGACAGGACTGTATGTGTTTTCGTTTTTCTCTATTTTAGATCTATCTATGGGTGATTTTTCCGTGATATCGTGGCCAATGAAAATAGGCTCCTCTCCGCTATTTCAATATAATACTCAAGTCGTTTACCAGTCATCTGTACCACTACCAAAGAAGGAAAGTGCTCCGCAGTTGAACACGGACCAGAAGCCACCTCGGTTTACTATTCCAAAGAAACTATTCTACAACGATGAAAAACGAGAAATATTTGAGACAACTGGACTCCCAACAATGCAACCGAGACTCGATCCAAGACTGCTCATAAAGAAGCCTCTCCAATCGTTTGCAATGCAGCCAATCCCTCCCTATTTCACCCCTACCAATCCGGATGAGTACCTCATCAACGGACGCCGGGAGAACCACACGGAGAAAGAGTTTCTGAAAGGCAAATCGACGTTTTGGCAGATGAAATACTTTAAGCAGCTGGATGCGATGCGAAACCAAACCCTGTATCGTCTTCGCCGCTCAATGAACCTCACCGTACCATACACGGAAGAGGAGCTTCGCCAAGCCGCCCAAAAAAGCACGAGTGAAACGACCGTCTGGGTGGGTCGACCTCGCCACGAGTTCTACACAGCGGACCCGAAATACTATTCCGGGCTGTCTCCGATGCTAATGGACGGGTTTACGTACTGCGAAGATGAGACGCTGGTGGTGGAAGCGTTGTTTAACTTGAAATACATGTACGTGGTGTCCGGACGAAACAAAACGCGAATCAGCATGACGGACACGTGGGTTTGCACACACGCGGGACAGACGGAAACGAATCACTATCGCGTGGATCCCGACAAACACATCATCATCACAGAATTCAAATTTAAGAACCAATGCTCGACAGCGAGCGACACGCATTACGCAATTCGATCCCTTCAGGAAAATCACTCCTATTCGCTCGATCTTGAGTTCCTTCCCGACTTCCGCGCGCAGCGATTCTATCTCTCCCTCTGCGTGTTCCTCGAAAACGCGCCGTTAGCGCAGGTGATCGCGTTTATCAACCACCATTTCTTCCATGGCGTGCAGCACTTCGCGTTCTACATCAACGGAAATCTCCCGTATTGGGAGGAAAAGTTGAGAGCGTATACCACGCATGGAATCATCGATCTCATCGATTTCACACTGCCCTATCATCGTCCGTTCTACGAGCAGCAAGTGATGATGAACAGCTGCAATCGGAGATATCGATACACCACGCAGTTTATGATTTTCTGCGATGTCGACGAGTTTTTCCTGCCCGTCAATCCGGATTGGAGAGTGGTCGATGTCGTGCGATTGTACGATTTGGCATATCCCAACGTGGATGGTTTCAGCGTGCGTTTCACAGCGCGAACTGACGTGTAGGTGCGGAATGACTTTTATGCGTGTCAGTATCGCATTGAGGACTGGCAGAAGTCGATGCAAATCCACGAAGTGTGCGATCGACGATGCAAAAAAGTGACGAAAGGCGAGCGGCAGAAGACGATCGTGCGTGTGCGAACCACTCCCTACGTGGAGGTTCATTTAATCCGCTATGGCAAGCGAATGTACATCAACCATAACTTGGATTTGGTCATGATCCACTTCAAGCCTGGCTTCCGCAGACTGCCCTCCGTTCCCATGTTACAGAATCCTTTCGTGGAGCAAGCGTTACATCGTGCATTGTTTTCGAGTGTTTGTATCAAACAGATCACGAAACCGTGTATAAAACATCGCCATATCGCGGATTCACGACCACCACCGGCTTTCCTTGCTCAGAACGAAAGCTGTACGTCGCAGGCTTCCCTCGCCACACGCCCTCCAGCTTTGCAGACAGATATTTCACTCGCCTTTCCAGAATTTCCGCGACTTCCCGTCGCTGCATCGCAAAATCCTCGCTCTCCAGCTTGATTGGCCTCTTTTCCAACACCACTGCGTACGCGTTTTCGGTCATCTTCGCTGTCTTCGACGCGTGGAAGCAGAGCTCCAGCACCACCCAGTAGCAATCCTTCTTCATCCGGCGTTCAGAAGCCTGCAGGCTGCTCGCCAGCACCAAGCACGCGAGCTGAACGTGTGGCACAAAGCAGCGCGAATGGCACAAATAGGACTGAATTATGGAATACGAAAAATAGTGGATAAAAGTGCCCGGAAAGCACGCAGCACACAGCTCTGTGATCGAAACCTTGCCGATTTTGACCTGGATCGTTACTCACTACTGCTGCTGCTACTGTTCCTACCTTGATTCCGTTGGTTTCGTTCTGGAATTCTCTGGAAAACGCGTCGACGCCACGATCGGAGATAAAAAACGAAGCGAGATTCAAAACGACGGGGGAGTTGGGATGCGGGTAGATGATGGAGAACCAGCGACGATGAGGTGCAGAGGCGAGAAAGGAGAGGTTTGATTTTGCTGAAGAAAGGATGGGAAACTTCGATTCTTGAAGAAAGCGACGAGATTGAGCGGACTTCCACTCGTAGTCGAATGACTCGGAATGTGACTTTGCTGGGTTTGTTTCACAGAGAACCAGCTCAAATTCATTGGGGTAAGGGAGAATAGAGCAGCAAGAATCGGAGGTGTAGGTGATTAAACGCGAATCCATTTGAAAAGCGGACGAATGATTACACGGATATTGGCTGTGATAGATAATTGTCATATTTTGCTGAATGAAGGTGAGAGAAAGATGATAAGTTGGGAAGGAAGGTTCAACGAAATAGGACACTACACTATCACTCTGCAATCAAAAAGTAAAAAACCCCAAAAAGACTTATCACACTCCGCAAGGCAAAATGCAGTCGAAAAGGGTTGCTCGCATTTTAACATAACACAGTGAAGGCAACGAAGCGGCAAGAGTCCCTATATATCGATTTATTTCGCCCACCCACCCACCTGATGAGGAGCATATTTCCATTGAATCAAATAGGCGGTCGATGAATCGAAAATACAACAACTCACTAGTTTGGAATGTGGAATCTAGAATCTACGCAAAGTTTCTCCATCTTCACTGAAAGCGAAGTAAGTACAGTGTTCTAGGAATGTATAGGAGAAGACGATGCTTTCTAGGACAATAGCTTTTCTCTAGAGAGAATGTTGAGTTTTGCGAAGTCATACTCTCCATCGAATGGGTCCGCGGTGGTACTTTCCCTGGATGATCGCATTGACCAGATTATATCTGGAATGCATAAACCAAATTGGAGCTCCCTCCCAATGAATGACTGAGTGAAAAAAAGGTCAAACATCGCAACAAAGTTGATACAAACAAACATCACAACAAACCTGATTCAAACAAACGCAACAAACCTGATTCAAACAAACACACCAAAACGATACTCCATACTTCAATCAAAGTATAGTGCTCACCAAGTACTACTACATGAGTTCCTTTATTCGTCCTTCTTCTGCTCCTTCTTCTTCTGCTCAGCATAGTAGGCCTTGATCTCCTGCACAGACCAGGACTGATCAATTCCTTCCTTAGGAGTGGGCTTCCACATGCTGGTGGTGTAACCGTTGCGGTAGTAGTAGAAGTTCTTGCAGATCTCGTTGAAGAAGAACATCAGACCAGCGTAAGGAGCGACCTTGGCCAGGTTGGCGAGAGTACCTCTCCAGAGACCCAGGACACCGTTTCTCTTGACAGTCTGGCAGATGCAATCCCACAGACCGTTGAACTCCACATCCACATCCGAAGTCAGAGCCTTCTTGTTCTGAGCCTGCATCTTCTTACGGATGGTATCGAACGGGAAGGACACAGTCTGAGCAATGGATCCAGCCAAGCAACCGTTCACGAAGTTCTCCCATCCCTTCAACTCAGAACGAGGCTTGCCCCAGACGTAAGCCAGAATTTCGTAGGACATGAACTGAAGACCTCCGAAAGGAATCACACCAAGAATGGAAGCGGTAATACCCTTGTACAGAGCCATCACTCCCTCCTCCTTAATGATCACACGGAAGGCATCAATGATTCCGTTGTACTTGTTCTGGCCATTGACCTGCACAGTCAAACGGGTCTTGATCATATCCAGAGGATACACAGCCACCGTAGCGACCACTCCGGCAATAGCTCCGGCAGACAGGGAAAGGAAGTTCGACATTCTTCCAGTCTCGGGATCGGTCCACACCTTCTTCAACTCGTTGAACACAGCGAAGTTGATAGCAGAGTAGGGGAACAGTCTCACACAGGCAACACCATTACCCTTCCAGAATCCCTTCAGACCCTCCTGGCTGTACACGTTCTTGAAGGTTCCAATGAAACCAGTGTGCTGCTTCGAACCGACCTGGCAAATAATCTTGACCACATCGAGAGGGGAGGTGAATGTACGAGAACCGACTCCAGCAATACCTCCGGCAATGAAGTTCTGCCAGAAAGTAAGACGACGATCTTGATGTTTACCCATGGTGAGTTAAAATGTTTTGAGATAGAAAACTATGAAAAGCGATAAATGGACAACGACGGAACCTCAATGTCCTAAATTTATATAGGAATTTTCTATATATTTGGGACATCGTTTCCTTAGAGTGGTCAATCGATTTTCTCTATTGCTCGTTCGCGCGTTTATTTTTTACCAAATATACTACACTTTAGAAAAGTAAATGACGATTTTTATTGAGGCAAGGAAACCACTCACACAACTGAGTAACTCGACTCTTATTTACAACAAACAAACGAACAGACGAACAAATCACTATGGCATAAGGATTTAGAATGCGTATGAAATATGTGAAACTATTGAGATGTGGTGGACATCCCCTTAGTCCTCACTTCCTGATATGCGCGCTGTGTTCGGTCCATCAGGTCCATTTGCTTGGAAGCACAGTTCTGTATGCAGGCCAATTCCTTTTTTCCGAGGGTTGAAACCGTAAAATCCTTCACACAACTGCAAAAGCATTTCTCCGTCACCTTGTTAAGATTCCTACAGATTAGAAGCACAAAAGGATAACTTACTTGCCTGCAGTCTTTAAATCCTTCTTCAATAGTTGATACAATAACTCATCCCTCTCGTTATCAGAAAGCTCCATCTAAACGACACCTCGGATTAATGATTCAAAAAAAATGAAAATGGGTATATCTCACTGTACTGGGAAGAGACAGTCGATTGAAAGTACTGTGAGTGTCACAGCAGGAGAGTAGGGTAATGTCCAGATAGTTTCGTATTACTGTTATCACTCGTCCTATTTGATAGAAACGTACACATTACACTCCAATTGTTAAACAAAAATGTTATCTCTTTTGTGTGTATTGTTCCTAGCACTTTTGGTTGACTAACTTCAGATATCGTCATTCTATAGGTTTCGGCAGATGATATCGAGGGAAAAATGAATTGTGCCCATGTTCGCTTTCAGATGCCTCAAGGATATTACAAGGTGTGTTTCTATTTGATTTTGTGATCGTTGCGTAGATTTTCTTCAGATCTGCCAATTGTCACAAATGCTTGTTCCAAGAGTTTGATGAGTCTATGAAAGGTGGATTTACGTAGTAAAGAGATGCGGCAGGATAACATCAAGGAGATATCGTATAACCGATATGCAGTTCCCTCTTGATTTCCAGGTGACTCGAGTTGAAAATGGAATAGAAGCGGAAGAGACTTCCATTATCACATCGGTCCAGCTTCAAGAATATGGCATGTACACGTTGAACTATACCGACGCTTCGGTCCCGGTAGCAATGAGTGTATGTGTTATAAGTGCAGATGCAGCTTATTACAGACAAGAAAGGTCATGACTACTACGTTCCCTTATACTTTATGATCGCGATTACCTTTGCATTTTGTTTTTTTGTTGTGATGATCGAAAACATTCGCAAGGGAAGGAATGAAGAAGCCTCCAAAACTGAAGCAAGCTCCGTCAATGAGCCACTCATCCAAAAGGAGAAACAATCCGTTGTCTCCCAGCCAATGAAATCACGCGTGCAATCGATCGACGTGTTCCGAGGCATCACGATCTGCATCATGATCTTCGCGAACTATGGAGCAGGCCAATACAGTCACTCCCTCATGCATGCTGCCTGGGATGGAATCACGTTTGCGGACTTCGCGTTTCCTCTGTACAGCGGATGATGGATGGGTCGATCGATCGTAGGTTTATGTTTACGCAAGGCATGTCTCTTCCTCTCTCCATGAACGGAGCGTTCAAACGATACCAACTCGATGGATGCTCGCCTCTGAAGGCGACATGGAAGTGCACGCTGAAGTGTCTGAAGCGTGCCCTGATTCTCTACGTCCTCAATTTCCTGATTAATCAATCCCAGTCGTTCGAAACGGTGCGAATCCTTGGAGGTTTTCATTTGCTTTTGCCTTCTCTCATTCTCAGTTCTTGCCTATTTCTCCGTGTCTGGACTCATCAACTCGCTTGTTCTTCTCTACACGCCGGTCTGGTACAAGGGAAAAGGATTCATCAGTCGATGGACCGCGCGTTCCACGTTCAAAGACGATCCCAACGTTCGCCACATGTTTGTTTTTGCGTTCCCTTCTTTTGTTTTAGACTGGACTGGATCGTCCCGACTCTCTTCGCCGTGGCGTATTCTCTTGCTTCTGTTCTCTCTCACAAATAGGCACTGGTCCATTGCAAAGTTTGTGGCGGCTCCTGGCTGTCCTGTCGGCTATTCTGGCCCCGGTGGGAACGGAGATGATGGCTTGTTCCGCGATTGCACCGGCGGAATTTACCGCTACATCGACTTGAAGCTGCTGGGAGAAAAGCACATGTACCACGGCTCTGCGGTGGTTTATGTGTATGGAGGCAACCATTTCGAGTGTGAAGGAATCTTGGGAATGATGAACGCGATCTTTTTGACGTATTTGGGAACGTGGATACCGTGGGTATTCCGAACAGTGAAGAAGCAGAAGAATCAGTTGTTGGTGTATCTTGGAATTGGAGCAGGTTTGCTGCTGTTCAGTGGCATTCTGTGCGGATTCAAGCAGTACGATGGATACATGCCGATTAATAAGAACAAGTGGAACACGAGTTTTATCGCGATCACGAGTGGAACTGGATTTTTGGCGTTTGGACTGATCTATTTGCTGGTGGATGTGTGGAAGATTTGGTCGGGCTTTCCTTATCGGGCGTTGGGGATGAATTCCTTGTTGATTTACGTGATTCATGAGTTCGTGGGAGAGTATATGCCGTTCTCGTAAGGAATAATAATGGATGGGGAATGAACGTGTAGATATCATTTTAAGGAAGCGACGCACTGGACGACGATGATTAATTCTTATGTGTTGGGTGTGGGAATGTGGGTTGTGATTGGAAATGAATTTGTGCGTCAGAACATCTTCTTTAAGATTTGAAGTGTTTGTGTGAAAGAAACAACGAATGCTATTAGAAAAGGGAATCAAAAGCGTGGTTAACAAGGATTAATCACTAGAATCGGAAGCAGAATACGAGTTGCTATCATCACATTCTGATCCCGAGCCACTTTCTGATCCAAAGTCGCTTTCACTTTCTGATTCACTTTCACTTTCACTCTCTGATCTACTTCCGCTCTCTAATCCACTTTCACTCTCTAACTCAGACACTGACTCTGACTCTAACTCAGACACTGACTCTAACTCAGACACTGGCTCTGACTCTAACTCAGACACTGACTCTAACTCAGACACTGACTCTGACTCAGACTCAGACTCAGACTCAGACTCCGATTCTGACTCCGACTCCGACTCCGATTCTGACTCCGACTCCGACTCACTTCCACTATACGAATCGCTTCCACTGCTGGAATATTCCGAATAGGAAGAATACTCCGAGTCATCATTGATATACTCTTTCATCTCTCGCACTACCGGATCGTCCAGCAGCTCCACATACGACGAATCCGGGTCGTTCTGCACGTTTTCGATCCACTTCCCCACGGCCTTATCGTCCACCACGCCGCTATCCCACAGAATCTGCAAAAACGGCCCGAAGAAAGGAATGAACTCGTTGTTCTCCGACGAGAAAAGCGCCACATAGTCGATAATGGACAGCATGGAGAGGCCTTCGCTCTCAATCAGATAGTTCTTGATCAACAGCGACTGTCTCCGAACAATCTCCTTCACCTGCACAATTTTCTTCTTCTTCTACACATCATCGAACTGAACGGAAAACCCACCCATTCTTCGAGCGTATCTTTCGGATTCCAACAGAACTCGATCATAATCGCCACCAGATTGCGCACGATATCCGAATACGAGCAGTTGCAACTCATTCGGAAGCAGTTGATTTCGGTGAGAATATCAGCCATATTCTCGCCTTGTCTGTCTTCCAGATTCTTCACGAAATCGCTCAGTCCCAAGTAGTAATTGTTGTTTAGATTCTCCACCGTTTCCTCCTCTTCGTCGTCGCTTTCGAAACCCTGACACTTCGAGAACGAATTGCGAGGCCATTCAATCCATTTATTCGGCGTTTCGTATTGCATCGGCAATACACAAATATCCTTCTGCACTTCTTCTTCTTCTTCTTCTCCACCATCTTCTTGCTGATCAAACCACATCTCCAGCGACTGGATCACCGGATCCTGCATCACGTCCTGGATCGACGACAGCTCGTCCTGCACATTCTCCAAATCCGATCGTTTGATCACCAGCTTGCTGGAGAGCGATGTTCCAGGGCCGATCACAACTCCAGGCCCCAGCACACAGTTCACCACTTCGCAGTTCGATCCAATCACGACGTTGGTTCCCACAATAGCCGACACAACGCGACAGTCCGCTCCGATATCGCTGCGATCCATGATCATGCATTGGTCCACGTGTGTGTTGTCCCCTACTTTGCAGTCCACGCCGATGATCGTTCCGCAAAACTCCGCGTTCATTCCGAGCTCCGAGTTGTTCTGAATCACTACACTCCCAGATCAGGGCCGATTCCTACGGCAGCGACGAATCAGACGCGTGGAATAATCGAGTTTGACGGAGGGATGCACATAGAGGTCGTTTCGTCCATAGGAGCACATCCGCAGTCCCGCGATATCGTTATCCGGAACCATCGGATAGCACCAGCGACGAATGATATCGGAGGCCACTTGCTTGTAAGACGTTAAATCCTAGAATAGAAAGATAAGAGCCCACAGCCAACATGGATAAAGCAGGCATAAGAGTTGTCGTTGAAGTAGGCGTAGTACTTGTAGCCGAACGTGATGTTGTTCACCTCGTTGGTCAGATAGTCCTCCGTGATGTCTTTGTAGTCGTAGTTGTCGCTGAACTGCACGAGCACGTCGCGACTGCACATGTGGATGCCAGCAGGCGCGACATCGTAACGAATGGATGTCTATAAGGTATCAGAAACCAGAAGGAAATGAAACGTACCATGTTGTTTTCGAGCACCGATTCGGTTAAGACCGAGAAACAATCGCTCTCGTTCATATTTTTGTAAGCTAAGATCTGGTTGCTCTCGGTGAGAGCCAGAGCGATATCTCGTTTGCGATGCACACCTTTGTAGTAGGGCATGTGCGTGAAAACGGAGGTCATGATGTTAAACGGCGACTGCTTGTAACGCGCTTTCTGCTCTTTCCACAACTCGGTGATATCCAGATTCGTGATAGCCCCACAGTTCACAAGGAGAAAGCAACTGCTCTCTATCAGGTTACGAGAGTCAATTTCTCTGAGGATATCTCCTGTAGAGCTGCAGTTGCTCATGTAGTAATAGTAAATCACTGGAGATGTGATAACACCCTGCATGCATTCCTTCTTCTCCCTAATTCAAAAAAACATCAAAACGAGATTACAAGTTCACCACATTCCAATTCGTGGTACTAAAGTAATCTGCTAGACTCTTGTCATCGCCCGTACTACATACAAAGACTTCATTAACACTTTGAGATGCCAGCCAGTATAAGGAATAGTCAATAATGGTCATATTGGCCAGAGGAAGCAAGCTCTATTATCAGTAATGCACAGCTCCTAAATCATACAAACGGAGTATCAGTAGTGAGTGGGAAAAGAAGAAGAGAACTCGAATCGACCACTAGCACAGCCTATGAATCAAACAGAGGATAGACTTGTCTACTTGTCTCTTTTCTTTTCTATCCAGATTGGTAGCCATCGATTCCAAACAAAAAACTAGGTGGACCTATATAGTGGAAATTTTGGGAGTTCCAAAAGTTGGAGACACGTCAGAAATGAATAACTAAGAGTCAACGAATGAAAATCCTTGTTGCAGTTAAGAGAGGCAGATGCTTGAGTGCCAAATAACGATTAGTCGTGGACCATGCAGTAAAGATCCGACTAAACGCCTCAACCCAAAGGGTAGAGATGAAAAACCTAAAAATGGCTGTAAATCCGTTTTGTGAGATTGCCATGGAGCAAGCGGTTCGGTTGAAAGAAGCGAAGGTTGCCGACGAGGTATTTACACCGAGGCCGCTATAAAAAATAGATTGTCGCAGTATCAATAGGGGTAAAAGCTGCACAAGAGCAACTACGTTATTGCATGGCTTTAGGAGCGGATAGAGGTTTGAGAAAATATTTTGCTTAAGAACCAGGGATTTTGGTGGAGTCTTCGACGCCTGTAGATGTGGATGTACCTCCTTTCGTTGTCGCGCAGGCTCTGGAGAAGATTGTTGAAAAGGAGAAACCTGATCTGGTGCTTATGGGTAAACAAAGCATTGATGGCGATAACAAACAAACAGGCTCGATGCTTTCTGGCTTACTGGATTGGCCCGAAGCAACCAATGTCAGCGCAATGAAATTTCGGGACGACGATCCTCGCAAAGTTTGCACATATTTTCTATTGAAGTATAAACTAGGTGATCGTGGAAGAAGAAGAGGAAGATGGTCTTCGAACTTTGGAAGTTCCGCTTCCTGCAGTGATCACAACGGACCTCCGCTTGAATACTCCTCGCTATCCAAAGCTACCGGATATCGTGAAAGCAAAGAAGAAGAAGAAGTTGGAAGTCATTCCACTGTTATCTTTATTGCCCGATTCGAAGAGTTGTAGTATTCTGTCTGATGTTCGTTATCCAGGTAATTCGTAGTGTACAGTACTTATCTTATCCGGAGCAAAGAAAGAGCGGCACCATATATAAGACAGTAGATGAATTATTAGAACAATTACGTAATCAAGGTATTCTTTCTTACATCTCTTTGTTGCTAAAATTATTAAAAATAGTATTCTTTCATAGAAAAGGCGATGTGATGGTTTCGAAATAGTGTTCCAACATAATCTTCAATGCAAACCTTACAGATCGTGATAATCGGAGGTATCGTGATAAAATAGGAAATACTTCACTCTACCGATCCATTCAAGAAGGGATTTGTACTTGATAAAAGTGAGATGGAGTTTGAGAATTTCTTTGTTGTGTACATTCATGCTACGTCTTTAAGACTCAAAGAGGCACAAAATTGACAGAATACGATTATGTTTTAGGAACACAACTATTAAAGACTCAATTACTCAGCTCGCTATAGGTTTTACTTCGTAAATATAAAAGAATAGGTCTCTGTTGAATTTTACACGCGGTGTCAGTCCCAGAAAAGGTCAAAACCCAAATAGGAATATTGTTATGGTTTTATGCGTATTATTGTCCCAATTTTAGGGCACTGCTGTACTGTGATTTGTGACGATGACATCGCACAAACTTGCGCTACAACACGTTATGCACCGCGAGTTAACCTAATATGTACTGTACACCGATATTTCATTACGTAACAAAGTTCACCAAAATAGTACTTCCAATCCGTTACTATATGTCTTCTCACTTAATTCGTGGAATAATGTTTCTTTCCTCCGAAAGAGAATTTTAATGACACGTTATTTTTACACATTTGAATCTTCTTTGATTCTTAATTGATGCTACATGATTAGCATGTAGTTGTCTTAAGCCAGTACATTGTAATACAATAGTCAGAATAAGAATTGGTTCTGATTTATCCAATAATATCACGATAATTCTTGGTTCATCCAATCAGATGGACAAATATAGGAACAATGATTCAATGGCCACAATAATTTCCTTGTGTACTGCAGTCATAATTTTTTAAAAGAGAAGCAAGAATGTGCAGGCTATTGCTGTTTTTGGCGATTGCAAGTTTGACTATGGCGCAAATAACTTGTATGACCGGAAAGACGTTTGTTAAGATTACGATGATGTGCGGTAATTACTGCTACGAGCAGGGAGTTAAGATCCTCGATGGGTCTCAGACTCTTTACGAGAACGACATTTATATCAATTTTGAGGAATCTGTAGTCGAGAGCTGCATTGACACATCTTCTACTGGGATGTATACCTTGGAGCTCAGTGATGGCTTTGGAGATGGCTGGGCCGATATGTCTTTCCTCACGTTGACTGGTAAGAACGGAAATGTGTTCTTCAAGAACTGGATGACTGACGTTTCGGAAACTTCTGACACACCTATTACCCAGACCTACACTCTCTCTCTGCTCTATCCTATTGATAAGAATGCTGAATGGAAGGTGAAGAACAACGCTCAGGGAGACTGGACGTCCACTTCCTACTCGGATAGCGACTGGAACACGGAGACTTTGGGCTCTGCTACGGGCAGCTACTACGGTACTCAGTACTTCCGCAAGCAGTTCACCGGAGTGAACGACATGGCCGCTTATGAAGTGAGAATGAACTACCGCTATGGTGTCATTGCATACATCAGTGGAGTGGAGGTTTTCCGTGATAACATGCCTGCTGGAGCTGTTACCTCCGATACTGCGGCTTCTTCGCAGTATCCTGCTGTTGACATGCGCGGATTTATCCGTCCTGGTATGGAGATTGCTCAGAACGGCGTGCTGGCCGTGGAGCTCCACTTCCCTAGTGGCTTTACTCAGGACACTGTGGATTTCGACGCCTTCTTGGCTGCGATCAGCTCCAGCGTGAAGGACCAGAAGTGCACTCCTTATCCCTACAGTGTGGATATTGTTTCTGAAGGTTCCTACAACCCGTACTCTCCTACCAGCATTTTCGATTTTAACACTCAGTCCTATTCGTCCTACTTTTACCTCGGCGAGTCTCCCTACGTTCTGAAGTTCTCTATGAACGCTGCTGTGTCTCCGATGATCAACGATATGATTCTCTGGCCGAAATACACCAATAACCATCCTCGTGTTGGTACGGTGAGCGGATCGATGGATGGATCTTCCTACTCGACGGTGCTTGGTTTTAAAGGGTTTGACATCACTCCTAAGCAGTTTTCTCATGCTTTTGGATATTGGGGAGGCAACACTTACAAGTATTACCGTTTGACTGTGACTGCTGGAACCGACTCGGACATGTATATTTATGAAATGTTGCCCTCGATTTGCAATGTCCAGATCCCCACTTCGATCACTTTCCCCGAGGCGAGTTATACCTACTACAAGAACATGGAGGAGGTGTACATCGAGCCCTCTATCTATGGATTCAAGGCGTGCACGATCCAGCCTGCTCTCCCTCAGGGTCTCACCTTGGATAATGATACTTGTATTATTTCGGGTATCGCCAGCGAAGCCAAGGCCCAGACGACTTTCACGATTACCTCAGTCATGGAAGGTACCTCTATTTCGGGTACTCTGGTTCTGACGATCAATGAGTGCAGTGGATCGATCATTCGTCTGCTGCGTACCTATAAGTATTCTGCTTCGAAGGAGGCTTTCAACATCATTAACCCCACTAATGAGGACGTGCTCTTCTCTGTGGGATTCAGTAGCGGCCAGTTTAATGATATGGATTGGTCTACATTGCTTTGTATCGACATTGACCGTGTTGGAGTCGATGTGTCCGGTACCGAGCTCTTCTGGGCTCAGGGCTCTTACCTGTATGTCCAGGCGATGTTGGACAGTGTCACCACGGAGACTTTGCTGCGTGCTCGTTTTGATAACAATCTGGGTATCGAGCCTTCCTTCTTCGTCCACGTCAGCCTCCCTGTGGACACCTATGAACAGTGGTACTACCGTAACCAGGGAGATGTGCCGGAGAACTGGTATGACTCGAACACCAGCGGCTGGAGCACCGGCTCGCGCGACAATTTTGGCCAATTCACCAAGCGTGTGGAGTTGTACAAGAAGACTTTCTCTCTGACCTCTCTGGATAACATTTCTGGATTCACCGTCTCGATCCGTTATCGCTATGGTGTTGCTATCTACATGAACGGCGTTGAGGTGTTCAAGAACGGTATTACTGAGGTATCTGCCTCCGCCACCGTGGACAACATCTATCCTTCCCTCACGTTCCGTACAGTTTCGCTTCCTGTGAAGACGATGACGATGGACGGAGCTCCTTCTGCTTCGTATCTTCAGTCGGGTAGCAACACGATCGCTATTGCTCTGGTGGCGAATGGAGATACTGCCCGTAATTCCACTTTCGATGCTGCTGTCGCTCTGATTGGCGCCAACGAGTTCTCGCGTGTGTTTGAGTACACTACGACCACCACTGGCTCTGCTTCGCTCAGCTCGGATCCGTTCACTCACTACTACTATGCCCTTGTCTATGGATCGCAGTGCACTGATAATGGACTCATTATCACCTTCAACGACGATCGTCGTGAGTGGATCTCTTCGATTCTGATCCAGAGCGCTTACGACACTGCTGAAGATTATGTCCGCGAGATGTCGGTACTTGGAAAGAACCAGGCCGATGAAGAGTGGAATCTGTTGGGCAGCTACACGAACATGGGATGGTCGCTGGTGGGTCAGACCAAGAAGCTCTGGCTGAAGAACAACAAGCCTTACAACCAGTACAAGTTCATGAACATGAAGTCGCTGATTAGTGACTGCAGCTGGAAGCTGAGCCGAATTGACATGTACACGGACAACCTCGCCGTCACGATCCCCGATCTGCAGTACGTGGAGTCCCCTGTGTTCAAGGACATTGAAATGGCAGAGTCGTATCCTACTGCGAACATGTATCGCGATTTCACGATCACCCCTGCGCTCCCGAACGGACTGAGTCTGTGTACCGGAACGGGTATGATCTACGGAACTGCCACGGAGGGAAGTCCTCAGCAGACTTATACGATTAGCGCGAACAAGGCCAGTGGAGAGGCCACTTCCTATGTGATGAATCTGATGGTCGATGTCTGTACCGGCGGTCGTGGACTGATCACTGCCAAGATGCAGTCGGATGGTTATCCTGACGAGGCTTCGTGGAAGCTGTACCAGGGCCGCGGAAACCAGGGCACACTGATCGCTTCGTTGGACGTGCTGCCTGTTGCCTATGCTCTGGTCTACATGGATCGTTGCCTGAACGACGGTATCTACACGTTCTACGCCAATGATGCCTATGGTGATGGCTGGCTGACTCCTGCAGGCTACATGATGACCGTGGATGTGGGTGCCACCATTTTCGAGACTCGTACTCTCCCTGACAACAACGACCAGCCCTTGAGCGTGGGTGTTGTGTTCTCTTCCTTCCTGCCCTTCCAAATCACTTACACGGACTGGATGGTGGCCAAGGTGGAGCAGCCTCCTGAAGGCTGGACCTCCATCACCTATTCTGGAAGCGAGTTCGTTAGCATGAAGGCTTCCGCCATCGGCTCTTCGAACTACGTGACCACGTACATTCGTAAGAACTTCGATCTCCCCGATCTGACCGACTATCAGGTGCTCAACGTGCGTGTGCGCTACAACGGAGGTATTGTGGCCTACTTCAACGGAAAGAAGGTGGCCCGCTTCAACCTTGCCGACGACTACACCTACACGTCGACGGCCCTCTCCTCGCACGATGCGAACGTGTTCTCCAGCTTCCATATCATCCTGCCTACCACTGGCGGTGTCGTTGGAAAGAACGTGATTGCCTTCGAGGTCCACAATCCGCCCGATTCGGCCTCGGTGGTCAACTTCGATGCCACTGGTGTTTTCGGCGTGGAGGATTGCTCGCTGCTGCTGGATACTTACTCGGAGATCACTGGAACGCCTCTTGAGTCTTCTGGAGACAAATTCGAGAATCTGTTCGACTACGATATCCTCACCTCTGCCTATATTAACACGGAGACCGGTACCTATCTCGACTTCACCATCGAGAACCAGGAGGGAACGACCTTCAATGCCTACGGTATCCTCTCTTCTTCCTCGGTCACTGGTATGGGCTTCTCTCTCATGGGAAGAGTGGACCCGACGGATCCTCCCATGAACTTCGTCACGTCTGCGAACACCATGATTGTCAATCGTGAGATTATCCGCTTCGATTCTCCCATCAACTTCATCAGCTTCCGCTACTTCCACTGGCAGATTGAAACCAGTCCTTACAGCAACGCTGTGAAGCTCCAGAGCTTCCTCTTCTACTACTGCAAGGCGAGCGGAGACGCGTGCCCTGCTGATGGCGTCTATCCTTCTGTCGGAGAGGGTCAGGTGTCTCCTGCTCTGTGCGACTACGGATTCAAGGGATTCCAGTACAGAGTTTGCTCGGGAGGCGTGCTGGGCGAGGTCCACAGCGACAACTGCACGTACCTGATTCCCGAGAATCTGCTGTACCCGAAGAGCAACTACGAGTTCGTGCTGGGTCTGGCGATCACCGAGCAGACTCCCATGTATGACAACCTCATCACTCGCTTCAGCAGCGATCGTGCGCTGCCCGCGGGACTGACTCTCAACACCCAGACCGGAGTGATCAGCGGAACGCCCACCGAGGTCTACACGGAGCCGAAGGCCTTCACGATCCGCGGAGAGAACCCTGTGGGCGCCTCCGCCACCCCGATCTACATCTCCGTGAAGGTGGGCCGCTGCCGACCGATCGACGACTTCGTGGAGGTGGAGGTTGGCACCACCGCTACCTACGACTGCGCGCAGAAGGGAAGCTACGTGGGCACGCTGTCTCGCGACTGTGTGCTCGGACCCAACGGCCCTGAGTGGGTGAACTCGAAGGGAGTGTGCATCTCCGTGGCCGTCATCGTGATCCTGGTCGTTGTGGCCATTCTCGTCATCGCCGTGGTGGTGTTCATTCTGCTGCGTGTCACGCGACAGAAGAAGGCTGTCGGTGGCGTGAAGGGAAAGAGAAGCGCCAAGCAGATGAAGAGCACGAAGAGCAGCGGCAAGGCTGTGACGCCCAAGGCCGATAAGAAGGTGAAGGTTTAAGTGACTTTCTACTACTACTACTAAACTTGATTAGTAGTAATTATAATAATAATAATAATAATAATTGCTGTTATTATTCGTTTTCATTCCTTTGTTTTGTTTGAAACAGCATCCTGAAAACACACACTTTTGTTAGATAGTTTGATATTTTTTAGTACTTCATGAGCGAACCTTCCTCCAAACGCCCCAAAGGTAACGCTTCTATGCTAGGCTTCTCTCCCAGACAACGATTTCTACCAGCAACGATTGAAATACTGGCAACCGCTCTTCACTCCCCGAAATGTTATTATCATTTTTTCTCTGATCGGGGTTGTGTTTATTCTGATCGGAATCCCCATTCTGGTCTTTTCCCATCAAGTAATCTGAAGAACGTGTCTCTTTCCCCGTAGATCGTCGAGTACAAGATCGTGTATGACGGAAAGGAAACGTCGGAGCCGAGCTGCGCGATCACCAAGAACAATGAAAACGTGACATGTTATGTGGGTCTCCTGTGTTTCTATTTCGATGGCCGAAGCTCACTCGCTCCTAGGTAACATTTCACATCGACCAAGATATGAAGGCGCCTATTCATCTCTACTACGAGCTAAATGGCTTCTATCAGGTACAAGAGTTGCTTGGTTGAGAGATTAGAACCACCGCCTCTACGTAAACAGTCGTAATGATGCGCAGCTCCACGGAGAAAACGTCGCTTTCGCGGATTTGGAGGCCAGCTGCGGTAACAAAACCATGGAGAACGACTTGATCCTCAATCCGTGCGGATCGGTAGCCAACTCTCTGTTCAACGATATCTTCACTCTGGTCGATTCTCCGTACGAACTCATCGAAAGCGGCATTTCGTGGAAGTACGACCGAGAGAAGTTCCACAATCCGGCCAATTACGGGGACGAAGGGTATAAGTGGCTGTAGGCGATCGGACTCGGTGTGAGAGTAGATACCAGAGCTACCCGGATCTGATTCCAAAGGATAAGAGCGACGATCCTCATTCCGCATCGTACAATGGCGGCGGTGTGGAGAACGAGCATTTTATCGTCTGGATGCGCGCTGCGGCGCTTCCACACTTCCGGAAGCTGTACGGACGAATCGAACAGGACATTCCGGCGAATACGGATTTGAAGGTGCGGATCTTGGCAAGTCTGGCTTTTGAACTTTATAAACGATAGATTTCTACGTGAAAGAGCACATCGACAAAGCCGTGGTGATCACAACAACCAATTGGCTTGGAGGGAAAAATTATTTCCTCGGCTGGAGCTATATTGTCGTGGGAATTATTTGCCTGCTGTTCGCCATTGCGTTTATCGTGAAACAATTGACGTGTCCACGAAAACTCGGAGATGTGAAATATTTGAAGCTGGATTTGCGTGTTTGTTTTGAAACTGTGTATCGGGAAAGGAAAAGGAAAATCGTTGCGTGTTTTTGCCAACAAATAACTGAGATACGATTCTAGCCAATTCATGTGTGTGTGTGTGAGAGAGAGAGAGACCCAAGTCCATAGTTTATTCATTTTCAGTTTTCACTCGCGCCTTCCGATTAAAAGCAGTGTCAAAATGCATTCCAGCGATCCCCGCGTACATAAATCCCAGATCAGAGAACGAAAAGAGATTGGAGGAAGAGGAAATAGGCATTGTGCAGGTCGAATAATTCAGAAAGCTCGTTGGAACGTATTTCCCGTACGGATAAATCACTCGATGGAGTTCGCGAAGTAAGATCAAGGATCTTGGATGTCCGGAAACGAGGTACTCGAACTAGGTGATGAATTCTTTGCCCTGCTGCTACATCCAAAACGACTTGATGGAGATCTTCCTCAGCCTTCCGAACCGACCCATAGCGAATGATGAAATCGTTCAGGCGGTAGTAGTGACCCTACAGGAAACGCCCAATTAGGCAACTACTTGAACAACGATCGAGTGCGTACATTCGTAAAACCGGAAATACTCACTAAAAAGCATGCTCATTCCCAGATCTGCAATCACCGATGAATATTTCCCACAAACTAGCACATTCTGCGGGAACGAGGATGACGTGCACAGCGATATGACCTACACACTCATTCGAATCCGCTTCCCGCACATCCGAACTCAACTCCTTATGTTTGACGGAAGACGCGAATTCGCTCTTGATTCGATATTGCTCAATGCCTAATCGCCAGGTCCCCTGATAAGTAGCGTCATATTGCTACGCTTGATCCAAGAGGGTGACCATCTACTTCCAGTGTTTGTACGATCTTTTTCAGAGCGTCATCCGTGTTGGTCACCTTGTCCACGACACAAAGATGACAGCCCGTGAAAGTCTGACAGCCCTCCTGCATAACAAGTGCATTCCAACAAACATCGCTACTAAACCCAGCATGCGTTCTACTCCCTCCAACTCCGATGTTTTCTCCCATAGCCCTTCCCCATCTCTCTCTTCAGATCCACGTCCAGCTTCTCCTCTCCCACATAAAACGGCTTCGTCTGCGCGCGTTCCACCGCCTTCTTCGCCGCTCCCTCCTCCGCAAAGTCCACGTACGCGAACATCCGGTTCTCCACCACATGTACATTCACCACCGTTCCCTCACTCTACCCATCACGCCATCTCATCGCATCATCCCCACCTTGAACGTCTGCTTCAGCGCGTCGCGATTGATCATCGCGTCCTGGAACCGCACGAACAGACTCGACCCGGCCATCGTCCGCTTTTTACTCGGGAAATGCGACTTCACCGTCACGAACTCGTCGTCATTGTTCGCGTTTTTATCGCTGCTCGCCGCCTCGTTGTATCCGTGTCCATAATGCGGGTACCGGCCGTGCCCGCGGTGGCTTCCCTGGCTTCCCTGGCTTCCCTGGTTGCCCTGCGGGGTCGTCGGCTTCTTCTTCACTTCCGTCTTCGCCTTCGTTTCCTTCGTCTCCGCTTTTCCTTCCGTCTTCGCTTCCTTCGACTCGGAAATTCCCGACTCCGCGAGCTTCGACTCCGGCTTTGCCGACTCCCCTGCGCCCGGCTGCGTCTCCTTCACCGCTTGCTGCGCTTGCTGCGCCTGCTGCGCCTGCTGCGCCTCCGCCTTCACTTCCGCGGGGATCTCCTCCTTCACGGGCGTTTCCTCCTTCACGGGCGTTTCCTTCTCGGCCTGCGCGGGCGTTTCGGCCTTGGGGGCCTCGGGAGCCTTGGGCGCCTCGGGGATGGAGGGGATGAAGGGCTCGGCAGCGGCAGGCTCCGCAGCGGCGGGCTCGGCAGCCGGCTTGGCGTCGCTCGGCGCGTCAGCAGCCGGCTCGGCGGCGGGCTCGGAAGCAGACTCGGCCGCAGGGACAGGGAGCGAGTCCAGGGAGGAAGCGGGCTCGAAAGCGGGAGCCGAAGCGGAGGGGAGCGCGGCAGACTCCGAAGTGGACGCGGGACAGGGCTCTGGAGAAGACTCCGAAGACGGGGAAGAGGGAATGGAGTCAGGGACAGGGAGGGGCTCCGCGGTGTCCACGACCTCCTCTTCGACCTCCACGAATTGGTCCATCTCGGCGAGGTCGATGAGCTGAAGCATGTCGTGGCGAATCTCGTAGAATTCGTTGCCAGACTCGGAGTTCTTGCCCAATACGAAGCTCTGCGAAAAGAAGCGCTCCTTGTTGTCCGAGAGAAGGATCTGACCACTGACAAGGATGATCATACCACCTGGACGGGAAATAGCGTTGTTAAATACATACCATGTTCGAAGGGGGCAACGCTCACATGACCGTTGTCAAGGTTCCAAACGGCTTCTTTCAGATTAAATTCTTCAAGAAGGGAAATCACCTTGTCCTTTCCATTGCACTTCAACGCCGGCTAAAAATAGAACGCAGAAATAGCTTTCCCCTACCTTGTTAGTCATCGCGATCGACATGAAACAGTCGGGAGCATAGAACTGGTAAATGCTCTTGTAATCGTTATGGAGAGTGGTATAGTACTCTCTGATGAAGAACTTGGAAACAATATCGGTAGTCTGCATTGTTTCTAGAAGAAATAGTTAGCATCAACACAAAACGACAACAGGCAATCCTTTTCTCTCAGTTACATCAAATATGCCCCATTGTACTTACAATACAATATGTGTATTAAAAAATCGAGAATAGAAACGATTGTTAAGCTAAGGGCTACCTTCAGAACATGCGATTTACGGTTATTTGCTCATTTTTCGCAAGATATCATTTCCATTTCAGTTCAAATCCGTTTATCCTTTTCTCATTCAATTCGAGTAATTCGTGTGGTGTACACACACAAAAACGAAAAAGAGTGTTATGCGCTCCCTCATCGAGTCCACAACATAACTGTGTTTTCCTACCTCCTATGACTCTACACAATGTTCAAACCATTTTTTCAGACGATGAGCGAGGACGGGTTAAAATCAATTCCTCTCGGGCAACTCATGGAGATGAGGAAAAATGGAATGGAAATTCGTGGATTGAAGCAGCATGAGGGTATGTCAATGTTCTCCGGATTGCGTTATTTCTAGACCAAGCGAGTGAAAAGAAACCAAAACGTGCAAATAAAAAAGCGCCACAAGAGATTTCTGCCAAAAAACGTACGCACACAAAGAAGGAGTATACGCAAAATCGTCAAGTTCGAGGTATTCTATGCACGTTCCATTTTTATAAATAGACCCTCGTTTTGATGGGTTGTCAGGCAAATTCAACTATGACTTGTATCGAAAGTCGTACAAATTTATCGAAGAGAAGCAGGAAGAAGAGTTAAAGGAAATGAAAGAACAAATGTACCAGGAAGAGAACGACCAGGAAAAACGAGCGATTCAAGTGAGAATGCGGTGTGCTTATTTTTATTTACATAGGCCGATATGACACGAATTATGCAGCAGAAATTAAGCAGAGATCGAAGAGATCGCGTACGTCTCTTTTTTGATCCTACTAATTGTTCTAGCAGCTAGAGCGGAAGCGAGAATTCATGAAGAAGGAAAAAGAGGCCGTGAGCAAGGGAAAGAAACCCTTCTTCCTCAAGAAGCGCGAGATTCGCGAGGCGGAGCTCAAGGACCGCTTCGAATCGCTTCGCAAACGCGGTAAACTCAACAAGTACATGGAGAAGAAGCGAAAGCGGAACGCCAAGCGAGATGAGGCCAACATGCCCTCCATCCGCGAACGTGACTAAAACAAACACTCCAATCCTGTTTCTTTTTAGTTTCTGTTTGTTCCGAAGCAAAGATATACCGGTACGCTCTACGCTTCACTCGCCCTCATCGCACCCACATCGCCATGCCGAACAAAACACATATCAAAAAGATCGAGGCCACGATCACCCCGCTCGACAGATTATACACCGCCTTCTGGCTTCCGTAAAACAGCAGCAGCCCGATCAGCACCAGTCCTAAAAACCCGATCACTCGGAACAGCTCCCAATTGAGCGGCAGCACGAAGATGGCCGCCGCGAGGTACGTTCCGATGACCCATTGGTGGTATTCGCACACGAAGGGACCCAGCATGCTCAGGATCCGCGGGATTTTGTGCAGCTGGCTGATCGAAAAGTGGAAGTAATTCAGGGAAATCCGGAGGAAAAAGGAAAAAACCGCGGTGATCAGGACCGTGAAGTAGGTCAAATGGCCGATGGTGTAGAGCAGACTCGAGCAGATTTCGTTCATGCCGGGGAGTTTTCTGTGTGGGAGGCAGGGAGATGCGGTACTCTGCGATGAGGGGAATGTAGGTGATGAAGGATGCCGCCATGACGAAGAAGGCCACGAATGCGAGCAGGAAGAAGACGAGTTCGTTGACGACGGTTCTGGGAGTGAAACAAACGAGGAAAGAGCACTTCCAGTTGAGAAGGATGAGGGTAAAGAGCCAAAACATGATTGTTACGTTCACAAAGCAAAAGGCTGCAATGTAAGTAGAACGATCTGCAAATACAGCGGTATGTGCTGGCCGTAACAGAGAGGGTGGTGTTCGCTTCAGAGGTATTCTCGATCAAGTAGCAGCGCGAAAAATACATCCGAATATTAACAATGTAGTTTCCTGTGTGTTCGTCCTGGCTAAACGTGAAAACAAGAACTCACACAAACCTAATCAGGTTAGACACTTGCTTATCGTTCACAACATCCACAAAGAACGTCTTTTTGGAAAATAAATTGAATTCCTTGCTATTGGATTCGATATGCAAATACCGATTATTCCACAAGTCAAACACTTTGGAACTATTGTTAATACATATCTCACGAGTATTGTTGGGAGGAATCTACATACAATCCAAACAGGGTTTCTACAGTAAGTGCTAACTTTGGCTCGCTAAATGGGTAGAAGTAGGAATAGAAAGCCGTAGCAAGTGCGCAAAGATACAAGACTCCAGATACAACACCTACAAACCGCATTATTGAGGTTTTTTTCATGATGAAACTCCTACCCCTACACTTATTTTCTTTAAAGAGGGATGATTCTACAATTGATCGTGTTTTTTATATACTTAATTGGATGCTATGGCTATGAAAAGATTAGTCTATTCTCCGATAACGATAGTATCATGGAAGTCGTGCGAAATGAAGAATTGGATGCCATCAAATGCCGATCTACGGCTAAAGTTGGAGTTGGTTATAAATCCTATGTTGAAACGAATATTACGCTCCCTGAGGGTGTAGAAGCGTTTTCATTCGTGATGACCAATCCCAAATACAATTATGGACGATGGAAAAAGTATTCCTACATCCAGGGAGTTGACATCACGATCACCTACAAACAACAACAGCCTCTGGAAGGGCTTTGCCACGTTTTTGAGACTCTTCTTCCCTGCTTTAATGTGAAGCAGTGCTCCAGAAGAAGTATCTAGAATGGGCTGGTTTTTAGGAGTAGTTCGCAATCCTGTGTATGATATTGATCTGGACGATGTTGTGTGGACGCCTTCCTACGTTGTTCCCTTTTCTGTCGTAAAGCCTACAAAGATTAGTACCCTCCCCATTTTCGCATCTTATGAATAGCCGGAAAGGAATGGGTTCGCTACGCACACATCCTGATTCCCTTCGACATGCTCCACTATGAGAACTATCATTCCGGAGGCTGTCTTTCGAGTGTTGGCCACCACAACAATCTCTTCACAATCCAGTATTTCTTTCCCTTCTCTTCTCTCTCCCCCTAGATCCAAAAAGTGGTTCCCTCAGAACACCACCGACGTGGACACGCGCTGGGTGTCTCTCAAGCTCGAGAACTATCGTACCAACGAGCTCGAGATCAGCGACGCGCACCACGTGCCCCAGCCGATTATTATCCCTCACAAAAACGATCTGGATCGCCTGGACTCCCCGGTCGATGTCGTTTTCTACGAGCTTGGACGCGAGGGAAACTTCGAGCGGTTCACCGCGAATAAGCGAAAGATTCTCTACCCAGAGCGCGAATTGTTTCTCTCTTTATCTTGGCGGATTTGATGCATAGCCCGTTCTGGACGACGGAAACGTCGATGACTTTGGAGAACGAGCAGCTGCACATCGAAGCGTATCTCAGCGCACGGGACGGGACGTACAATCCCTACGTCAATATCTACGACTCCAAGACCGCCACGATGCTGTATTTGCCGCGGGGAGTCTACGTGGATTTGGCGGAGATGCAGCTGATGTACGACGCGGGGAAGCTTCCTCTCTTTGTCTCCTACACGGACTTCGTCGATACCGACGCTGCCTACGAAGAAGCGAAGCCTCAGCTCATCGTGTTTATCGCGGAAGCGACGATCCACCCGCTGTACGTGAGCCAATTTCGCTGCATTGTAGCCCGCCCACGCTGAACGTGAACTTCTCCATCCCCATTCACTTCCGATCCACGCGCCAGAACGAAACCGTCCAAGTCTCCATCCCGCCGCCCGCGTTCTTCGCGCAGAGTCCGGTGCGGGACTCGCTGATCGTGCTTAAAAAAGAAGGGAGTTGAGGCGTAGATCACGTATAAACCGCAGTGGTGGGAGTCCGTGTTTCCTAGCAGCGAGACGCTGAATGTGACGCTGGAGAGGAGGGACGGAGAGAAGGAGAGGAGGACGGAGCGAGTGTGCTGGACTCTGGCTGCGGGATGTTTGGTCGTGCTGGTGCTGACGCTTCTGCGAAAGCTTTTGTGAGTTGTTTGTTACTCAAACACGCGATCGAAAAAGAAAATAACCGAGAATGAGGGCTAACATCACCGAAACCACCCAAAAGATGTAATAGCTGTATTCGAAGTGGAGCTCCTACGATCGACTCCGCACCAATTCCGCACGGGAAACACATCGAAGTTCATTCCGTAGATCGCCGTGATCGTCTGCAGCGGCAGAAAGATGGTCTGGAACGCGGTGATGATGTAGATCAGCTTGCCATAGCGCACGCGATTGGTGATCTCCACCTTGTGATGCAGATCGTTGTGGATCTTGGTGCCCTCTTCGACATACCATCGAATCTACCAATCACCACGCGCCAATCCAAAGCCAAACGGTGGTGAGATGGTCCCGGATATCTCGCATACTGTACACGATCTCGCTGCGTCGGAACTCGTTGAAATAGGCGTTTTCGATCCCGTTCAGCATGTCCTGCACGCCGTTCAGCAGCGTGGAGAACGCTTTTTCCTTCGATCGTCAAGCAAAAGAATCAAAGCGCTACATCCTCCGAAATGCGCTGCAGAATGTGGGAGTGCGTGGAGATTCGGTCCGCACCGATGTCTTCTCTGCGCTTGTACAGCGACGTCGAGTAGTTCCGAATCATTCGGTCCTCGATATCGTACAGATTCCGCACAGATCGCATCACGATACTCACGACTCGATCCACCTGCTCGTCATTCGATTGGCGCGCCGCTACGTGCAGATCGAACAGGTACAAAAACACGGCCACGTTCGAGTGGTACTGCGCGTGGAACCGGCGAAACGTCGACAGCACCGCGGACATGTCCAGCGGCGTCTGCACGTCCGCTTCGATCCCTTCGCAAAGCTCGCGCGGGGCTTCCTTCGCCCTCAGAGTGATGACTAGGCAGGTCAAAGCGGCGAAGCGAAGACTACCGATGTTCTGTTTTAAAAACACGAGGATGTGGAGCATGGATCGGCGAAGACATTGCTCCGCGGCGGTCCCGACGCTCTCGCAGACGTAGAGCCAGGGAAAGGACCAGTAGACGTACTCGTCGTTGATGTCGAACTATCTGAAATTCAAAAAAAAAGAGGGGGAACGTCGGTGGTGGTGGTGTTGTGGACGATATCGAGAATGGTGTCGGTGTCGAGACTCATCACAGCGCCGAGCAGCTGCACTAACTCGTCTGAAATGCCGTCCAGGTGGAAGAAACGGAAGCCTAAAGTGAACTGGGAGGGCGAGGAAAGCAGCGATTGGTTGAGGAGTTTGACAAGGTTTCGATAGTTCTGATGGTGAGGCCAAGCCAAAGAGAGATGAAAACGGTGGATGATTCGACGGTGATCGTTCCGTCGGGAGTATAGTACATGTAGTTTCCCATGATCTCAGAGGGAAGCGAGGTAACGGGCTTGGACAGGAGGCAATTAATCCGGCAGGAGCGAAAAATCTTGCTAAACATCGGCTTTGTAATGATGCCTTTGTAGGAGTTCATTGCAGACCACAGGACATCAGAGATTTGCTGAATACTGAATTGCTGAACGTTAGATCCACACAAGCAATGCAAACTTCCACTCCTTTGCGGAATTTACCCTCATCTAGTTTATCCCTATCATAGGAAACGATGCAATCATATATCTTTGAGATCAATGCAGAGAAAACGAGCAAACATGGTCTAAATCATTTCCTGACATGTCGATATTTTGATTCAATTTCGAGATTTCCTCCAATTCTTGTCGATGATACTCATCAAGAATCGAATCCTTCTGCAACCTCTCTTGAATTGTAAGCATGTTATCACGCGCCTACAGCTAAGTCAAAAGTCATTATGTGTACCATGTGCTGATGACCAGTACCCCATCTGTAGATTTCATAGATATTGTTTACTAGCAAAACGAGCCGATCGCTTCCCTTCTTAAACGCAGGGAACGGGGATTCCTTCTCAAGCGACATTGAATAAACCGTAAATTAGGATATACGTGATGCTGGAAAAGGGAAAATACCCGCAGAATCAAACGAAAGTGAGAAGTGATTCTCTGAAGAAATGAAATATGGGAGATATCTGGAATTCCCAAGTTTTAGAGAATTGTTCACAAAGACAAACTCATTGCTCTTTTGAATTATTAGAGTTTCAAATTATCATCAGGAGCAATCATTTGAAATCATGGAAGATGAACATTTGTTTAGTACTGCTTTTGATGAGTCTTTGCGTTTTCACCTACTTATCGTTTAGTGCAAAGCTTCGTGATAAACTACTAAATCAAAAAGAGCAGAATGTCCAGAAATCGACAGGAAAAGTACGTCGATATCGACCCGGTATGGTACGTTTGGTTTGGATGCATAAGAGAAAGGTTCCGGACTGGGTACGAGAAAAGCAGGAAGAGGAGCGCAGGATGGAAGAGCAGACGCATTCTGGTGATATTTCAGTCAAAATAGAAAAGAAAAAAGTTGAAAACAAGGAACGGGACTGATGCACAGGATCCCCGTTTAGAGCGATTACTCGCAGCACAACAAGAGCAAAAGCGTCCAGCGCGCAGAAGACGCGTGGAGGCAGAAATCATTATGGATGAGGAAGAAAAGCCTGTAATGAAGTTCGATGCTCCCCCACAGCCGGAAAAGGAGAAAGAAGATGATTCTGCTAACCGTCGTCGTCTTCTTTCTCGTGCTCTGGAAGATGTAGGATGGTGATGCGAGCTTGGGAGGGTAGGAAGAAGAAGAAGAACTCGCGATTTCGGAAGAAGAAGAAGAAGAAGAAGAGAAAGAGAAACCGCAAAAGCAGCCGGCTTCCAACGTGCAATCTGGCTCTGGGAAGGGCAATGCCCAGGAGGAGGAAGAGGAGGAGGAGTATTCGTACGAATACGACAGCGAATCGGAGGACGAGGGAACAATGTTCGCCATGCGCCACCGACCGGTGTTCGTCGCGAAGGTGCGATCGCTCGCTTGTTTTGTTGCGTAGAACGACCGCAAAACGCTGCGAACCGAAGAAGAAAAGCAGAAAGAAGAGGCGGAGAAGGCGGAGAGAGCGGAGGCCAAGCGGAAGCAACACTACGAGCAGGTGGAATTGCGAAGTCCGGTCGATTCTAGACGCAGAAACTCATCATGGAGGAGAATCTCCGCGAGTTGGAGGAGCAGCAAAACGCGCAGAAGCGCAAGGACCCGCACACGTTGGAGGAAATTCCGGACGACACCGACGATTTGGAGGACGAGGCGGAGATCCAGGCGTGGAAGGAGCGCGAGTTCCGACGGATCATGCGGTCGCGGGAGAAGGAGGAGCAGCGCAGACAGGTAGAAACCCGCGGGGAGAGCGAGGAATAGGAGGAAGCGGAGAAGGAGCGGCGCGAGAAGATGACGGACGAAGAGTTGGCGGAGGAAAATAGGCGATTGGAGGAGGCGGGCGTGCGAAAGAAGAAGCAGGAGCACGTGCAGGGAACGTTCCTGCAGAAGTACTACCACAAGGGCGTGTATTATCTGGACGACGAGAGCATTCAGAGCGAAAACGACATTCGGAACCGCGATTTCCACGCGCCGACGGAGAGGGATATGGTCAATAAGAAGCTGCTGCCGAAGATCATGCAGGTGAGAGACTTCGGAAAACGCTCGCAGAGCAAATGGACGTATCTGCGGAATGAGGACACGCTGAAGAATACGGATTGGCTGAATGAGTTGCAGGCGAAGTGGGAGCGGAAGAGGGATGTGAGGCGTAGGAATGCAGAGTCCAAGTTTAAGCATGCTGGAACAAAGTAGTGCGTGTTTGTTTAATATATACAAATATATATACATATATATAACATTTTGTGGGGTGGATAAACGATGGATCAGCAGGTGGTCGCTTGTCTGCGTCGTGGAAATCCAGTGGTGTTTTTTGATATTTCGATCGGAGGAACGCCATCGGGACGAATTCGATTTGAATTGTTCAAAAAGCTGTGTCCGAAGGTACCTATTTATGTAGGAGTGTTTGATAGGTTAGACGGTTGAGAACTTTCGGTAGTTGACAAGATTGCTTATTTCACGCTCTAGACAGTTTTGCACGGGAGAATTCCGCATCGACAAAGTGCCTGTCGGATATAAAAATACAAAGTTCCACAGGTATGGAGCTCGGTCTTGTTTTTTTCATCTAGAGTGATAAAAGGATTCATGATCCAGGGAGGGGATTTTATGAAAGTTTGAATTGGATTGAAAAGAGATGATCTTCGTAGGGCGATGGAACTGGGAGTTTTAGTATCTATGGTGATCATTTTGACGACGAAAACTTTGATATGAAGTTCGATCAGCCGGGTTTGTTAGCTATGGTAGAATGGCGTTTTCTTCTTGATGTTGTGTAGGCGAACTCTGGACCCAATACAAACGGATGCCAGGTACATTCTGTTCAATTTGGCTTAGTTTCAGTTTTTCATCACGACCGTCCCAACGCCCCATCTGAATGGAAAGCACGTTATCTTCGGGCGCCTTTTGGATGAAGATTCCATGTTGGTGGTTCGCAAGATTGAAAACCTGTCTTGCGAGAACCGAGACAAACCAAGGTTTGATGTAGTGGTGATGGAATGCGGAGAGATGTGAGGTGTGGCATAGAATTACGTGTGTTGTTTGATGTGAGCAAACATGCAATATTACAATGATGATTTCTTACGGTACGACTCTGCTAGACCTAGACAACGGATAAGAACGTGAATAGTGAAGAGAATCGAGTATTTCAGACAATTTTTTTCATTTAGAGAAAATGATCTCAAACTTTGAACCATCATAAATACTCAAACCCATTACACTCAAAACAATGGAAATGATACTTACCTTACGTTTATTGTGATGGAGATTAATCATCATAATAACAATGGTGGTAAGGGGATATACATTTTCTGTGTTGAATTGCCTGCTAACAGTGCATCAAGCGGTTCCTATTCTTATTTTTTCAAAATTAACTCTTGCTGCTGAGCAAATTGGTATGTTTCCAACACATAAATACGACAAAGCAAGTCAATAAGAATTCTTCGTCTTGAAAGACTCGACTTCGCCAAGTCGGGTCATTGTTTGATATCATAAAAAATCTAAATGAGATCTATTTTTGTCTTCGTTGCTGTCTTTATTTGCGCCAGTGCAAGACTTCCCTTCCTGCAAGCATTCATGCAGACTCAGGAGCTTAGTGCTGATAGTAAAAGTGGCTTGTGAGCATGGGAATCTCATGTAGACTATTATGAAGGGAGAATTAACGATACAATGGTTTACCCCTTCCAGAGCACAATTATTATGAACCAGACTGATAGCTTCCAGGGAATGAAGGTTTATTAGTATAGAATTTTCAGGGATATTGACTTGCAGCAATGAATCTGTAATGACTATTTCTGGCCAGTTCCTTGAGCTTTCTGTTGAGGGCGAGATGGTTCCTGTGTTCAACAGGGTTTTGTTCGCTCAACGCGACTGACTTGTAGCCATTGAACAACACGGTGATCACTGCTCGTCTTCACACGATGCCTTGCTATCCCTACCAAGGAGGCAACTACTACCGTAACGATTGCTCGATTGCCTACGGAGATCCTGATAACGAGATTGTGGGCAGCCGAGCCACGGATCAGAATGGTCATCTCTCCCTCACCGTGACTCGTCCTTGGACGACTCGTATTGCGGACGCGAAGTCGATTGTGTTGAATACCGCGACGGACGGAATCATCTTCTGCTCCAATATCGACTGGGTGGAGGTGGATGGTGTCGTATCGTCCACGGTGAGCATTGTCACTTTGGTTGCTGCCCTCGGATTTGTCATGAAGCAGTTATGGATGTTATGACTTGCTTGTTGAACAAACAACGCAAGAATGATACAACAGCGAATTCACTTCCATCGCCAGAACTTGTCGGAGAACGCCGTCTTGCATCATCAATTCATGCCAGAGCGAGAGAATGAACACATGAAGTTGATAATAACACCGATGGCTTTCCTCGCAGTCCTCCATGGCATTTCGAGCTTCCTTCACGCGCATCGCATACCACTCTTCCTCTCCCAGTTGCACGATATCCAGCTTCCAATACTTCGCCCAAACGACACAGCAACGAGTCTTTTCCTTCCGTTTCAACAGCGCCAAGCAAACATTATAAACATGCGAATCTTGGACAGAAAAAACGTCGGCTAGAATGGGGTGATCGGCCTGAAGACTCATCAGCTGCGTCGCTTGGGAATGGATTTCGCTCGGTTCGCTGCACTGCTGAATGACAAATCGATACTGATCGAGATAGGGACGAACAATGCTCTGGATCTCCAATGAGAGCACCGAAGACCCTTCTTCCAAGGAATCGAGAAGATGAGCGCATTCTGCAATCTTCCCATGGCGAAACGCCACCCAAAACGAAGCACTACAGTGAAGGTTGAGAGAGGCTCCTACTACCACTTAATCCACGTTAGAAATGGATCGAATGCGTTTTCTAAGTATTGGAAATCTTCGTTGGCGGAGGTGACTTGAAGAAAGCCTCGGATGGCCGAAAACAAAACCGAAGGCTCCATTTTCGATAGAATTTCGGTTAACAAAGAGTCGCTTTGATCGATTGAGAGTGCTACCAGCGCCATTTGCTGCAGAAAAAACGACTTCCAGTGTGTGATGGATGAAACTGTCCATGGAGGGAGCGAAGCAGGTCGAAAGAAAGGGACTGCTTGTAAAAAAGAGGGTTGGGAAGTGGATTCAAGGTGTGTGAGAAAAAGACGCTGCAAAGGAAGGACGGTTTCTGTGTTGTGTTTCATTGCGAGAAGAATCAAATCGTAGAGAATGAAGAGTGATTGATGCTCTGCTGCTTGAAGCAATTGGAGAAGCACCGCGATCGCTTCGGAATATTGACCGTTTTCCACGTGCTGCTCCACTAGAAGCCAGAGAGAGAGGGTCGATCCAGGTTCAACCGAGGGAAACAAGCGACTCAAGTCAAGCGAAGAGGAGTGCGCGAGAAGATGATTGGAAAGGGGAGAAAGGGAAAGAGAGAGAGCGTTGGATTCCAGTTCGGCTCGCAGAGAAGAGAGGCGAGGAGAGGAATAGGAGCAGCGATGAGCAACGGCGATTACAAAACAGCAGACATCGAGAAACCGTTTGGGACAAGAGTGAAGATTGTGAAACACGCGAATCACACGATCATAAGCACATTCGAATAGTTGTTCCACGGCAGTCATCTACAAAAAGCAATTCGATAGTGAAGACTACATTGAACGCCCTCCCCACTACAAATATGGCATTGCTCATCACATCAATAAACAGCAATATCGAACTATCATTATAACTTGTCAAAAAGAGCTGCATATGTTGCATAACCTGCAAACAACCGTCCTCCGCGTTACTTGCTAAGGCTGTCAAAAACACCTCGTTGAAGGCGGCAACATTTGATCGTTCTCCATCTCTTTTTTTGCATGCAATCATCTGTAAGTGAGAAACCAAAACGAATACGTACGGAAAGGGCAGATGCATAGTCACCCACTCGGATTGCAGTTTCGATAGCTTCTTTTTCGTATTTATTTTCGGAATTTTGAATTTCTCTGCAAGCAGTGAGCGTATTCCCTTCTATTTCATATGAACAATTAAATTGGTTCAATTCGTTGGATTCTTCGAGTTCATTGCATTGATCCGTTTTTGATTTCGATTCGTTAGGAAATTGCATAAATCGAATAGAATCCTGAAAGGTTGGAATCGCAGAAATCGGATCGATTTTCGACATGAAACCTCGATTTCCCCATTTCAAGTTCCTATCGTTCAGAAGTCGCAATATCTAGGAATATCCATGTCAGTTTCATCTTTTGAAGTGAATGCTGCTGCTGCTATGCGCGATTATTATGTCGAGCCTCGTCTTGGTAGGATTGTGGCGTGGAGTGCGTTAGGACATAGACTACAGAACTATCAGCGGAGTAAACGGTCCGTTGGTTGTTTTGGAGAACGTGAAAGTAGAAGTTGTGTGAAGGCGAGTGATTTCTGTAGGGACCCCGTTTTTCGGAAATTGTAAATCTCCGTTTGGGAACTGGGGAGATGCGAAAAGGAAAGGTGCTTCAAATTTTTGGAAACAAGGCCATTGTGCAAGTGTTCGAAGGAACGACCGGAATCGATAACACACGTACTCACTGCGAGTTCACGGGCGATATTATGAGAATGGCCATCTCGGAGGAAATGCTGGGTCGCACATTCAACGGTTCGGGAGTGGCTATCGACAACGCTCCCCCCGTCCTGGCCGAGGAGTACTTAGATATCGACGGCCAGCCCATCAACCCCTACGCTCGCACATACCCGAAGGAGATGATCCAGACGGGTATCTCCGCGATCGACGTGATGAACTCCATCGCTCGAGGCCAGAAGATCCCTCTGTTCTCGGCTTCGGGTCTTCCGCACAACGAGGTAGGGTCGGTCGTGTGCTCCCAGCGTAGCTCGGCGCGCAGATTTGCCGTCAGGCAGGCCTGGTGGCGGGAAAAGACATCCACGACGACCACGAAGACAACTTCGCAATGGTGTTCGGCGCGATGGGCGTGAACATGGAGACGGCGCGTTTCTTCCGGAACGACTTCACGGAGAACGGCACGATGCAGCGCACGGCGCTGTTCCTGAACCTGGCGAACGACCCGACCATGGAGCGCATCATCACGCCGCGCATCGCGCTGACCACCGCGGAGTACCTCGCGTACGAGCGCGATCTGCACGTGCTGGTGATCCTGACGGACATGTCGTCCTACGCGGACGCGCTGCGCGAAGTCTCCGCGGCGCGCGAGGAAGTGCCGTCGCGCCGAGGCTACCCCGGGTACATGTACACGGATCTGTCGACGCTGTACGAGCGAGCGGGCCGCGTGACGGGCCGCAACGGGTCGATCACGCAGCTGCCGATTCTGACGATGCCGAACGACGACATCACGCACCCGATCCCCGATCTGACGGGGTACATCACCGAGGGACAGATCTACGTGGACCGGTCGCTGTACAAGCGCGGAATCTACCCGCCGATCAACGTGCTGCCGTCGCTGTCGCGACTGATGAAGTCGGCCATCGGCAAGGGAATGACGCGGCACGACCACGGAGCGGTGTCCAACCAGCTGTACACGAACTACGCGACGGGCAAGGACGTGATGGCGATGAAGGCCGTGGTGGGAGAGGAGGCGCTGACGGCCGAGGATCACTTCTATCTGAAGTTCACGGAGGACTTCGAGAACACGTTCGTGAACCAGGGACCCTACGAGTCGCGGTCCATTTTCGATTCGCTGGACAAGGCGTGGAACATGTTGCGCACCTTCCCCAAGGAAATGCTGAAGAAGATCCCGGCGGAGATTATCGAGGAGTTCTATGCGCGAAAGGGAGTGGAGATGCCCGAGGAGGAGGAGGAGAAGAAGAAGGAGGATGCTTAGATTCAGTGGAGTGTTTGAGAGAAAAAACGAGAGTTGGAAGCAGGGAAGCAGGGAAGGAAGGAAGGAAATGGGGGTAGGAAGGGATTGAATGAAGGGATTGGAAATGGAATGGAATGGAGGAGAAAAGATATAGTATGGAGTGACAGTTGTAGATCGAATTACTGGTCATTCATTCATTGTTAAGATTCCCTTCGGATAATCGCTTACCACTTCGGTTTTTCTATTCATTGCACCCTATTCACTCCTCTCCTCAACACTCCGATTTGACTCAAACAATTGAAAGTGATAGAGTTTTCGACAAATGCGTCCGAATATAGAAACAAAGGTCACAAACACGCTGACTCTTCCCATTCTTGCTTATTGTGACTTTGTGGTGGCAGCAATCATCGCAAAAAACCCTTCCACACCATCTACAATGACTACTCGTCATTCGATCCATCCCTTGCCTACTGCCTTCGTCGCACAGCCGTGAATTGCTGAAGACAATTCGGACAGCGCGTAAACAACTGGTCAGGCATCCACGACTGAGCCGTCGCTTCTCCCTTGTAAATCGTCGACACAGACTCCAAAAAACGCAAACAAACCACCTTCCCTTCATTCAAACACTCGCGCGGAACAGCTACACTCAACCAAATACAAAAACAAAACCATTTCCATTCATCACAGTGTCGAGAGGGATTCTGTGAGTCAGTTCGTAAAGATATCGCTACGTGCGTAATACATCAGCTGCATAACTCAAAAAGAGGGGAAAGGAGAAAGGCGAGGCACAATTTGATTCGAAAGGGGGGCTTGGAGGAGAGGGAATCGGGGTGAGCGAAGGAGAATCCTAGTTCAAAAAAGAGAGAAAACAAGTAAAACGTCCATAGCCAACACGTTCTCCATGTCGCTATTGTCTTCACTCTCCGAAAAAGCGATTCTATATTCGTGCATTATCGCTCCCTGCTCTTCTGTACAAGCGTCAGGATCCAGAGTGTTCAGAAGTCGGGTCATTAGACTACGGAGACTGTTAATAGCCTCTTCTTGGTTTTGCTAAATAGAATATCCGTAAATGATGCTTACCATATACTGCGAGTACTTGATGATCCGCTGAGCCTTTCTATCAATCGAAGCCTGCTTTTGACTGGTTTCCTCCTTTAATATTTAATGCATAATATACTACCTACGAGCAAATTATGAATGGCAGCGTGACATTTCGTATTCATTAAGGTAGATTCTGCGATGTCGTGCTGCAGTTTTTTCACTACAGATACAGGATCTTCTTGATTACCGCTCAAATCTAAGGTCTCCTTTTTGAAGAGTGTGAGCGAGAGTTGGGTCTCCAGTAAGTGAACAGTCTTTTTCAGTTCATCATTTTCAGTCTTGAGAAATTCAATCCTTTCCTTTTGTTTATCACATACTAATTTCAGGTTTTTGTTCTCTTCTTTTTGATGTTGCAGTAGTTTCTATATTAGACTTGTGCAATACCACTACAATGAGCTCTTCGTGACTCATAGAATCACAAATCGTTGAAACGGTAGTTAATGGTACATGAGAGTTTGAGTTGTCCGATTCCATCCTTACGTAGAGACTAGAAGGAAGCATAAGAAAAAGATAATACGATTTTGATAGACAATAGATTCAAAACCAGAGGATACAAAATTCCTATTATCAAAAATGAAAAGTACCTTGGGAAAATGGAGTAAAGTACCGCGGTTCTAGGAATCGCGGTTCCATTTGCGAATTGTTGCGAGTTATGCAAAATATAGATATTGCTATACCATGCTTTCTACTCTCTCTATAGACCAATTTTTATGCACTCCATCGAAAATCAAATCCATTATCGAAATAGATTTTGTTTTGCACAAGATTCGGGTAAAAGAATAAAATATGAATGAATCATTTGAGAACGATTTCGAGGAGGTAATCTGCTTTGTGAATATAAGCTAAATTAACGGTTATTGTAGACTTCTATCCCCGAATGGCTACTATCTATACAATATCCATCAGAATCGATGGAGCCTCGCGAAAAATTGAATGTAGAATTGATAAGGTTGCTAGAGTGGCTTTCTCTCTCAAATGCGGAATTGCAAATAAGAAAGAAAATAAAGGAAGAAATTGAGAACCTTGTGATAAGTGCCGACAATTCGTGCAAAGTGGGCATGCTGGGATCGTTTGTTAGTGGAATGTAAAATCTGCTTGAGTATCTAAGATTTAGGATGTTGCCAGATAGTGATATGAATTTTTGCTTTACGACCAATAATATCAAATTGACTTCCTCCCGTGTTTTTACGGCGATCACCGTTTCTAAGAAATATCAAGAGATTCTCCAGGAGTCTGAGAGGGATGGGTCTTGTTTGATTACTTGCCAACACATTTACACCGGCATCAAGTTAACACTCCTCTTCCAAAAGGAGGAAAACATTAAGTTCACATATTTCATTCGATACGCGAGACGAGTGGTTGGCTTTCGCTCTCTTTATCGGGTGTTCCGTTACTTTCTCAAACAAAGTGGTATTCTCACCGACAACAATCACAACATGATCATCTACCTCTCTCTGATCTTCTACCTCCAAGTTCACCTCGGGTTGTTCCCTTATCCCTTTCTCACACACAGAGGCAAAACCGAAAACTTGCTGCTGTCAGACCTCTTCACCGGCTTCCTCGACCAGATTTCGCAGGGTTCCATTCTGCTCTCGCCCTCCAATCAGAAAGGATTTACCTTCTACCGCTACGCGAAGTCCGTCGAATCGAAGCTCGATGTCCATCTCGACTTCGAATCCAAAGAATCGGAGCGTATTTTCAAAGTATCGATTGGGTCGTGTCTGGCATCCAGCGAATCATAAAGCTGTGCGAAAGCAGCTCGACGGTGCTCCGCCAGTTCAGCAGCATGCGGGAATACAAGGGGAACATCGCGGGACATTTGTTCTCGAATTACCCTCGCATCACACAGGCCATGCAGAGCTCGTCGTTCTACTCGTCGCTAGAGAAGAATGAAAAGGGGAGCGTGAAGAGAGTGATATCCTTTGAGTAGAGAAGTGGTTCCTTCACTGCAGGTGAAGAAGAGACAAATCAATCCGGAGGATAATTTGAAGGTGATTCAGCTGCTGGTGGTCTTGATTGTTTTCACTATGCTCTTTATTGTGGTGATTCTTTTTCTCAAATACAGAGAATCGTTGAAAAAGCCGGCGATTCCTCAAATATTACTAGGGGACTTTATTGAAAGTCGAGAAACTTTTGTATAGCCCTGTTTTTTGAAAACGCTTTTTGATACTCTGAAAGATGTGAAGGAATAGTGGACAGAATCAAACAATGGAATGGAATGGAATAATGGTGAATGAATGATAGAATCATGTGGAGGATGGAGACAGTTGCTGATGGGGTGTAGGGTTGTGATAGAAATAGAAAAGCATGGAAATATGGATGGATTGAGTGAGGATAGAGGATGAGAGGTGATTAGAATTTGGGTCAACATGATTTAAGATCGTTTTATGAGTTGTTTTTTGATAATTCAAGTCGCAACCACTTTGACTGGTAGGGTGCTTCCTACTTCTATCAAGAAGCTGGATTGCAGAAAAGCGAATCTTAAATGATATGAATGAGAGTGAGCATGTAGGGCTGACTGAAATCTTAGAATATGCAAGAAATGAGTGATGAATGAACAGTAATAATTGAATTTAGAATTCAAACGCACGCTGCAAACACATGAAAAACGATTGGGAACGAGTAATACGTATGTGAATTAGACGAATTAACGATCCTCACACGCATAGGATTCGATCTACACCTGATCGATTGCAATGGATCACTATTCTCCACCACAAATTGGAAAACTGTGGAATCTGGTTGCCTGATTACACTAGAATTTCGTTGTTTTCATTTGATATGGGTGTACTTTAGTTGAGAATTAACTTCTGGAATAGGAATGGTGTGATAGCAATAGAACTCGCGAGGAATGAGAAACTATAACCAAGTGTCTGTTCCTAATTATCAGTATTGACACTACGATTGATACACGTAAAAATAAGAAAATGATTGAAACGCATTATACGTAATATCACTGTTAACAAGTTTAATAGTTTTTAAATGAATGTAAAAGTGAATGGTATTCTGATTGTTTTTGTTCCCATACACTTATACATTATTTTATTCCATGTATTAACTCCTTCACTCCTTCACTCCTTCAGCGAATTGATTTGGTGATAAAGGAAGGAGAGAAATGAAATGACTAGAATTGAGTGTAATTGAAATGGAGTGTGAGTGAATGATGATAAGAATGTGATATTTAAATAGGTTAGTGAAAGGAAATAAAAAGAGAACGGCCATATCTGATGGAAAGCGCCCTAACCCGTCCGATCTAGGAAGCTAAGTCATCACGAGTCGAGTTAGTACCAGTGTGGGTGACTCGCTGAGAAGTCTCGATGCTGTTCTTTTATTCCAATATTTCATTCTAGTCTATTCCATTAAATTCTATTTTGAACCTTTCCATTTTTCCTTTCTATTCCTTTCCTCTTTTCTTTTCTCCACTCATCTCATCTCCACTTTAGGAGGGCGTACTGCGACCTTATCTACAAATAGAAGAACATGAACAACCCTGCTTCTGTCCCGCGGACGCATGTTCCCATCACGCCCCATTTGGACACCTCCATTTCCACCTGCAGCAAGGGACACGTGATCGAGCGTACCTGCATGGCGGGCGTGGGGTAGGCTGTGGATTGGTCGGGTCGGTCTGCGGCTTGGGCTTGGGCTTGGGCTTGGACTGTGCGGCGGATGGTGCGTTTCCCGCGGTTCTGTATGCGGTGTGTGTGGAATCAGGCGGAGGGCATTGAGTGGGACTGTGCGATGGCGATTACCGGATCCTTCCATGATCTCTGCACCGCCACGTGCGAGCTTCGCGCTCCCGCCACTTCCTCCTTCCTCCTTCCTCCTTCCGCCGAACCGTCTGGTTCCCCGCGGGACGCGATGTGTGGGACGTGTTGGAGGGTGGGATCCCCGCGACTTCCTACACGCTGGAGTGCGTCCCGAGCGAAGTGGGCAGTGCCGAGTGGATGGGCAGGCAATTCGGAGTGTCCACGATGGCCACGTCGGAATTCGTTGGGTGTTGGTGGTGGACGGCGAGCCAACCTCCTCGCTCACCGGTTCGCTCTGGGTGTGGGTGTGGGTGTGGGTGTGAGTGTGAGTGAGCAGGAATCTGGTGGGCGATGGGGTGGGGTCCGTGGCTCCCTACGAAGGTGTGCAGAGTCGACCGGGCTCTCTGGATCTCTTCCTGTCCAACTGGGCGCAGAACGCCACCGTGGTCTCCGTCACACAGCCCCTCCGCCTCCGCTTCCGCCTCCGCCTCCGCCTCCGCCTCCGCCTCCGCTTCCGCCTCCGCTTCCGCTTCGCCTACGACGTGACCGGCGCGCTCATCCGCGCCCACCTCGTCGATCACGCCTGGTGCGCCGTGGGTCGCGATGTTTCCACGTTTCCACGATCCAGACCGATTTGGCAGTTGCTGAGAGAAAGAAAGAGAGAAATGGTTGCGGTGTTTGGTTTGGAAGATGGATGGATGGATGGATGGAATTGTAGAGATGTGGAATGGTTGAAGCGTTGTAGGATTTGAATGAGAATCGAAAATGTGTTTAGGAAGGAAGGAAAGAAAATGTAGATTTAGAGTGTGTAGGGTGTTGGGATGATTTAGAAACATGAACAGAATAATCCAGAACGAGGAACCAAACGACTCTAGTTGATAATAATAGAGTGCTGTGAGTTGATAGTTGAAACAAAGATAGATAGATAGAAAGAAAGTGTATTTAGAGTTAGTTGGTTGGTTTAGGATAAGGAAATGATAGAAAATGGAGTGAATGGTTAACGATGTGCGAAGATAGGTTCTTTGTGTGAAAATCACTGGATCAAAACCAATTTCCATTCCATTCGATTTGATTTACTAGTTTTACTAGTTTGAATTGCTTTCAAACCCAACCAGTCCCAAGTCAAAATGATTTGGCTAGAATCATGGATGGATAGATTGGATTATCGAAATAATAATGATAATATAGACTATTTAGACAAAGTGGAGTGAGCAACCAAATCCTTGCTTCCTAACACGATTTCACTATGATATCATAAATATACAACCTATACAGACATAGTAGACAACAAAATGGACTTTTCCATTCTGAGTGTTTCCAAACAATCCTGATATTATTATTATGATAAATATCTATACCTCCGAACTATTTCAACCACAAAAATGTGAACAAAATGATGCGAAACACAAGTGAGTACTTCACTTGGAAATCTTGGATCCAATGTGTATATGGTAGCACTCTATCATAATTTTTAAATATGAAGAATACTTAGGTGTAAGGAAACAAACTGATCTCTCTGTTTTCTTCATAAATTCTTTATATTTGGCTACAAATTACGGATTCAAAGAGTAGAGGCTAAGGATATGTGATTATAAATAGGTAGAATGGAAGAACTTAAGGGAAGCGAATTTCTCCTGAACGGTTACATAACGCTTGGTGAAGCAAAGGAAATCACTATTGGAGGCTGCAATTATAGCCTCCAATGTTATCAAGGCGATCACGAGGATGAATACACGTTGACGAAAGCTGGGAAGGTTTGCCTATTCCAAAATGGCATACTGAAGATGTATTACGAGTTGGATGCGAACGGGAGTGAAATCGGTGACTTTACCCGATTTGATAACGGATGCGTCGCTTTTGTGCAGTCCTTCGACGATATCTGGGACAACAAGAATTTTCATCGTATAATAAACCACGTCCGAGGCGAGCGTATGGAAATCTATTCGCATGCGAGTGATCACCTGATATATCACGGTGAGTTCAACGAGAAGCGAGAGAGAGAAGGATGGGGCATCGAGTATGACGAAGAAACGGGTGCCATGCTGCTTGAGGGAATCTGGAAGGGAAACAAACTGGTGGAGATCATCCGCAAGATCGAAGGAGCCATTATGATCGAGTTCAAGCGAAACGGTGACAACACCATCGCTTCGAATCGAATTCCCCTCTATGTGGGTGAATTCATTTATGATGAATCGAAAGAATCGTTTCTTCGAAATGGTCGAGGATACTGGATCGATGAAGAAACTCGGATTGCTACTCGCGAAGTGGAATGGAAAGATGGAGTGGAAGTGAGTGGAAGAGATCTCTATGATGGATGGCACATTCATTCATTCACTCAATATTACTTGTTTTTTTTTACTATTGCTATGTTAATCACATTGCATTTCACATTGTTTTGTTGATCAAATAGAAAGCAAGGTTTTCATTCATAGGATTCATGGATTCCATCCATCATATTATTCAATCGATTGTTTTGTTTAATGATACTATGATTCCTATTCACCATTTCAATCTATGAACCACATTCCTTTCTCTACAATATCATTCTTTGTATTCAATATGGATGATCATTGTGACAGAAGAGAATCGAAGTATCAACAGAGAATCAATACAATAAACCACTTGTCAAATAGAAATGATGGATTTTGCATTCTACACACTACTGCCATACTCTCTATTACAAATCAAACCATTCCAACAGTATTCACTATTGTGAGTTCGATTGTTGCTAAACAAGATTAACTACAACATAATTGATATATTTTGAAGAACATATATCCATTCTAGACTTAATAGAACAGCCATTCTGACATGAGAGAGTAAAGGTGATCAAAATGCGTAATAATTTACAATCAAAGCTATAAGTATCTGAAAATAACACAAAAATAAATGAATAGATAGAAATACACCAAAATAAAGAAAAATAGGAATGGGTGGAGAAAATGAGATTTTATTATATCTATTCTAGTTTGTAACACACCAGCATATCACAGCCATACACAATAATCCATGACGTGTGTTCTATCGAGAAATAATGAACCAGATCTTGTTTCCAAAAAAACCGTTTTCCCATATTTCTTTTCATTTCCATGCAAAACATTACTGATTTTGTCAATTCTGCTATTAGTAACTATCATGTTGATAGTTCCATCATCCAAGTTGTGCAGGGATGCTTGGGCAAAAAATGGAAACCAAATGGCTGGATTTCACTCATTTTGAGTAATAGAGAATGTGTAGTACTGCGATTCAATTATGGAGTATTCATGAATCAAGGATTTGTGCTCAATGAGCAGAAAGTGTTGAAAGTGTTTGGAAATCACCAAATTGGTGCTATTTCATATAATGAAGAACAATCCATTGTAGTAGAAGGAATCGTGGATTTGGACCATGGAAGTCGATTTGAAGGATTGATATTGACAGAAAACAAGTTTGGAATTCCATTTGGATATGGTGAAATGTATGATGATGATGGAATATTGGTGTACAAGGGCATAATGATCAATTGGAAACGATTTGGATATGGAACGAGTTATCATAATAATGGATGTATTGAATATGAAGGATATTGGTGTGATGATAATCGATTTGGAAGTGGAAAAGTGTATGATCGATATGGTAAATTAGTGAATGAATGTGAATGGTATAATGGAATTGAATGTGATATTGATGAAAAATATGAAGGAGATGGAAGCAAACCAATGAATATCGGAATGAAACATTTGAAACTGAGTAACAATTGTGTATTGGTTGATTGGGATGTTTCATTGTTGTACAATTTGGAATCAATCGAAATCGGCGATGAATGTTTTGGATCAGTGCAAACATTCCAAATCGATGGATTGAATCGATTGAAAACCATCAAAATCGGAAGCAATTCATTTACGCAAGTAAAACAGGATGATTTTGAGTATGAAGATCCAGACATGGATTATCTCTTGAATAGATGCAACAACCAATCGAAATCATTCCACATATTGAATTGTGAATCATTGGAATCCATTCAAATTGGTGAATATAGTTTCAGTGATTTTGCTGGAGACTTTGAATTGAAGAATCTACCACAATTACAATCCATTCAAATTGGGACAATTGGAAGTGGGTCATGCAATTTCTATTCTAGTTCATTTGTGATTCGAGGTATTGATATGATATTGAATATTTGAATGATGCATAGATCTTCCAAATCTACAATCCATTACATTAGGTGATTTTGCATTCTTTAGATCCTTCTCAACAATAATTGAAGGTATTGAATGAATTCGAATGAAATGATTGATGTAGATCTTCCATCATTACAATCCATTCAACTCGGTTATTGGACACTTGCTGGAATTATTAATGTTTTAACTTCATTGATACTTCGAAGTAATAATGAATTGATTTGAAATGATTTGTTTTGTAGATCTTCCAAATCTAACATCAATAACTTCCGAACGATTTAGTTTCTATAATCCTCATGTAGTGACATTGGAAAGTATTTCTGAATATTGAATATTGATAGTATTTAGATATTCCAAATCTTCAAAATGTCAAGCTACCTGATTCATTCCGGAAAGTTCGATCGAAATCAATTTCGAGTATAGTTTGATTGATTTGATTTGATTCATAGATGTTTCTTCCATTCTCGCTGATCTTGTCAAAATCAAGCATTAAATCTATGAATATGATTTGATATGATTTGTTCAGTGATTCGTCATTGTTTAGGAACATTTCCATTGATTGATTGATTGATTGATTGATTGTTTGAAACCGATTCTTGATCACAATTCATGATTCTATAATTATCAAAATATCAATCCTGCCTGATTATTATGATGTTCTTCTTTACCATTTTAACAATGATACTGAATTATGATTGTTGTTTCAATCAATCAATCAATCAATCATTGTTTTCGATCATTATTATCATCATCATCATTATTACCAATGACCCAATGATCACATATTGAACATTCACAAATGATGAATCCAATCTACCAATAATAATAATAATAATATACAAATGATGGTTTGAATAGGTTTGAACTAGGATTTGTTCAATATTGATAGGAAACTGCTTGCTTCGAATAATCATTATCATTATCATCATGAATAATAAGATTGGATTTGATAATGACACAATGGAATGGTTGGAATCGATTGATATTGGATGATTATTCACATTTGTGAATCCATTGTTAAATCGGTAGATAATACAATACAATACAATACAATACAATGATTGATATTGAATTAGGATATTGATTTTGACTTATTGAATAGGAATCGATCACTGTATACATAGAATAGAATAGAATAGAATAGAATAGACTTAAATAGAGGTGAAATGGATAAAACAAGGTAATGAAACTAGAATAGAAAAGAATAGAATCCGATTGAATAGCATTGGAAATCATATTGGATTCACCATTCAATCAATCCAACTATCTATCATTTGTTTGTTTGTTTGTTTGTTTATCAATGAGTCACAAAACATGGATTTATCAATTTGATAATAATGGAATCAAATCGGATGTGTTTGATACTTGATAGTTGTAGTTCGTAGTAATATCAATCGTGGTTTCACAATTCGATATTTGGATGGAATGTCGTATTCTTCAATATCACACAAACCATTCATTCAATCAATCAATGGATGAAAGATAGCTGATTCAAAATGCAAATGAATGTTGAATATTGTAAAGAATCAATTCATCATTCACACTCAATAATACTGATAAGAATAGAAAGGCTCTTCAATCCATTGATTGATCGAATGAATGAATGAATGATTGATTGAATGAATGAATGGTGTGTATTTGGTTAGTTTTCGATCTCCATTCATCATTATCATTATGATTGTATCATCATCCACATTATTCATCGGTCTATTTCAGCATATTGAATACCATTAGATCATTTTGGTATTGTTGATCATGAATAGAATGATTGGATAGGATCGATCAATCAGAATCATAATCATAATCAGATTGATGATGAGTATTCAACGATCAATCCTCGTCATTACTATCATTAGTAGTAGTATTTGTATTTGTATTTGTTTGATTATCAATGATATAGAATCGATCGAATGATTCATTGATAGCGATCCAATCGACTGATAGAATTATACAATTGATTCGATCGAGATTCATGAAATCATTATGTTCGATCATTGGTTTAGCTGGAATCTATCATTGTACTGTATTGCATAACAATACTCTTATTTCTTTCTTTCTTTCTTTCTGATCATTATTATCATTATTATTGATATCATTCAAATCATTAGATCCCATTCGAACAAGTCAATATGGAATCAGCATTTGATAATCACAATACAATAATGAGGCATATTGTGAGAACCATTTGTGTTGTGGTTTGAATATGAGTATTTCGATAATGGTCTTTCTTGGAATCCATTGTTTGATTGTATATTCAATATGCTGTTTGTGATTGTACACCGATGAATCCACAAATCACATATTTCGAATGAATCTTGATCGAACGACTTTAATCGAATCGTTTTGACAAGATTCATTGCACTTAATCGAATTGAATCAATAGGAATCGACACAATCCATATTTGTTTGTTGAGATAGTATTCATTTGGATAATACTCAATGATTCATTATTCTTTTGTTTTTGTTTTGTTATTGTTTTGATGTTGCTTATCTATTTTTGATTATTCCATTTTTCATTTGTTGTTGTTGTTTTTCAACTTTTGGAATTGATTGTAGTTCATTTGATTATTTCATTTTCGATTTTGATTTTTAGTTTATTCTTGTTTGTTTTGCTATTCTTTAGTTTTCTTTGTTTCTTATTTTCTTACATTTGTGCATTATATTCCTTTTCATTTTTCTTTTGTTTTCTTTTGTTTTCTTTTTCTTTTGTATTATATGATTCTAATTTGTTTTTAGTTTTTCTTTTTTGTATTTTCTTTTTCTTTATTATTCCTTTTTTCTATTCTAACAATCATCTTATTATTTACTGTCCACCAGACAAATTGGATTGTGTCGATTCTAATTGATTCAATTCTCATAAGGAAATATGTGATTATTTGTTTGGATTGTTCCATGTTTTGTTTTGCTTATATCTGTTTGTTTTCTGTTCATCATCATCATCATTATTATTATTATATATCCATTTCAACCAATCATCGAATCAATCATGTGCCATCAGTTTGAAACAACAATACAAATTCCACAGATCATTGTAAAATGAACCAGATAGAATTGTTCCAATCATAATCAATCGAAATGTGTTCCTATTAAACGAATCAAATCAAATCAAATCAAATGATCAAACGGAATCGAATGAAACACAATGAATCAAATCAAATCAAATCACCTAGCAAGATAAGATAAGATAAGCTTAAACTTACCAAATGGAATTGAAATCTATGAAAATCATATGAAATCAATTCCATTCTATTTATCAACAATACTCGAATCGATTTCGATTGAACATACCCCAATGATACAAGTAGATTGACATTTTGAAACAGATTTGGAATATCTATTTACTATCTCTATTCAATATTTAGATCTACTTTCCAATATCACCAAAACGAGGACAACAGAAACTCCATTATACAGAAGTTAGTGATGTTAGACTTGGAAGATCCAAAACAAATCATAACCAATCAATTCATTATTACTTCGAAGTGTCAATGAACAAGAATCATCATCATCCCATCTTTCTCCCCTACCTTCCAGTATCCGATATCACGTGATACACATATTGTTTTCCTTCTTGTTCATTCATTCATTCATTCTGTTTTCCTTCATCAATCACTCACTCAATCATTCATCCATTCATAGATTGATGGATCATTGATTGTCATAAAGGAAACACTTGATTCTTTGCTTTCATTGATTCCATTTCTTCTTTTGTTGACAAGGAGTATTGTTATCGATTTTGATGGTTTGGAATCAATGAATGAATGGTAGGGGAGAAAGAGAGAAGTAGTAATAGCAGCAGCAACATCCACAGCAACAACAATAATAGTAGTAGTTGTAGTAAGCAATGGACCAAACTATCTATCAAATGATTTAATCAATAATCAGAACCTACAATACGAAATCATTTCAAATCAATCCGATTGATGTTTCGTGATAACAATCAATCCTTCCATGCAAACCGACAATCAAATGATCTTCTCTTCATTTATATTTAAATCTGAATCGATTCACATAGATTCATTCAATTATGTGGATTGTTTGAAATTGATATGCATTCTTGGTATTTGTTTGTTTTCACATATCGAGTTTGTTCTTCATTTCGATCATTCCACATAACAATCTAATTGATTTATTATCCAGAATCGATCAGTAAGTATTATTGATTGATTGATTGATTGATTGATCCATGATAATAATAATATTCATATTTCCAATAATATGACTATTATCATGGATTTGGTTCTTTCCTTATTTCTTTATTAAACTACACATATGATTGTTTCAATATCTCTTTCTATGATGATTACTATTATTATTATTATTAATCATCAATAGCTATGGATTGTTCTCAGATATTCTTCTTATTCTCATTCCTTTTACTGTTATTATTCTCATTATTGCTTGTTATTCACATACACATTGTTTGTTCTACATCAATTTGGTATTGATTCGATATCGGACACTGCATTGAGTTCACAATTCATCCATTTGGATGATTATTCATGTTATTGTTCGTTCCTATTATGTTGTTGCTGCTCATTATTTCATTTCATTTCATTTCATTTCATTTCTGTTTTAGACATTGCTCTTGAACACATAATCATCTTATTATTCTTCTCATTGATTTCTATTACTGTTATTATTGTTGCTGTGCCATTTTAACGAATTCATTGTCGTTATTGTTGTTATTTGCTTTGTTATTTGATAGATTCATAATATGAAAGAGTATACAGAATAGGCATCGATTCAATCAATCAATCAATCAATCAATCATGCGTTAAACAGTTCTAAAACCATGAACAAATGATTGAATGATTGAATGATTGAATCGATGACATTATTGATGCAGAATGAGAGTTCATTGGTTGTGATAAAGGTCTTTGTTGTTTTGTGAATCACTCCACATAGAAAGAATCTTTCATTTATTGATTCATTCATTCATTCAATGATTTATTGGTTGATTCAATCATTCAATCAGCCATCCAGACCAAAGTGAATCAAATATGATTATATGAATGAATATAGAATAGAATAGATTGAATGAATGAATGAATGAATGACATCCTTGTTACTGATTTACAGATCATTGGTTGTGAGTAGTGTCTTGAGATTGTCAATCAATTCTTAGATAAGATATCATTCATTCGTTCATTCATTGATTTGATGGTATAATCATTCAAATATCCCATTGCAATTCACATGATTGGTCCACTTTATACAGATTTAACGATATTTCCTTGTCAACAATCCATCATTCATTCTTATGGTACAAAATATACATAATCACAGTATGCACTCAATTCAAATCGATGCTTGTAGGATTACTCATTC